TTGCAATCCGCGGTGTGGCCGCGTGGGGATGCCGTGGCGGTTTTGGGGTTCCGATCAAAGATGGGGGTTGTCTCATGGGAAAGCTTCAACGGGCGGCTTTCTTTTGGGCCCCCTTCAAAGAAACCAGGGCAACTAGACACCCCAAACAACTGGGCCGGACGTGTAGCCGTTTGTGAGACCACCCTGAATTGTTTGGCTTTGTCCTTGTTGTCCAAAAAGCGGATTTGGGGTCGAAGAGCGGGTGTGGCTCTCAGAGTTTTGGTCCTACCTTTCTATCCTCGCTTCAAACAAAACCGTCGAATCGGTCAGGTTCGAGTCGGTCGAATCGGTCAATCCAGTCGGCCCGTTCGAGGCATCGACAACGTGCTGCACCGCGCGGCAGGGCCGAGGCTGCGCATGGAGTGCTCGCAGCAGATGAAGGGCCGGAAGAAGCTGCTGCCCGGCACGCGGCCCGACTCGGAGGTTTGGGGGTTGGTGTGTCTTTTTTTTCCCTCTTTTTCTGGTGTCTTGGGTTTTTAGGGTAACTTGCAGTTTTTAATAATCAGGTTGAAAAAAAGCAAGAACGGAACAGAGATAAAGGCATCCCCTCCATTTTTCGGGGAGCCCCCCCGATTTTGACATGCCCACTTGAGCGATATTGACCCTTTGGGATATGCCAAGATTGCAAGCTGTATGTTTCAACGGGGACTGCTTTTTGGCGGAGATCCTTTGCACATGCTTTGGTTTGGTCGTCTCACGTACGGGGATGTGACAGCATCCCAGAAAGGATTCCCATCCTCATGATGCAGCGGCACTAGATCCTCACAAGGCTCCAGAGCCCATAGCATGCACTTTTAACGCCAGAAGCTAGATGCTTCAAGAACATGGAACACCAAGGTGCTTCAATGTCGCCTCCCTCAGCTGTTCTAGTTGCTCATCCTGCCTTCCCCTCCCAGAAAGCCCCTCCCCCAGTCACCATTGAAAGGTGGTGCCTAAAAACCCAAGACGAAACCGAAGGGAAACTTCAGCCGTTTCAGCTGAGCTGGTCGTTCCTTAGAAAGGAACCGCAAACCACCCGCCCGTTTCGACCAAACATCTTCCCCCCCCCCAAAAAAAAGAATCTGCCCCCACCCCCCACCCAAGCCCAAATTTCACCCCCCCCACCCCGCTCAAATTTCACCAACAATCTTCCCCCCCCTCCCGCCTCCAAGCCCTGGAGTGCTTTTTCCGCTCGGAGGCCTCCGCTGGTGACGGGCGCGTACTTCCTCCCTGCGAAGAAGGTGCTGCACGTCACGGGGCCCCAAGTGGCCCCCGGCACCTTCGCCTGGGATCTGCCGGGCTTCGGGGATGGCGTCTGCGGGAGCAGAGGGGTCGGCTCTTTGTTGAAGGGGCTGCCCACGAGGAAAAATCCACCCCCATTCCTCTTTGGTTTGGGGTTGTCACTTTTAAAGGGGCTTCCTCCCCGTTCCTCTTTCTTTTTTTAGGGCACCTTAAACCAACCCAAGCCCACCCCAAACCTAAGGCCCCCCGAACCCCTGAACCCTAAGCCGACCCTAAACAGACCCTACCCACCCTAACCCCCAACCACCCAAACCCACCTTGACTCCGAACACCCCTGGCATTGAAGTGTAGATGGTTCTACCTGGTTTGAAAGTGAAAGCCAAAAGAAAGCTTTTCCCAAGAGATCCTTCTGGCGGACCGGGATCTGTTGAGACATATACCGTAATACCCACAGCACCAGATACCCAGCTCGGAACCAAAGGCGCCAATTTCTTGGTAGAACCTTCATCTTATGGGTCTTCCCCGGACCTGACCGGCCCCAAACCGGCTTGGCTTCATATTTTCAGTCATGGTTTCTCCAACCGCTTTGTTGGACAGAATTCACACATTTGCAGTTTCTTTTGGAATGCCTCGACATTTTTTCCTGACCTTGAGACTTTTCTTGAGCTCCACACATCCACGGCTCAGCTAGAACCCGAACATCTTGCTCGAAGCTTCCTCTTAGGGCCACGGTGCCTCTCGAACTCGGGGACCCACCAAGACGGGTTGGGTTTCCTGGAGGACTTTTCCTTCGGGCCTTTTTTTCCCTCGACTTTTCCAAGAAGGCCTTTTTCCTTTGGGTATCACGTGTTTGAAACTTTCAACTCCCGCGTCCATTTGCACGGAAGTTTTCCCCTTTTTGTTCTTTGGGGACCCAGCAAAACGGGTTGGGTTGGGACCAAAACGGGTTGGGTTTCCTTCGTTTTCTTCTTCCTCGGGTTCCCAGACGGTCGGATTTGCAAGCTCGAGGCTCCCGGCCCTCCAGCCTCGCCCGGGATCAGCTGAGGCGGGCTCAGCTCCGGTTGAAAAACATGTGTCGATGTGGATTCCTCTTCGGAGCAAGAGAGAAAAAGTAGGAAGGGGGGTAGGGTAGTTGACAGCTTCAGGGTTTCTTCGGGTTTTTTGGTGGTTGTTGTCTTGCTTTCTCTGGGGTGGGAGCCAAAGAAAGGCCTCAGACCACTGCAGGGACTCCATACCATTTTTTAGACCCACAGCCATATCATGCGAAAACCGTACCCATCATACACAATGTACACACACACACATACCTGGACACCTCAAAAGACGGTTCTTTTTCCAGGCGTTCACGTTCTGTCAGGCGAAGACCCTAAACGCAACTCAATGACACAATTCGTGTTGCGTTGCTTTCGCGCTGTTTTTGGCTGCTTCCGCGTCATGTTTTCAGCGGCGCCGCGTGCTGCGTCAAGTTTTCTGGGGAGACCGGGGGGGAAAAAATCAAATACAAATATCGTGCAGGGTCCAGATATGTATATTATATATATATAATATACACAGTTATTCAATCACAATACCAGATTGCAAGGGAGCCCTACGTTTGCTTTATTCCCTCTTTGCCGGCTTGACTACACATCACCTGTTGCCACTTTTAAGATTTGCTTCCTCGGGCGCTGTTTGAGGCGGGAAATAATCGGGTGCCCTGTTGGCTTGTAACGACCAAGCAATGTTTTTAGGTCCTTCACCGAAAGAACTTGGAGGCCTTTGTGGGCATGGGCCCTCGATATTTCCCACTTTGAACACTTCACCAAAAGGAACTCACCTTGGATTGGCAACCGACACCACCTAGGGAACACAAAGGGCAAACTGAGTGGCCCATTTTTTCGGCATTCTTTTGAGGGGCGTACTCTCTGAATTGACCAGGAAGGCCTACACCAACTGCTTGGACGCAGCCAGAGACGCGCGCCTGAAGAGTGCGCGGCAACCCGGATATCTCCGTTTTCGTTTTCTTTTTCTTTTTCTTTTTTTTTTGGGGGGGGAAAAAGAAGCCGCAACGTGGTTTCCTTCGGCCAAATTAAAGAGCCAACCCCGCCCCTTGGAAGGTCCGAACGAAAGGGCGACTCTTCGATTCGAGGCGGAGCCACCCCCCCGAGTCTTGGACCCCCCCCCACCGACCAAACCCCCGTTTGGTGGAAGTTCCCCGCCTTCCCCTGCCCCCCGCCCTCATCCCCCCCCCACCAATCCAATCCAAACCACCACTTCGTGCCCCTCCTCCCACCCCCCTCCCCCTCCCAACCCCACCCCCCCCTTCCGAGTTCGGTGCTCGAGGTGGCCTTCTGCTGCATCTCCACAGGGCTCTTCGGCTACCCCGCCCAGGAGGCCGCTGAGGTGGCGCTCACCTCCGTCAAGGAGCCCCGCGGCCGGCGGCCGGCGGGCGGGGCTTCGGGTGGGTCCCCGTTCGGTTTTTTGGGGGTTTGCGGGTGGGGATCCCCTAAAATGGATGGTTTTTTGTCTTTGGATTTCACGGACGGTGTTCCAGTTCTGGTTTCCAGTTAAGGCAAACTAGGAAAGGAGAACCAACTCGAAACAAGAGGAGCCGGCCACAAAGGGCGTGTGCTTTTTTAGGGCAGCCTGGCACCTCGGAAGCTAACAAGGCAAGCTTCTTCTGGCCCGTACCCATAGTTGCAGGGCAGGGGAGAGCTTTCATTGTTCGGACCTCTTTTGGTCCGTTTTAAGGAAAACCAAAAGGAATCCACACATTTCAAACCCCGATTTTTGCGAAGTTTCCATCTTTCACCCTAAAGGGTGGTTATAACCATCACCTTTTGTGGCTTTGAGTGAGTATCCTTGGGTGCTCAACTATAAGTTCCCCAGGAGGAGGTAACCCTGTTGTACGTGGGCTATATCCAAGGCGAGCCACAATCAAACCCGGGTAGATGAAGGTTAGTGTTCTGGGTAGACCATTTAATGCCGGGTTTTGATGATGCCTCAGGTGACTAGCAGCTTCCTAACTCAGCCAAACATCCAAGCACCTAGTTCCCGGCCGAGGTGGCTGCGGTTGCCCTGCAACTCCGCCGCCATGTCCTTCATCATTTTCGATGCACCTGGGCCGCAAAAGTGCCTTCCCCTAAAGAAGCGAACAACAAAGAAAGAACACCATCAGGCAGGAGTTTTCAGAAAACGCCGCTGCTTGGGTGTGGCTTGGGTGTAGTCAGATGTAGTCGATCAGAGAAAGTTGGGACGCCGATGTGACGCCATGAGGGGTCTCTCTTGCTTGCGGCCTGGCGTTCCGAGGTGTTCACAGAGCAAGATGTCGCTTGGATGCATGGAGGGCATGCGCGGGGAATCATTTACGAAGCTTGGAGAGGCACCAGGCCAGGTCTCCAAATCCGTTTCGCCGTCAGGCGAAGCTTTACCAGGAGATGGGTCCGGAAGTCTTCGACGTGAGCCCCATCTGAGCGCCCAACCCTGGGGCCAGCTCTATCTGGTTGCAAAGCTTTGCCCATCGCTCACAAGTGGCGGCAAAAAAGCTCTTTGCTTGCTGGCCGCAAGCCTTGAGCGGTGCACTGCACCGGCTCACCGTGACTGGGTCTTCTAAGATCCATTTGAACCCCTCCTATTTGCAGGTTTAGGTTGGGGCCACTCCCAGAACCCAGGACAGGGAGTCAAGTCTTAAACTGAGACACCAAGCGCCAGTTGAACCCCAGTTGAACCGTTTGGGAGAGCTCAGATGCTCGAAATGCCAGGCAGCGCAGACATTCCGCCCGACGAGGTGGGAGCGGACTCCATGTTGTTCTGGAGGGTATCCTTTGCGATAGTGCCCCCTATTTCCCGCGCAATTTACGGGGAAATCCAGGTTCGACCCCTAGGTTGGCTCCAGTTGGGTAAAAGATGGCACAATGCCCATCATCTTGGTTTAGGCCCTTTGCTTGCCCACGCAAACGAGATTGTGCCATCTACTTTCGAGCTGATGTAAACAGGAAACCCCCATTTGTCCCTTGTGGCTTACTCTGGAGCAGAACCTGGAATGCAGGACATCCCTTTTATAGGACGATGGTTTGCCAGAGACTTGGTTGAGAGGAGTACAGCTGTTTGCCATTTCCTGCTTGCAACCAGAGAACCTTACGTATGCCGGAGCCACTTGGGCTACTTGTCGACTTCCCATAAGAACCCCCTCGCCGAAATTTATCAAACGGGTCCCGCCGTTTCGGCGTCGCGGCTTTGGCGCCCGCTGGGCCCAAACTTTGCGTCGCAAAACGAAGCCTTTGGTGCATTTTGCTTGGATGTTAGGACTTTAACTGTTTGCCAACTAATGGGTTTTCCATTAAACCACTAAAAGCTAAACTTTTAGCAGGGGAGCAGAAAGCAACCGAGAAGCCTCGTTTCCGGTTTCCACAAGCTGCAGGCGACGGCAACGAACACCGGCTCCTCAGGCGGGTTCGGGCCAGCGCTCCGGGGCGACTTTTGGATGGGTCGCACCAAAGTGTGGTGAAAGCTGGCGTGGGTTGCAACTTATACCTTGATCTTCCAGCCTGGAAAAGCAGGCCTTTGGCCACAGTTCCATTTGGAGCCAAGATCAAAATCAAGAAGGACCCGTCGTGCCATCTGATATAAGTGGCTCGTCTTGGTCTGAACGCTGCCAGGTCATCAGCTTCATGTGTGTTTTAAAAATATTTAGACCTCAGGAAGACCCACATATGTGACATGCCCATTTGATCCAGGCCATTTTTTCTGTTTACGTCTTGTGCTTGCAGGGCCCGAGAAACCCAACTTCTTTTCTTGGTGGCTCCCAGCCATCCCCTTTGGTGTTTAGTGGTAGTTTCCATTAAACCCACTAAAGTTAAACTTTTCGCGCGGGATCTGAGGGCAGCCCAGTTTTCTTGTTGCTTGTGGGCCCAAACATGGGCCGGGTCTCGATGCCTAGCGCGCGCCAGGTGGAAAGGTCAAGACGCTTATGGCACGGATCCCGAGTTCGAGCTTGATTCAGCTTGTGGTTGAATCTGATTCACCAAAAAGCAGGCACATAGGTGGAACACCTAGGTCCGCCAGTGCCTTTTTAACCTTTTTAGGGAGGGTTCACCTACTAAAATAGACGACAGAAGAAAGGGTACCCTTCTTCTATCCTCTGTACTGGAGGACCCAGGTTCGGTTAGGTTAGTTTGGCTAGACATCATGGCACCGGTTTAGATGTATTCCATTGACAGGGGCCATCGATTTCTGCAAAAGGTCAGCTATGAGCATGCGGCGTTCGCTGTCAGCACTTCCTGATTAGTATGTCTATTGTCTCAATTTTTCGGCGAGCTCCAAATTTCCACCAGGCGACACGCCCTTTGATTCTTGCCCTTTGGGGGAAACCAGTAGCTTTGATCATGGCTCTGAGAGAATTGCTGGGAGTCTACTATCATCTGCCTGGCGTCACGCAATTCTGCCGGGCACCGCGCAGAGTTCAGCGACAGCAAAGGGGAAACCGAAAAAGGAAGTCTACTCTTCTTCCATTTGCTTAGGAATATGTTTTATTTTCCCCTGTTGGGTTTGCTAGTGGTTTGGGGAGCAGATGGAGGACAACCGATGACACAAGCCACAGACACCCTGCATCAGGTCTTCTCACCCGGCTGCATGTTCGGGCTGGAGCACCTAGCTCAGCAGAGCCAGAGGCACGTGTCCGGCGGGTGCGCCTAACGGGAAGCCCAAAGGACAACTAGGTCCCCCAGCTAGGTGCCCTTCTCTGGGTTCCCCTACTAAAATATGTTCTACAGAAAAAAAGGGTACCCATATTCTAACCTCTCTACTGGAGGACCTAGACAAGCCTTGCGTTTGGTTTGCCCTTTGACTTGCTGGTGCTCAGTAGGGAATGATCCAGGGATTTGGGAATGAACCTAGGTTTCCCTGAAAGGAAGCCATAGAGGGATGGTTTACCATAGAGTTTTTTGCCCACTCCCTGCGTTTCGAACCAGCAAGTTGAGACGCACCCATTTTTTGTGTGAGCCGAATGTTGATTGGAGTTGGTTTCGGATGCCCGTGGGAGTTCCAAAGTTGTTTTTCTTTTTATTTTTTTCTTCTGTGTTTTCTTTAAGGCCTCCAAAAAGGGTCCCCTATTTGGGTGTGTCCTAAGGTCGCCCCAAAACGGATTTCGGTTTTTCTCTTGATCATTGAACCAACCCCATATTTGGTACCGAGCCTAACAGGCACACCCCATGTAAAGACAACCGGCGTGCACCGAGTGCAGGCATTCGGTGCGCTGTAGCAAAGCTGGCCCCTGCTTGCTGTACGCTCGGGGCCCCAGTCGAGCGAGTCGCTCCCTTTGGGCAAGTCTTTTGGGAAGGTGGGTCTGTCTTTTTTGTAGGGAACCCCCCGAAATGGATTTCGGTCTTCCTTTTTCTAGGGGTAGCTTCCATTTCCATTCTTTCCTGGCATCCGAGTCTTTCCAAAAAAACTATTCAAAATCTGGGGAAACAGCTGGTTTTGGAAAATAACGACGGCCGAAAAGAATGGGGAATCAACCCTAGACTTTTGGCTTTTCTTTGGAACCGCTTAAAAGTGCTACCCTCAAAAACAGACACACCCATAATATGGAGGTTTCGTGTTTGAAGCTGGCTCGGATCCGGAGAAAGGTGTGGGCCATCATTCAGTGGTTTCTGGGAATTGTCCTGATAACACCATCCCCACCTAAGCAATGTTATTCCGTACTCCCAATAAAGAGCTGTTCAACCGTTCAACCCACACCTTTCCTCTCTACAAGGGAGCGTATATGTGTGGGCGCTCACCATTCGTTTTTGAATTGAGCAGCGCCGATACTCCTATCGCATGGCCGTTCTAGCGGTTCTAGGCAGTTCTACCTGGTTTGTTAGGGATTGTAGAGAGGCTTCATGGGAAGCCCGGATTAATAGCCATCCTACTAATAGGGGGATGCCAACCATCCTACTAATAGGGGGATTCCCATTTGAAGGGGACAGCCCCCTATTGGTCAACCAGGGGTTTATTCATCCGGGGTTTCTTTGTGCCCAGCTTGGTAGAAGCCAACGTCAATCATCGGGGGTGGTACACCTCGAGAACCTGTGGGAGGGGTTGGCGATTTCTCCTGGGTTTGCACGACGCGGATCTTCCTTGGCTTGGTGGCTCCCAGCCATCTCCTTAGCTTTTCAGCTTTTCAGCTTTTTAGCTTTTTAGCTTTTTAGTGTGGTAATTTCCATTTACCCCACTAAAAGCTAAACTTTTAGCAGGGGATCTGAGGGCAGCTCCATTTGTTCATTTTTCTGGTGGAATTGGACGACTCGATCAAGTATGTTTGGTTCTTTTTGGGTACCTGAACCCCCCCTCCCTATCAGGTCTCCTCCGATTTGTGAACAAGGACTTTTTTTTTAATATAAAAAAAGGGTCTACCCAGTGCTCGGCGTTTCGCCGCTGTGGGCAACCACAAAACTACGAACCATGGGTTAACTCCAGGGAAGGCTTACCTGCTAGAATTACCTGCTAGAAAAAAGCGAACAGAAAGCGCGCCTGGAAGGCTGCCCTCCACTCATGGCCGACGGTGTCCTTGGCTATGGAAAGCCTCATTGGCATAGGTGTCCTTTTTGGTTGTTTTGGTAGAAACATAGATGGCCCTGCTTTACCTGGTGGTTTAATCATCTACCAGGGCCTGTATTTCCTCTAAAAGGACACCTATGCGACTCATTGGGACTTGACCTAGCTGCACCACTGACATGCTCACGATCTATGGTTCTCAGAAGGATCAGGTTGACCCCCATATTTAATTTTTCTACCAACCAGTTAACATGGGGGGTGGTTTTTAAGTTGTGGCCCCTCCAAAAGTGGTCTGATTCCAACCACATTTCGCCCAGGGCAAAGTTTGGCCCCTCCAAAATTGACCTGATTCCCTCAGTGGGCTGATTCCAAGCACATTTCACCAGGAATAAACCAATAAACGGCTGTGGGTCAACAATCGGGTAACCCCAAAATGGCTTGCCCTGGCAATGGAAGCATGGACGATTTATCCTGCGGTCCAACCTGGTGGTTGGATTTTGACCCATACCCGAACAGGCGTCATCAGCCTCAGTTGTCCCCGATTTCGCGAGGTTCTCCGAGCCACCACGATGGCGGAGGTGGCTCAGTTCGACTTCTTTGGAAACCGGTCCCCTTTGTAGTGGCTACACTATAGGAGTTCTGGATGAGGATTGGCCAACCCGGCAAAAGGCGAGTTCGGGTTTGTGTTGGAGTTGGTGTGCGTTGGTCTACTTTGGTTCGACAGTTTGATACCCATTTAGTCAAATGCCCTACCTTTGAGACAACAAGCCCTTCCTGGGCAGCATGATTTGCCTCCCGTAGTGAGCAGCGCCCCAAACCAGCAATTGGCAACCTGAGAAGTCGGCTCCACTATACCTGGTTCAGTAGGGATTATACCCCCTACTCCAAATACCCTCTTTTTTTGGGGTATGATGTCGACCCTCTACTAAAAAAGGAGGTATTTGCCTTGAAAATCCAGGTTTTCCAAAAAACATAGAGCAAGTGGGTATTTGGAGTAGGGATTATAGTCTTCCATGAACCTTCACAACCATATTGATAGAACCAAAAGCGCGAATGGGTGCTGCTCGTGTGGGGGTTTCTCAAAATGGCAGCCCCTGCAAAGGGTTTTTCCTTTAGTTTCCCTTTAGCATTTGTGAAGAGGGGGTGGGGGGGTCCACCGTGCGGGGAACAATGCAACCTTTTGCTCATAGACGTGTGTCTTTTCTGGGGGGTGCCCCCTGTGGTTCGTTTTAGAAAATCCTTTGCCGAGCCTTGAAGACAACATGGGCCGATTTTTGTTCTGCAGTTTCCCCGGAAACCTCCGTGTGGGTATGTCATCATGTTTTGCCTGCTTCGCCATTCGGGGGCTTCGGCTTCCAACTTTTTCCCCCAACAAGTGATTGTTACCAAGAAGAAGAAGAAGAAGAAGAAGAAGAAGAAGAAGAAGAAGAAAGAAGCAACAGAAACAACGCAAATACATCAAAACCAGATTCCTTCTGAGAGCGTCCGTGTTTTTTTCTTCTTCTTTTTTTCTTTTCTTTTTTTGGTTTCGGACTCGAGGCGCCCCGTTCGCCTCCGGAGAAGTCGAGTTTTTGACGCCAGGTCCAGGTCTCCAGCCCCGAGATGGTGAAGGCGCTGCAGAAGGCGCGCCGAACGCCTCGCCTCGCCTCGCGAAGCGTCAGCGCATCGAGCGGTTAGCGGCCGCCGATCAGCGGGACCCGCTGACGGTTAGCGGTCGACTTGGTGGATGTCGGTCGGATGGGATGAGAGGGGACGTTGATCCAAAAACGTTGGAGTGGGACAGGCCTGAAAAGTTTTGTTGGGGCCCCGTTTTTTTTTTGGTTTTCGGCTCTTTGGGACAAAAGTTGGTGGCGACTCGGGACACCGGAACATCTCTGGGGAAGCTGGCAATGGAATCTCCGATGCTTGGGACCCCTGGGCTCCGTATACGAAGCCCTTCCGTTGACTCGGCCATGGCGGTTCCACCTTTTGGAGCCTTTGAAACTTGGCAGTTCCCAGCCGTCCGTAGCAGGGGAGCTGAGCACAGTAGAGCGAGTTTCCGTTTGGCGCGGTCATGTTTCAAGGGAAACACATCCCTGCAGAGTCGCCTTTCCAGGTTTTGGGTGCTGGAAAAAAAAGGCCTCGAAGTCGAAGCCTTCCCTCCAAATGGACCTCACTTATTTGCGGGTCACCGTCGACTTTCCGTTTAAACAAGCCAAGATGAGAGATAAGGTCAGAAAAGAAAAGGTTAGCAAGGGTAAGTGCAGGTTGGCAAGGGATAGGTGCGGCCTTGAATGTTTGCCCAGGGATTTTGGACAGACCATTTTCACACCAGGTCCTCCATGTGCTGGGGTGGGGGGGGGGAAGTTCTCAAAATCGTGGAACACCCAAAATGGGCTTGTTTCCCTTTGGGCCCTTCCCTAAATCAAGGGCTCCGAATAAACCCTACGCCAAACCAATAAACCCACCCTAAGCCCACCCTAAGCCCACCCTAAGCCCACCCCCACCCCAATCCCACCCTAAACCCACCCTAAACCTACCTCAAACCTAAACCCATCCCAAACCAACCCTAAGCCCACCCTAAGCCCACCTCAAGCCACCTAAACCCACCCCTACGCCAACCCATTCGCTTGCCGGAACGGCTCGCTCCAGGCCATTGCCAATCTCATGGTTGTGCAGACGTGCAGCTGGCTCGATGTTTTGGAAAACCACCTGAGTCACAATCAAAACCCGGGTAAGTGAAGGTTAGCAAGGAACAGTCCCAGCCATAAACAGTTGCGGCTGCCTTCTTAATTCTTTACATGGTTCTGGGTCGACTATTTTAATACCAGGCTTTGATTGTCACTCACCTGGGTATGTTAACCAATAGCGCGCACCCCCCCCACCAAGAAACCAGAAAACGGCGCGTGTTCCTGTCTATGGCTTCCCTCAAAAAGGGTATCTTCAAAAAGTCCGTCCCAACTCCACACTCCGGGAAAGTAGCATGGAACAGAGTCAGCTCTGGCTTCGGAGTGAGCGACTGCCTCACAGTCTCGGGCAAGTTGCCGGAGGACACCGATTCCAAAGTCACAAGTGCAGCCGTGGCATTTGCATGTTCATTCCTCCAAAGATGTGTGGGTGAAGGACGAGGCGTTTTGGGTGTAGCCGGCCATTTGAAGTTCCGATGTCCACTCCATGTGAAATACGACACCGGACGAATGGCTCTCGAAAGAGGTATCCCCAATAGCGGTCGGCACCGAATCTCCGGAAATTTCCCTGAAAGCTGGTTTCAGCCACCCGTTTGGGCGTATCGACCCCATAGCTTCGCCCAAATCTTCGGTGAGGCACCTTCGGGCGGCTGAGGAATGAGAAGAAGTTTTTGTTGATCCCCAATAAGTTTTTTGTTGATCGCTAATAAACATTTTTTTGATGCCTATCCCCCTTCGGGCAGTCTGCCAGGAAGCTTCGAGTGCCGCAGAAGAATCTGGACCCCGAGTCTCGAACGGAATGCGAGTTGCGAGAGTCGGCGGGGGTTCCGCGCGGGGCGACACCCAGGTTTTCGCAGGTTTTTTGGGGTGGCGCGTCGCCTTTTCTTTTCAGGGTGTACCTTGTTGTTCGGGAAACCAACCGGCAAAATCCGCGAAACTTCCGTGGGGCCCCATTCCCTACAAGACACAAACCAAATGGCGATAAAGCTTCGAGACAACTCCCACTTTTTGTTCAAAGGGTAACCCTCAAAGCAAACTTTTCAGTTTCGGTTTCCCTTTACAACCGTCCGAAGCAGGGATACATACATATAACGTGCGCACACACATATATATATATATATATATATTATTCAATTCAACATCCACATACTATATTTTTCCCCTAGTCCTGGACGGCACCCCATGGGCCAGGTACCAACTCCAGACATTTCCGCTGCGCCTTGGCAGGAGCTCCGCCGACAGTCGGCGCATCGATGAACGGCTGAGATATTCGCGCCCTTTGGCTCGTGGTACGGAAAGAAGGCAACTTTTTTTTTTTTCAAGCATTCAACGATTCTGATGCTTTTGGCTGTAATTTTTAACTTTTTTTTTCTCTCGGGGGAGGGGGCCATTACAGTTTTTGCAGATTTGGGGAAGCGCCAGAGCAATAGGGCGGGTATGGGAACCATATGGACTTGAGTCACAGATTTATCCATGGGTACCGGAGCTGAGGAGCCTGTAATTCGGCGTGTTCCGCAAACGCGGGGCCGCCAATCCTACCCGACTCCGAATTTGCAGAACAAATTCCGCGCGGAAACGGGCGGTAAGAGTGTGGCTGCAAAGCAGCCTCCTGTAGCGCGGTGCGACAATGCAAAAGATGCGCCTTGGGGCCTCAAACTTGGGTGTGTCTGTTCTTAGGGTACATATTTAGGGTACATATTCGAATGCGGTTCAGAGGAAACCAGAGGGAGAGCCACAATTTTGGGGTCCCCTCAAGCAGAGATGTCCATTTGCACCAGGGGTTTTCCGAGACTTTGGACCGGCAGTTTATCTGTTCAAGTCCGGTGTCCCAAGCTGTAGCTTTTCCGTGAGCGGGTTTCCTGCAGCCTCGCCAAGACGCTTCGCTGGTTTGCCCGGGCTCAAAAGAAGGGATGGCCGGTGAAGATATGGGTTTGTCTCCCCAAAATGGGAACCCCAAAATGGGAACCTCAGAATAGGTTCTTCCCTTCAACTCCATCCAAAAAGGGTACCCTCACAAAAAGGCAGACCCATATCCAGCATGGTCAACTAGAGGTTCGGGACATGGACGAGCCACCAGGGAACTCACGAAAATGGTCCAACCTGGACCCCCGAAGGTCGAACGGTTCCGGGTGTTGAGTGGGTGGGTAGATTTTTGGCAAATCCATTGGAAAGACAACACCATTTGTCCTCAAGATCCCAGAAGGTTAGCCCATTATTGCCAGGCGAGTTGGGTGTTTGAGCCTTTTCAGCGTCTAAGCCCCTTGAGATCTCGCCCTTTCGAGAGCTTCCATTTGGTTAAGAGTATGTTTTATTTTCCCCTGTTGGTTTTAAAGAGAATCTACCACTACTGGACACATTGTTATTTTTTCCCAGGGGACGAAACAGCAAATGGAGGAGAGCCTTGATGGTTTTTCTCGGCCGTCAGGGGTACGATTCTGGTCGCCATTTTTCGGCTCAAGGGAGGGACAGATGTCGGCTCCCTGCCGGGGTGCGTGCCTCGGTGCTACTCGGAGTGGTCTCGAAGTGGGCAGCAAAAGAAGGCTCCAAGGAGCGGGGGGTGGGGGGTGTGGGGGGGGAGGGGTGGGGGAGGGGAGGAGGGGGGGGAGGGGGGAGGAGGGGCGGGGGGGAGGGGTGTCTCCCGTTTTTGTTTCTTTTTCGGAGGGCGTCGCCTTTTTTCTTTTTGTTTTCCGGGAGTTGGCAGGCTGTTGAAACATGTAGCGCTAGCCATGTACAGCTTCGACCGTCCTTGTGTTTTGGCTCATGGAAAACAGGCGCGCCGTAGCAACCTAGATCAGTTTTCGAGGTGGTTTTGGGGTTGTAAAGGCAAGCCAAAGAGGGGACACTGCAGATTTGGGCTTTTCTTTTCAACCCCAAAGGGGACAACCTGCTTGACCAGGCTCCTGTCTTGATGCGGGAATAGTTCGGTCTTTCTGCTTGAGAACCATGAGCACGTAGATCTGTGATACACAGCCTGTTGCAGAGGAACGTCATATGATCCAGCGGGCGAAAGCGCATGGGAAGGTATGGCAGTCTTGAAGTGAGATACTTGAGATTGGCCTACGCCCCTACTGCAAACACCACCTTTTTTTTCTTATTTTTTTTGGGAGATGCAACAAATCGGCCAGCAACAGCCTTGGTCTTTGCCCTGGAACACCTGGTTTGCCATACTCCAAGACAAAAGTAGGCACTTGGAGTGGACTGCTTCTCGCTCATCTGCGTGGCTTCTCGCCCGAGGCGGAACCACACCCCGTGCCTTTCGGAAGTGAACCATTGCGCGGCGCCTCGTTTTCGGGATGTTCAGGTCACTGCGTTCCAGGGTTGTGGGATCAAGGGGTTTATCCGCACTTCTGTGATACAAGGGAATCCCCGGTTGAAATGGCGGGGTAGTCTGTGGGAGACCTTTGTCTTGTATCACAGAAGTGGGCATTTCCCACAGCCCTGCTGCGTTCTGAAGGTGCCTGGGTAAGCACCGAGGCATAAGAGTTCAATCACAGCACCATGTTCTGGGACACACGGGGCCCCACTTGCTGGGCAAGCGGACTAGGCAACGGCAGAACTGCAAGGGTTACAAAGTGGGTCAGGGCCATGCCAATCCCCACCTCCTTAAAAATGGAATTGGGGGACGGGGGTATTCTGGATTTCCATTTCTGGTTCCGTTTTCCCTCGTATGGGGAAGACTGAAGAAATGGAATTGGGGGACCCCCACCCCCCTCCCCCTCAAGCCAGGGGGGATCCAATGTCTTGAAACCTGTTGAAGGATCCTCCTTTTCCCGGCTTCTCTCGAAAGGCCGGGCCCAAGATCGGGCTCCGACGAGTACCTGGCCAGTCCCCTTCAGTCTCGGACCGGGTGAAACAAGGGGGGGGGGCTCCACAAGCGCCTCAACAAGGGGACACCTTTTTGCGGGGCGTTTCGCACCGTTCAGAAACCCTGAAGTGCTGGTTCCCCAACGCAAATACCAGCCAAAAAACTAAAAGATGGCCTCAACCCCGGTTTCATTTCGTGGCGCGAAGTGGATTTCGCCTTTGGCGCCTGCCTCGGGCGCAGAGGTCATGAGGACGAGTTGCGTCTTCTTGGCTCTTGCTGTGCAAGGCGGCGCACCTGGGCGGGGAGGGCTGAAGCGGAAGGCGGTTTTTTGGGCGGGAAGCCGAGGGAAAACCGGGGTGGAAGCCGGAGGCTGTCGCGGGCCCGTGTTGTGGGCGGTTTGTCCCATCGGTTTCATCCAGTCGGCTCGCTCGATGTGTGGAGTTTGTAACCAACAGAGAGCCCTGTTCTTGGGCAGTAGTGCCCTTTTACCCTTTTTTTGGAGGAGGGTTCCCCTACTCAAATAGACTACTAACCTCTCTACTGGAGGACCTAGGCTACTTAGCAAGTATAGGCTATGTGTTTATTCTTGTTGGGGTGACTGGGGTTAGCGCCCTTGTCCCCAGGGTTCGGGAACCCCGGATGAACATAAACCCATGGTTGAGCCACTTGCTCAAAACCCGGGTAGATGAAGGTTTTTGTACGGGACAATCCCCTTGCCATAAATAGCTGCGTGAATTTGGTGGTTTTAAAGGGAAACCAAAAGCCCAAAAAAAACAGGGCACCCCCTATTTTGTGGTGGGTTTAAAGGGAAGCCACAAGGAGAGAACAAACGAAGCCATTTTGTGTGGGTCCCGATGTTTTGCTTATGACTCGGTTACGCTGGCAGGCGCCGCTGGATTCGGGGAGTCTCAGAAGTTCTTGGTGGTCTCCTCCCCTGCCACCGGGCGACCGCGCCTCAGAGTGGTGAGTTTTCGCCGTCGGTCAAAACCTGTTTTTTTTTGGGGGGGGCTTGGATGTTAGGACTTCATTTTTTTGGGCCAACTAGTGGGTTCTCCGAATTAGACCACTAAAAGTTTCAAGCTTTTAGCAGGGGAGCAGAACACGACCGAGAAAATGTCCGGGTTAACCCCGTGTTTGGAAGAAGCCACAGAGGGGCGACTCATATGGCTGTGGTTGTCAAATCCGTTTTGGGATACCATTTTGAGGGATTGGCGAATGCACCACCCATTTTAGAACCTGTTTTAGTGGTTGGATTGAATCAGATGTTCACTGGGGGTACGACGGGGATTTTGACCCAAACCCAAATGTCGGTGTTTGGAAGAAGCCCCATACGTCCAAGAGGGGCGACTCATATGGAACCCACAAAAAGCGGAAAGAAGGGTTGGGGTTCCCTTGGAAAAGTGTTTGGGGATTTCGATCCGGATCCAAACTGGGTGGGTTTTCCTTCTTCTCTGATTTTTCAGAGCAAATGCCTCCTGTTCAAAGGGTTGACATCACACCCTAGAAAAAGGGCGGGTATTGACCCATTTGTTGGGCTGTGTTGCTTCGCCCGGAAAGAGTCTCCCAGGGATTGAAAGGGGCGGTTCCACCACCGGTGAGTCCCCCCCCCCCCCCGATGAGCCACAATCAAAACCCGGGCAGATGAGGAAGGGGCAGTCCCAGCCAGATGTATTTGCGGCCGCCTTCTTAATTCTTGAAGCATGGTTCTGGGGAGACCATTTTATTGGGGCATTTTCTGTATTATTTCCAATTGTGATGATATATAAAACAAAATACCGGGTTTTGATTGTGACCCAAATGGGAGTAGGTTCCCCGCGCAAGTTTCGGCACCGAGATTTGGCCTACGCGAAGTTCCCCGCCGATGGGTCGCCGCTAGCTGCCGATGGGCAGGCGGAGTGGGGGTGAGGGGTGGGGTTTGGGGTGGGTGGGAGGCACAAAAATGGCCTGGATGCAAAGTGAAACTCATGGTTTGTGGGAGAGTTCCACAAATAATTACCTTGGCATGGTGTCATTTTCGCGGCCGAGATGGTTCACGGAACAGCTCGGCCGGCTCGCGACGCGGGACATTTCGAGCGCTTCATCGGCAACGCCAGCTCACGGGTGGCACTGCTGGGCTGCTGGTGGGCCAGGGCCAGAATCAAGAGACCGAAGCATGCATACAAAAGCACGTCGTCGCCCATGAAGATGACGACTAAGTCGACTAAGACTATTTTGGGCTCTTTCCCCCTGTTGTTTTTTTTAATCCCTTCCATTACCCCTTCCATTTGGTGAAGACTATTTTTGCTACTTTTGCCTGGTTGATTTTTAGAAGAGGAATCGATGTTACGACTGGACATATTTTTCCTATGTGTTGCAGGGGACGTCTCCGCAAAAGGGAGGGCTCCGATCGCCTCTAGGCCATGAAGACCCTGATCAAATCAGGGCTCCGGCCTCGATGGAGTGACCCAGCTGGTGAGTTTCTGGCGAAAAAGTGCGAAGCTTTTCGGTGTAGGGTGTGCCACGTGGCAACAAAGTCGACAAAGCGCAAAATCAACGTACACAAGGTTCAGAACGCCGAAAACGCAGAGAACACCGGAATTACTAGAAGTTCCATGGAGTTCCAGGGTCCAGGTCACCCTGAAGTGGCTTGGGAAATCCTGAATCTCCAGACCAATCTCAACAACCAGTTAAGCTGAAATACACGCAGACTTCACTGTTGCTGCTGACCTTTTGAGCATTTCGCTTCTTAGGATCCTGTGATGGCTGCAAACGAACAGATCCAGCTTTTCGGCCCAAGAGCTACAGGTTGGTCGGCAGCAGAGTTGCTCCCCCTGTTGGGTGAAAGTAGATGGCACCCACTCCACGTTTAGGTGTCATCATCCTCATGGACAGGGAATAGTGATTTTCAGCCGACTGGGAATGGGTGCCTTTTTGGAGTTGGTACCTTTCCTCCAACTAACATGGCACCTGTGGGGAGGTGCCTGGAGAGCAATTTCTTTTGAAGGGACCGGGTCCCTGTCAGTTGCCATGTTCGCGGCAAAACGGATGAGCCAACTAGGAAAAGATGAGCCCGCCCGACGCCCAGGCTGGTCTTCCCACAGGGCATTGCCATCGACAACCACAGGCCAGGAGAATCGGATCTTCGCGCGGCGTTGTTTTTTTGGTTCTTTCTTTTTGTGTTTGATGCGTAATATATATATATATATGTATATCATATATTTTCTTTTTTCCCGGCCTAAACCACCATAACCCATCCTAACCACCCTAACCATCCTAAAACCCCCCTAAACCTACCCTAAAACACCACTCTAAAATGATGATGATGATGATGATGATGATGATGATGATGATGATGATGATGATGATGATGATGATGATGATGATGATGATGATGATGATGATGATGATGATGATGATGATGATGATGATGATGATGATGATGATTATTATTAACAAGAAGGATAATAATGCTGATGATAAGCCCCCCCCTTCCCCCAAACTCAGACCAAACTCTTACCCCCAACCCATTGTAAACCCACCCTCTCCGAATCTCCGAACCCTAAGCCTTCTAAACCCACCCCTAAACCAACCCTAAGCCCCCCCCAAACTCACCCGCCCCAAACCATCCTCAAACCCTAACCCGCCCCAAACAAACCACCTACTCGCATATCTCCGTCAGGGGCCGATTATTCGTGGCCGACCCCAACCAGACGGGCCTGGCCACAGCCTCAAATCGAACTTTTCGGCAGCGGCTCGTCTTGTGATTCGGGGATACCCCACAAAGGGAAACCCAAGGAAACCGTCCATGCGAAGCCTGTGAAATACTTGCTCTCCAGCGTGTTTTTCCACGCAGGAAGTGAGCATAGTGCTGAACACGGACCAAGTAGAGACTTTCGTAAGGAAACCAAAATCCATCTCCGCGGGGTAATGTTGACCCCATATGAATTTCAACCAACCAGCTTATGAATAGGGCCCCAGTGGTTTTCCCTGGGTTTAATGGGGACTCTCCACTTTTGAGGGGACCCCCCCTAATTGATCTGGTGTCAACATTAACTACCCCAAAATGCGGAATCCCACCGGAGTGTACATTCTAGATGCTGTGGATTTCACCAATTCTCGCACTCCAGCATCAGGTGGATGAAAGGTTTCCCGCGTGGTGTGGACATTCCGTGGCAGCATCGATGGGCATTCCGTAGGTGCCATTTCGTGGGACCACTCACCTGGGCTCAAACTTGGCGGAGAGCCCTTCGTTGACATCGGGCACCCGGAGAGAAAACAAAAAGGCGGACATTGTGCGGGTGAACTAAAGGGCAGGTGTCACAAGAATTGAATGGGCGGATTTTCCTGACTTCATCTTTCAAGGGTACCTTGCGCCTCAAGAGACTCCCCCAAAAATTGCGGGGGGGGGGGGGGGATTGGACCTCCTGGCCCAAAGGCGAGCAACTGGTCTCGAGACATCGGATCAAATCTTCGGGCCCAGGGGTTGGGCCGGGCTGCTGAAAAGCGCCTGGCTGCGAAGAAAGGTCTGCGAAGCACACGGGGGCCAATGCTGCCTCAAACCTACACCTAGACTCAAACAGGGGGGTGTTTTCTAAGGGCTGTGCAGCCCCAGCTCTGCGAATTCCTCAAACCTACAAATACAGACTCGAACACGGGGCTAGATCCCCCAAAACCTAGTGAATCATGTAGCAGGGGAACGCACACCCCACAAAATGTTGCTGGTGTTGTTCAGGTCCCGTGTGGGGTAAAGCCCGTATTGCAGGGAGGGGCGGCTCATGTGGAACCTTTGGTGCATTTTGCTTGGCTGTTAGGACTTTACCTTTTTCGCCAACTGATGGGTTTTTGATTAACCCACTAAAAGTTAAACTTTTAAGCAGGGGAGCAGAAAGCAACCGAGGAACCTACAAACCAGTTTTCTTTCTGATCTCATCGCAGCGCTCAGCGGAGGTGATGTATCCCCTGACCTCCAACGGCGACACGCCTTACCCTCGGAGAATCGGGTCTTGGCCAGGAATGCGTTGCCGTGGCACGACCGAGGGTAACCGAAGGGTCAAGGGCATTCACACTTGAGCCAAAATGGCCCCGAGTGGAGAATGACAACCGAAATTCAGTCAAATGGTACAAGCAGCAGCCACCCTCCAAAGCAAAATTGGTCTTCCAGGTACTCTGCCACAGGTGCCACGGCAAAGGAGGAAGGGTAGCCCATGTTTCGTTTCTGTCCAGTTTTTGAGGTTTTGCCTCTACAATTTGGATAGTCACCCGTTGTCCGATGTATATATTTACATAGACAACGTGCGTGTGTGTGAGTATGATACTATACATTATACACATGTTCAATCGAGAAAAGGATACACACATCAAACATAAAATAACCAACATAACAAGCAAAACACACTCCCTCGACGTTGCGCAGCTCGGCCCGAAGAAGTGCCTTGACAACGCAGCTCGGACGGAGACGTTTTGCAAGTCAGTCACAAAAGCAGCAGCCGGAGCGAAGCCACAGATTTCAGCGGCGCCTTTGGCATGAAGCATGGCAGCGTCTACTTCGGCGGGTTGTCCCGCGGTGACACGCCTCCCAAGGAGATCCCGACTTTGGGCGCGGCGGGCGGCCGGCCGAAGCTCTCGGATATGACGTTGAAGGAGATGGAGAAGGGCTGTCCCTACGCCAGAGATGAGCATGCCAGAGTGCCGGCACGGCACGAGGGGATGAGTTTAGATGTGATCAAGAAGTCAGATGTGCCACCGGGTCCCATACTCTTCACCAAGGAGTATGATCGATCTTTGGTCACAGAGGATTTGGACAGGGCGCAGCCGGTCTTATCGCATCCAACCAGTTGGACTGGTACACCAGTACCTTGGAACCAAATCCACAAAGAAGAGTTGGAAGAGGTGCCAAAGAGCCGTTCCAAGGTGCTGTACCCCCCCATCAGGCGCCGGCAGGACCTGTCCCTGAAAACCTCCGACATCGAATACGCGCAGGCCAAGAAGCCCATCGTCCGGGAGCGAAGGCGGTCCAACTGCATCGTGGATCCGCTGACCCATAGCTATCAGAAGCTCAGCCCATCATTGGCTGTCATGTGTCTTGTTGTTGTTTGCCGTTTTTTTTGTTTTTTGGTTTTTTGCCCAACATCTGGAAGCTAAGCTCTGGGGTCGGAGATTGGGTTCCAGGTTCCGAGTTCCGGGGCTGTAGCCCTGGGCTTGGTCTGAATCTTCGGACTTTTGGGGGACTCGGGTTCGCCCATGGCATCCTTACCTCAGGTTCGCCTCCTCCGAGCTCCCGCAGCAGCCGGAGTACCGCGCCTCGGGCCGCTGCACGCTGGACGTCTCGGACATCGACGGCTCCCAGCCGCAGCCGCTGGTGCCAAAGCGCAGAGACTACGGCGAGCCCATGAAGCTGGAGGAGAGCTTCATTTGATTCCCACCTCCCCCAGTGCCCTCTCTCACCCCTTTCTTGGTTGGGAGATTCGGTTCCCCTACTAAAATATTTTCTGCAGAAGAAAGGGTACCCTTAGTCTAACCTCTCTACTGGAGGACCTAGACTTACCTGAGTTTATTCCTATTTGTAGGTGATTACTCCCACAATGACTTAAATTAAGGGGTGAGTCATGTACCCCAAAAAGGGTTTAGGGTTTAGGGGGTTTAGGGGGTTTAGGGTTTAGGGTTTAGGGGTTTATAAGCCTATTTGTAGGTCGTCAAACGTGGAACCTCGGGAGGACGAGTTCCGCAACCCTCGGCACAAGGCGGTGCTTGCTGCGGCCATGGCCAGCTTGGGCGGCACGCCCCGTCAGTTTCAGGCCGCTTCAAGGAGGGTGGATGGATATGATGTGAGAAGCCAGTACTCCCCGCGCACGGGTCATCCATTGGAACCCACGTACCAGCTGCCAGTGGCGGATGCTGCGACGTCTCTGCACGTGCGTTTCCAGAGTGAGAGGCACGAGATGGGGGACGACCCGCCTTGCACGAAGACCACAGAGGTGGGCTTCGTGCGCGGCAGCAAGCCCAAGACGGGTATCAGGGACAACGGCGCTGTGCAGACCAGTCTCTGCACCAGCGACCTGCCGGGGGCGACACCGCAGAGGCGTGTGGGTGCGCTACCGGTGCATTTGTATGGCCCCAAGGGCAACCGTCCATTGAGTACCTGCTTGGACTCCTCCGACATCGATGGAGCCCAGGCAGATACTCGGCGGGCACGGCGGACACCAAGAGCCTGATGGAGTGATTAGTGCCTGGCCTTAAAGGTCCCTGGAGTTGTGTCCAGTCCGCGTTTTCGTGGACTTTTTTCAAGCCAGTCTTTTCGTTGACTCCTTTGGGTGTTTCACCAGGCTTTTAAAAGCCTCTCGCCTCTCGTCTCGGGTTGCGTGAAGCAGCGTGGTTTGCCCCGGCGAGAAAGAGAGTCAGAGGAACCACCCAACCCAAGACCAATTCCTATTGGCCAGTTTAGTAGGTGGGTTCTAGTGGCACTAGTGGTTACTTTTTGTGAAACCAGTAGGCCATGGTATGGAGTAGCGGACTGTTTCTCGGACAGTAGACCCGGCCGGGCCGTCAAGGTATCTTTGCAGGTACCGGAACTGCTGACCCCTCTCTCGTGGAGACCACAAGTCCGGCTACAGTGAAACAAGTACTGTGGATAGACGCAATCCATTTCGCGCCTAAGCAACCCTGGTTTCTGATGATTGCCCTGTAAATACCAACAAAGGCTTCCCATGGCTTCAGAGTGGTGCGAAATGGATTTCGTCCATCCACAGTATGGAGCCCTTCAACGGTCTCGGGTTTTCGGCGCTCAGCAAGTCTTGGGCTTGCCTTGCTTGGCCCGCGAATCACACGACCGAGGCGGTTTGGTTCTTTACTGCGGGTTTTTGGGGGGGCAGAGCCCCCAGTTTTGATTCTGATGCAGAAATGGGGCGTTGCAACTCAAAGGATGCTCAAACAAGCTCTGGACATGGTATCTTCCGATGCTGAGATGCGTAGCCTGGCGTTTTGGACATATCTCTAGAGTTTAGACAGGTATGACCAGGTCTTTGGCCCCTCCCATCTTGCCTTTGGAGCCCGTGGCATGTGCAGACCAACGGACCCACCGACTGAGGCTGTCGGTGGGAGGCTCGAAGATCATCGCGGACAATGTGCAGACCAGAGCCACTTGGCAGGTTGGGGGGGCTTTGGCCTCAAAGGACGACTCGAGAAGGGGAGACCAGTGGCATTGGAAGCTTTGGTTTTCCACTTTTCCAGGGCAGTGTGTATCCTGCCGGGGCCGTTCGAGCAGTGGTCTTGACTCCCTGCTTGGGAAGAACAACACGCTGGGCCAAACCTCTTCAAGGAGCTCCCTTTTGCTCAAAGCGAGTGTCAAAAAGGCAAGTCCCGGCATATGAGTGAGCGGCCGTGTCTTATTTTGAAGGAGCCCCTCCTAAAGCCACGATTTGCGTGGGTCCTCATATTGGACCCAACTGGTTTTAAAGGCATGCCGTCGCTGACTGCGAAAGATGCATTTGCCATACAAAGCCAGGTTCTTCAACATATCCCCGCCTCGCAAAAACAGCCCACTTACACATACCATCTTGACCCTTGAAGCTCTTAGTAGGCTTTAAGATTTGCTCATTTTGCGGGTAGCCCTTTGGCGACACGGACCCATCTGGCTGTCGGTCAAAACCAATGGGATCCCATTTTGGGGTAGGTGAATTCACCACCCATTTTAGTCTATAGTGGGGATTGGGATGTTCACTGGGGGTACGATTTGGATGTTGACCCATGGCCATATAATGCGGATATGAGTCAACCCCAGTGTATTAGCAGGGGGTGTCACTGGGTGGCCCCCGCCCCTCATAAACTGGGGTTGATTAATATGGTGTCAACATGCACTACCCTAAAATGTGGAATCCCACCCGAGTCTACATTCTAGATGCTGTCCACGAATTCTCGCTCTCGAGCATTGAGTGGATGAATCAGACCACTCTTGGAGGGGCCAAAACCCATCTGGCTCCTGCGAGGCCGTGTCCGTGGACGGCCTCGGCAACGTCGTTTTCTCCGACGAGCCTACGTCGCGCATTCTCAGGGCGCGAGACCCGGAAGCCGGGGGAAAACGAACGCGTGGCGAGCTTCAAAGCAACGTCTGCGGGACTCGTTTTTTTGGGGGTTGGTACCCTGTTTTTTGTGGTTTGGAAGGGAACCCCAACAGGCAAACCACCAACTTTTTGGGGGTAGCCCTAAAGAAAGACGAGCCCAAATCAGCCGCTGGAACATTTTAATCAGCACAGGTGCCACGGTCGAAACTCCTCTTAGGGATGGTCATGGACCAGGTGTGGGGATTTTAGACCATTGTAAGGGTTCCCAGTAGGGAGGCCATGACCATGGCCCTCAATGAGTTTTGACAATGGCTCATATGGGTGTGTGGTGTTTAACAGAAATCAAAAGGAAACACATGACGTTCGTTTCGTTTTTTCTTTTTTGTTGGGGGGGTCTTCGAAAGACAGACCATTTGCAATTTCTTGAGGGGATAAATCATCCCACGCCTGTTTTGCCTTTGAACGTGGCGTATGGATCTGAATTCTTATGCTTTTCAGGCTATCCTCTTGGGCTGTGTTGGAAGGAAGCCAAAGAGACATCGCCCATTTTGCGGTTCCAGAGACAAATCTATCAGGTGTATGCGGGATTGTCTCAACTTTTCAGAGGCGCGACCAAGCCCAGGTCGAGCCTTTAGTGTCACGTTTTCGATTGTGAATCAGCGAGATGGGTGTGGCTCAAAATTCTAGAGCTAGGGGTATGCAGGTAGTCTTTGGTCCCATTTACCAAGGTGCCAGTCTGGGGTTTCCCATTTTTTGAGCCACAGCGATATGTGGAAGCATCGCTCGCCAATCCGGTTGGCCTGGTCCGATGGATTTTCAGCTTTCCGCAAGCGCATGTTATCGCTGGGTGGGAATATAAATGGCTGAACACGTATACTATAGTATGTTTTATTTTAACTCAACTCGTTGTTCACCGCGTTCTGAATATTTGGACCCTATCATTTTTGGACTCCGCAGTAGAACAGTCAGCGGAGAGATAGATTGAATGGGCGTTTGCTTCGTGGTTTGCTTTTTGGTTTGCTTTTCGGTTTTCCATTTCGGTGTTGGGGAGTCTCCCCAAAATGGCGGGTTTAGCAGGGCTCCTTCATTTGAAACATGGCTTTTCCCACCAAAATACAGGGAAACCACAATTTACAAGGCAATGTTCAGGTGTATAATGTAAGGATCCCTGTTTAATTTGGTTTCCTCTTGAAACCACCCCCAAGAGGGTAAGATGCCCAGGCAGGCGCATTTGGCGACAATTCCTTCTAGATGGTGGGTTTCTTGTTGCATAGTGTCAAAATCTGGGTGTGGGTGAACAATAGGTACCCAGAATGCAACCCTGGTAAATGGGAACATGGACTGAAACCTGCGGTCCCCTGGTGGTGAATTTTGACCCACACCCATGTGGGAACGGGTTCCTCTTAGTTTCCTCTTAGTTTCCCAACAAACCGACCTGCCAAGGGTACCTGCCCGAGGTTTCAGCCAAGATGATCGACGAGGGCACCACCGTCCCTGAGTCTGGCTCTCGTTTTTTTTTTTTTTTTGGTGTTCCAGTTTGCTGAGGGCGAAGGTCCTAGATTCTCCAGTGGCCCCGTCTTTTTGGAGGGTTCATGACATACTGCTGTCCGTGCACTTTGTCCTTTTTCTAGGGGGGAAGCCGCTGGTAAAACCCACTGTGACAACAGAGTGCCCTTTTTCCCATGGCCGCCGGGGATCGGGGCTAAAGAGGGAAACAAGCAAGATGTGTTTGATGTTTGAGCCCAACCAGTCGCCAATGTTGATTTGGGCCACTCAGTTGGTAAGAGCGCCTCCCCCAAAAGCCAATCGCCCTTATTGCAATCATTATGTGAGTAGCGCCCAAACGGATTAAAGGGTTTGGTTTGTCCCAAACAGGAAACCTGTGTAATGCCTACCCTGGATGAATCAACCTGATGTGGCGTTCCCGAAAAGAACTACTGATATATACACATACACATACAACAAAGAACATGTAGGTTGTGTCGAAATAGGCCCCCCCCTGAAAAAAGAACAACAACACCACCTGGTTCTTTTGTTTGTGTTCAAAGCGCACCTCCATGTCACCGTGGTGAGCGCTGAGGGTGATCTATGACGGCAGCGCCGTTCCGTCCCTGAAGTCGCCGGGAGGAGCGCTTGGGTGCTGACAAGGTTCATGGAGCGGCATCACTTTCCTGCGGGGCAAGGTTCATGGAGGGGATTCTGTGGAACACCCTACCCCCCCCCCCCCCCCCGCGTTTTGTAGCTGGGGTGGTTGGTTTTGGGGGTTGCGCGTGACTGGGGTTGTTTCCCAACACTGAAGGGGTGACTTTATAATGACGCCAGAATCGTGGGGCCCGTTTGGGAAAGCAAAAGGAGGCCGGACAAGGGTTCGAGAATTGGGAGCCGGTGAACCGAACCGCTTGGGGAATGCGTACCTGGTTCATTTGCAAGCTCCATCCGAACTGCCCATCTTGCAATGGGGGGGCTGCATGGTTTCTTTCAATTGTTTGCTGTGTGCATTTTCCGTGGGCGGCTTCCTCATAAATTTCCCGGACTGGTGGCTAGAAAGGAGAAATCACAGCCACAGGTAGTTTTTTGAGCACCTCTCAACCTGTTGACTTTGCACGTAGGAGTCGCCAGCGACAACTACTTTGTGTACTGGCTGAACAAGGCCGGTGCGCCGCAGGCGGGCCGGGAAGCCGCTGGCAGCCTTGTTTCATCGGAATCTGCGTTCAGGCAGTCGAAAAAAGATGCAAGTAAACTGAGGCAACCACAAAGCGGCGGACCGTGGATGTCCTAAACGATTTGCAAGTACGCCAACACAACCACACAACCATGGTAAATCCCTGAAGAGTCCTCCAATAAGCAGGGGTTTATTAATCCGGGGTCAACATCAAACCACAATCTTAGGTAAACAGCCATCCCCTTAGCCTTTTAGCTTTTTATTGTTTAGTGGTAGTTTCCATTTAACCCACTAACAGTTAGGCCCTTTCAGAAGGGGATCTGAAAACGGGCAGCCGAGTAAAGAAGCAAGCCCTGCCGGTGGAACCTTCTACCAGTTCCAGGGTTTCGGTGCTCCGTCCAGGCAGGCACTCTGATCAGGGGCCTGCAGTACGCAACAGCCCGGGGGGCCCAGAACTGGGCTTTGGGATCTGGGGAGCTACGACTAGGTCCCCCAGTAGTGCCCAGTTACCCTTTTTGGGGGAGCGTTCCCCTACTAAAATATTTTCTGCAGAAAAAAGGGTACCCTTGTTCTAACCTCTCTACTGGAGGACCTAGACGAAGTTGAGGTTCGATTCAGGAACATTGGTGTCCTTTTGATCGGTTCGTTTGGCTAGAAATAGATGGGTTCCACTGGTTTGGATGGGTTTCATTCCATTTGCCAGGGCCATCTATTTTTCCCAAAGGCCGCCTATGTTCCGGAACTTCTGCGACATCCTTTTTGTGTTTTGAAGCCCCTTGTACATCCCGGCGCATTCTAGGGATGGGATACAGACGGTATTCAGGAACGGCTAGGAACGCACATCTTCGACTGAGGCAAAAGCTGATTGATTCAAGTGCATGTCACATGCTTTTCGCTCCACTGCCGGTTGGACTCTTGCACTTCATTTGAATATTTGAGCAGCACCCAAAGGCCCCAGTTGAGATTATAGCAAGGGAGAACACACACTCATATAAACCTAGAACCCTGCTGGTAAAACCAAACGTCCACGGGTGGAACGGCCGCTGCTCATTTCTTGCGAAGCCCAGGCCGAGACAATTCGGAATGCAACTGCCGGCGTTCAGGCGTGGGTGAGGGTGGAGCTGGAGGAGGGGTTGGGGAGTAGCAGGGATTTTGCGCTTTGGTCGTGGGGGCAGCACATGGGTGCTCCTCTTTTTTCTGCACAGACACCTACGACGTGGTGAGTTGTGCTATGGTTGATTTCCCAAAGCTTGGGGGACACATTTGCAACGTATGCTAAGAGACCGGCTTTCATTGCTCCCCAATTGGTCCCTTGCGGCGACTTGCCAAACGATGAAGGAGGATGTTTTCGAAGGTATTTGAAGCAGTGCTTTCATCTTCAACAAGCCGCTCCCGTCCACTTCACTTGGGTGTGTCTTAAAATAGAGTTGGTTGGTTTAGCCGTTTTCTCCTTTGAACTTCAAGGAAGAAGGTTTCCAAAGTTGTGAACTTTACCTTTTTGGGAAACAGTGGATTTTCCAATGGGACCCAATAAAAGCTAAACTGTTTGCAGAGGGGCCAGCAGCAGCCAAGCTTATGGCAAGAGGGCGCCATCTTCTGAGCTCGTTTCCGGAGCTCAGAAAGCCATTGGTTATTCGTGTGTCTGATTGGGCTTGGTCCCTTTGGTCTCTACTTTGCTCCCACCACACAGGAGCTAGCCTCAAACACACGCAAATAGAGTCTCGTTGGGCAACCTTTCCCTTGCCCGCAAATCTTCGTAATGTAGATGTGCTCAGTAGCAGAGGGGGTCCGCATATTGCCCGTTTCGGTGTTTTTAAACATCACCTTTTTGTTGCGTTCAAGGTATATACCCCCTACTCAAAATACCCGCTTTTTACAGGGTATTTTTGGGAAAACCCGGTTTCCATGATAAATACCTACTTTTTCAGTAGAGGGTCGACATGATACCCTGAAAAAAGGCCGGGTATTTGGAGTAGGGGGTACAGGGAGCCCTCTTCAAGGGCAGGCCTCACATAGCTTGCGGCCTAGATGCTTGTGCCAGATGCTGGCGAACAACGCCCTGAAGTGCTACGGGGTGTGCATTGCGGGAGGACGGGAGCCGTGTTTTGCTCGAGGCGCTTAGGTGTCCTTGTGAGGTGCCCCCTACTTTCCCAGAAGGGCAAATATCTATTGTGGGTCTGCGTGCCGGGTGATGGACGAATAGACATTGATCCAGCGCATGAGCCCCCACCTTGACTCCTCATTTAAAGCTGGGCAACCACATTCCAACTACGGGTGCAGGTTTCAGCATTGGTTTTTCGGCCCAAAGAGCACGGCCTTCAGTCCTTTTTGCAACTGATCAGAATTGGGGACTGATCAATATTCCTGGCCCCAGGGTAACTTTTCCCACTTAGTGGTGAAATGGTGGTTTCCCCAATGGTCACCCCATGCCAAGGACCTTTTGATCAAGCCCGAATTGTAAAATGCTTCGCAATGCGCAGGCCGCCTTTTGTTTCGTGCGGCAGAAGGGCTCGAGAGTGGCTTGGTGTTGGCCAAAAACAGAAAGTTTCGGAAGGCAGGCATTGTCATGTTTCTTGGTGGTTCTCATCCATCCCCTTAGTTTTTAGCTTGTTGGCGTTTAGTGGTTGGATTTCCATTTCACCCACTGAAAGTTAGTCCCTTTTCGCGGGCGAGCCGCGGACAGCCGCTTCAAAATTGGACAACGCAGAGCTTGAGCTCGGCGCTTTCCCCGAGGTGGGCTTGTTGAACACAAGTGGGTAAGGACACGTGCATATGGGTGTGGCTTTCCCGAAATTTTTCAGAGCTGGGGAGATGCAGGTCCTATGCACCAAGGGGCAAAAGTGTTAGTACAATTATTTGAGCCACAGCCATATTGTGCAATTTTGTGGTTTGAAGAGCAAGGAGACTGCAAGAAAGGACTGCAAGGCAGTTCATTCATTTGGGCATCCGAGTCGAGGGATCCTTGTGTCGCTCCTCGTTGCTTGGATCGAGCACTTGAGTGGTTGTCAACGATTTCGACGCATGCACGCCTTTCGGTCGGAGACATTCCATGTGTAGCCCCGACTTGAAAAACGCCGGTGAAGAGACTATTTAAATGCGGCATGTCAGTCGCAGTGCTCCGTTGGGACCTGTGCCTTTTTGGGTCTCCCTCGCGTTTTTTGCGCACCTACTCAGAATCCAAACCTTGCTTTGAAGAGGTCCACCGAGAACCAGGTAAAGAATCAAAAGAAGCCACAGCTATGGTTGGGACCGTTGCCTGATCATCTTCATCTTCCCGTCCAGTTTTGATTGTGGATCTGAGAGGAAATCTGTTCTACACCGACGAGACGGCGAAGTTGCAGCTTCACGGCATGTGGAGAAAAAGAATCGGAGACTCGCAACGCAAGGAACAAATCAAAGAGACACATGTGGGTTTCGCGGATTCTGGTTGTTTCTACTTAGACGCCGAATTCCCCAGAAACGCGACACCAAAAATTCTGCCACCATCTTGTCCGCTGGGCCACACGTACACTGCGCCTGTCTGACTTTTTGCTGCTTTTGTTGAAATCCTTTGCGACCCTCCGAATCTCAGTCTGTGTTGATGGGGAGTGAGGCTGCCTGTTCAAGCTCTGCATCCAGTCCTTCTCAACCCCAACTGGTTCTCTGAGGAACTCTCGTAGACTAGTGCTTTGACCAATGTACCAATAGAGGTGGGTATGGGTCAAAGTTAGACTGCCAGGGGACCGCAGGTTTTAGTCCTTGGTTCCATTTGCCAGGGTTCCATTTTGGGTATCTATTTTTGACTCACACCCAGGTGACAGTATAGTCCTTGGTTTTGAAACGGCTTAAGGGAAGTCACATGAATTCAGGTCAAGGGGTGGTCGGGGGGGGGGGGGGGGGGGGGGGGGGCTGGGTGGTTTTGGCTCCATTGACCGAAGCCTCTCTGGCCCATTTTAGTTTTAAGGGGACTGTAGTTGTATCTGGGCGTGTTTTCGCGGTATGGGTTTGTCTCAAAGGGATTTGAACTCCCAACATGGGTGGGTTTCCTGCTGGCTTCCCTCTAAAACCCATCCAAAGGTACCGTCTTCGATTCGAGGCTGCGGGGTGCCAAAAGGAACCCTGGGGTGTTTTAGGGGTCCGTTCTCTATGTACTGAAACATTCCTCAAACTCCTGACTCATGTATGCTGTTGATTGTCTACCTATTTGCCTACATACCTACCATCCATGCAGGCATCCATCCGTCCATCCATGCATCCATCCTTTTTTGCTCGCGGTCTGGCCAACTGGGCACAGGTTCCCCATATATCCCATGGCTGTGAGGGGCCCTTTGAAGAGGGCCCCCCCCCAAAAAAAAGGAACCATATTGGCCCCCTTTTTAGCCTCTCTTGACCACCATAGGAAAATCGGGCCCGAAAAAGGGGACCATAGGACCCTCACCTGATCCCGCTGAATCCCTGGCCACCCTTTCGGAGGCGTGTCTTAGTCTTAGGCCTCCAGAAAAAGGACGACGTTCCCCTTGGCCCTTCGAATCCGAGGTATGGCGTGAACCGCGCGGCCACCTCGCGGCACGTGGTCACGACCATCTCCTCACAGCTCCAGGCGCTGAGGATTAAAAAACAAGAAACGCCAGGCCCTTTCCACGCGTTTCTAGTGGTTGATTCCTTTTCCATTCTGTTCAACCATCGTTCTTTTCAAAAACCGATCGCCTTTTTTTCCCTGGCTTTCTGGAGGTTTTCTAGAAAGAAGGATCAAACGGCTTGTTTCATTTGAGCTTAGTTTGATATGGTGTTCATTAGCCATTGATGGGTTCGACTGGTTTTGGTTTCGGTTTTATGCCATCCATTTACCAGGAAAACCCATCTAGTGTAAAAGGACACCCTAAAGAAGGCAAAACGAGGCAACGTTTGCAGTGTGTAAGTAAAGTAAAAGCAATGTGTATCTTGCAGTCAGGTGGACTCATGTCTAATGTGACTTTTGCAGTTAAGGGGCGCTGACAGTTGGGTGAAGTACAGGGCGAACTTGTTGGTTTAAAAGGAATGTATCACTACTGGACACATTGTTTTTTCCAGGGGTCTTTTCCAAATGGAATTTAGGATTCCCCTTTTGTTGGGGGAGGGTTCCCGTACTAAAATTAGACTACAGAACAAGTTGGTACTCTTATTCTAACCTCTCTACTGGAGGAGCAAGTCCTTATGAGCTTGAAGATGAGTTTCCTTGGTAAGCGCTGGGGGAGTCATCATTCGGGCAAGGGAGCAGACAGGGTGTCAGGGTGTCCTACTCCCCAAGCATGGTTTGCACATTGACGTCACCGTGCAACCTTTCAACTCGAGGTTTCTTTGTTTCGGGCAAGGTTTGAGGATTAGACATATTATGATTTTTTCACCGGTTGGAACCCCTGAAAAGTGGTGGACATACAGCCCCACCGAATTTGGATGTCCACCAAAGGGAGAATTCATACCCATAGTGCTGTGGGTCAAAACCAGTGGGATCCCATTTTGGGGATTGGGTGCACCACCCATTTTAGTCTATAGTGGGGATTGAATCGGATGTTCACTGGGGATACGATTTGGATTTTGACCCATGGCCATATAGGAATCATGTTCTGGGTTCAGTGTAGCTTTGGGAGCGTGCCAAGGGCGAAGCATTCTTTTGTTTTCGCCTTGCCTCTTTGTTAAACATGGCCAAACCACACCTATGCTTCCGTTTGCTTTAGAACGTGTCTTATTTCCCCTTGTTGGTTGGGAATCTATCGACACTGAACATATCTTTGGTGCATTTTGCTTGGATGTTAGGACTTTAACTTTTTGCCAACTTATGGGTTTTCCATTAAACCACTAAAAGTCCAACTTTTAGCAGGAGAGCAGAAAGCAACCAAGATATGTTGCCATTTTTTCCAGGGGCGAAAACGCAAATGGAAGTCCGTGACCTTTCGCGAGTTCTCGGGCATCCTATGTGAACCGACCATCTGACCTAAGCGATTCGTCTCAAGGGAAGCCCTCAGCTTGCTGTCCTTTGGGTGAGACACACCCATCCAGAGCAGCTCTTCAATTCGGTTTGGTTGAGCATGGATGGCACGGGTTTCAGTCTGGTTCATTCCAGTGCCATGGAAGTCCCATTTTGGACGAGGTACAGCATGCAACCACGGAATTGGAATACACACGTCAACAGGCCACGGGCTTGCTTGGAGCTTTCAAACCATGAACCCTGGTTTCTTGGTGGCTCCCAGCCATCCGTTTCCTGAGCTTTCTAGCCTTTCAGTGTTTTGGTGTTTAGTGGGGGTGTCCAGGTAACCCACTAAGGGCTAAACTTCTAGCGGATCCGAGGACAGCCCCCGGTTTGAAGTCCAAGGTAGACATGTCAGTAGGCAATGAACCGTCTCAAGATAGGGGTTTGGACCCCCAGCATGGCCAGTCCTTTTGGTTTCCCTGTAGCCCAAAAAATTACTCACAAGGACTGTTCCTGGACTTTAAGCTTTTTAGGGAAGACCCTTTTGGTGGTGAGCAAACAGTTTGGGCTTTCGCCAGTGCACTCAAGGAGGGAGATGAACCACTTCGTGTTTGGCAACGAGCTCAAAAAATCTGGGGGTATCGAGCTCACCATGATAAAGGTCCTTTTCTTGGAAATTCCTTGATGTCTTAATTAAATGGATCTTGGATCTAGCAAATTACAAAATCTTAAATGTGTTCTTTTGGAATTCTAGTAAAATTTGCAGGTGCTCCGAATGAGGACATGACCCGAGAGCCCCTTAAAGGAACCGGTTGGATGGTTTAAATCGGGGGCATTCCATGTCTCATTCCCTATCGCACCAGCAAGAGCATTGGCAGAATCCAAGAACCATCCCATGTTTTAATGGATCTTTGGATCAACCCCCTTTTTTTTCAGCCTATTTTTTTCCAGCTCACCTCGGGGTGGTCCGAGTATTCCTGTGGCTTCGGGACCCAACAAACAGGTCACCGCCTTCCGATTTCGAATTTCGGGCGAGGCGCCCAGGGGCTGCGCCCATGATGGGGCTGGGACGGTCTATGCCGCGACCTGAGACTCTCTCAGCACGGCCGCATGCGGCCGGCCGCATGCGGCCGGCCGCCGGCCGCCCCCTACCTTCCATTTGGGAATCATCACTTGGGGAAGCTTTAAATATGGGGGCAGCAAAGTTTCTGGGGAATCAACCCTTGAAAAGTGTATGGGGAATCATCACTTTTGGAGGGGAAGACCCAGTCAGCATTCGGGTTGAGCCCATCCGCTTGAGGCAGAACAGGAGCCTTTGGAGCTGCTGGAACCCCCTGTTGGCATAGGTGTCCTTTTCGGTTGGTTTGCTCAAAAAATAGAGGGCGATTCCTGGCCCTGGTTTAGATGGTTGGTTTGTTCCACTTACCAGGGAAACTCATCGATTTTTTGCCAAAGGGCCACCTATGCATGTTGGCCAAGTTGGACATGGCTCAAGGACCTTGGGAGTTCTCCAAGGAAAGAAAGCGGTTGTTCCGCTTGGTGCGATAGGGAATGACGCGGAAGCGAGTCTGAAGGGTTTTGGTGGATTGCGGCTCGGCTTTTCGGGGATTCATGAAGAAAGGACATACAAGAATCGTTGATGGTTTTTTGAAGGGGTCGTTCAATTTCTCATTCCCTTCCTGCGGGACAGGGGTTTTATCCTGTCCGCATGATAGAAGCCCACTTCCTAGGAACATCCGAGGCCCTGCCCCGTGCTTGCGGGCAAACCACAAATAACCAAAGGACATCAACCCGAGGTACAAATACCCAGCGCCCTTCCAGTGTACCCCAAACTGGCACCCCGGAAAAAAAGGAAAGCTTTTGGCAGGGCTGTTAGGCGCTTCGAGTAGCGGCGACTATTTGATCTGGCTTCGTGACATGACTTGCCCCCATGAACAAACTCATGGCAAAGACTCGCGTGCTCATTTGAGGGTAGAACGAGGTGACGAACATGAAGAAGGTTGAACTCTTGAGTTGTGAGTTGTAGTAGTTTGCCCGGATTTGAGTCGGCGGAGTCTTTCAGCAGAGGTGATTCTGAAAGTGATTTTTGTGTGAATTTGAGGAGCCGACGAAAGGAGGATGTGCGTGAGCCTATGACTCACTTGAGAAACAACGCGAATCGACCCCCGAACCTTTTGGCCCCATTGTCGATTTTTGGCCAAAGGTGATCACCTTCTTATGCTTGATGCCCCGTTCTGTTCAACCATCGTTCTTTTCAAGAACTAGCTGTTTCCCCTGGGTTGTCTTGATGGTTTCCTCAAACGATTCGGATCCCTGGAAAGAATGGTTGAAAGCTTCCCCTAGACTCACTTCCTGAGTTCATGAACTTCAAACTTTTGGGGAAGACCATTTTAGTGGTACATACAAAGTTTGGACTTGTTTTTGGACCATCCACTCACTCAGGGAGTAGAACCTTTCATTGGGTTTGGGCATGGATGATCTGCGGCTGGAGGTCGCAGACAAGACGCAGAACGCCGTCTTCCAGTTCGCCGCGAACATGGACCCTTTGGAGCCCAACACAGCGCTGGCCAAGGCAGGGCCGAGTTGGCCAAGCGGTGCATCGACTGGCCGCCCACTTTTTCTAGGGGTAGTTTTTTTTTTTGTAGGGGTTTTTCTATTGGACCATGGCCCAGGAATTGAAGATCCGGAGTTCTAGGGGTTGATTTTCCTTTGCCAGCCTTTTTCCAGCCATCCTTCTTTCAAAAAACCGGATCTGTTTTCCCAGGGCTTTTGGTGGTTTTCTAGAAAGAAGGATCCCCGAAAAGAATGGGGAAGCTACCCCTAGACTTTTGGGTTGGTTTGAAGGGACACCCAAAAAAGAAATCGTGACCCATCAAGATGGCTGATTCTGGGTGTGTCTTCTTTTTTGGGAGCCCCCCCCCCAAACCAGAGGTTTCCTTTTGCTTTCCCGTTCAAAACCACCAAACAACGGGTACCTCAGACATTTCCTTAGAAAGTGCAAATCAATAGCGGCCCAATGAGTTTCTTTAAGCAAATCAAAGATCGAACGGAAAGCTGTCAGCAGGTGCCTGCGAAGCAAGGAAGTAAAATCATGGAGCTTGTGTCTGGGTGCTTTTCCATAAGATGTCCCATTTTTGTTGGCCTTCGAAAGAAAGACGAAAAGGATAACACTTTTCTTTCTCTGGCCGAGTCGGCCTTTAAAACTAACCAAAAGAGGGTGCCCCTACGCTTTACGCGGTTTCTCTTGCAGGTTTCCAAGCATTGGCATCCGAAGTTGTAAACCTCATCAACCCGACGAATGACCCACAGCGCTTGAACCAGGGGGGCTTCCTTTTTGCCTTGAAGCCTCCAACCAAGCACGTCTTTCTCAATCGGATCACCCCAAGGACCTCCACCCCGGGCGGCAAAAATACTGCAAAGACAAGCCCCTAACAAGATTAGGCCTTGACACCCGCCCCTCTCCATAGCGCACCAAGTCCCTCTTTTGGAGGGGCGAAAGTTTTTGCTTGTTTCGTGTTGGCTGGACATAGATCCCCAGGTTTCTCAGAATTGGGGACTCCTCCAGCTTGGCTTCATTTTGACCTCCTTACCACAAGGGGCTGGCTCGGATTCTGGACATTTCAGCCCCCTTGAGGGTAAATTGAACGCCTCCCCCTCTGCCCCCCACCAACCGGCGCCCCGCAACCGCCACTTCCGGCGGAAGCAAATCTAAAAAAGTTGCGCGAGCCCGGCAGGCGGCTGACCTGCAGGGCGCCTTCGGCCTGGCCATCTTTGATGCTGCCGGTGCTCCCAGCTGCGTAGAGCTGAGGTCCTTGGGGAGGATCCCTAGTGGTAGCCTTTTGGCCTTTCAAGCAAAGACAAGACACACATAAAAAGACTTGAAACCAGGGGGAGTCACTAGTTGTCCCATGTCCCTTGCCATCGCTGCGGCTGTGGGCATGTCTGTTTGGAGAGCGGCTTATTAGGCGGGCCTGTTGGTCAGCCCGGCTCTTTTTCTTTTTTTCCGTCGACCTGGTCGCGCTTCTGCGACCTGTATCCAACAAACAAAACTGCTCTCTGATTCGTTTTGCTGATGGGCTGCTCTCTGATTCGACCAGGGGAAAGCTATACCGACCTTTCGGGGCAAGCGGTTTGCTTCCGAAAGCCTCTGGACGGCGGGCGCTCGCCTGAGGGCTACATTAGCCCTGGGCTGCTGCGATGAGTCGAGCGAGCGAAAGAGACCTGTTCATGGGGCTGATGCGGTTTTAGTTTTTCACACGTAGAGCAATGAGACCAGCATGATGTAGTTTTGCAAAGCACAGACATGTCTACTATTAGGGTTTCATGATTCCCTTTCAGCACCGTAGGATCGCCACTTGCTTCATAGCTTGCACCTGGATTGTGCAGGGCGTCAATGGAGAAGCTGCTTGTTTGTTTTTGAACCAGCCCAGCAGCCCGGCGTAGAAGATGAAGTATGCTACGACCAGATATGTGCCTTCAATCCGGCTGGACAATTTGTGTTTTTTTTCTTCTTCTTTTTCTAGTATTGAAGGAGAGCAGATGTTCCCTAGCCAAGGATCACCCATTGCCCTTGCAAAGAAGCACACTGGGATGGCAAGGCTTGTGCCATGATCAACACAAACGACATCTGGACTTACGATTTGAGGTCTGTACTGTAGTCATGGAGGAACATGTGGGCCATTTGGGTGAACAAGATGAACTGTCTCAGCATATGACACGGAAACGCTCAAATTGAGCAAGCGATTTGCCTTTATTTGGAATCACAGACGGCCAAAGGGGTACCATACAAAACTTTGAGATGCCCAACCAGGTTCAGGCACGTAGGAGTGAGAGCCGGGCTGTAAACGTTTCGAGTGACCGGATGTGCTGTTTTTTGGGGAGGGGGGTTTGCCAAAAAGTGTCGCGTTCACCATCTGGCGAATTTCCCCATGGAATCAGCACTCAGGTTTGGGGCCCCAAGGCGCCAGAAGTTCCGCAGCAATCAACTTGGGCGTCGCTCAAGATCCATTTTTCTCGAGCCACAGCCCCTGGGTCGAGCTGCTTCAAGCGCCAGCCGGTTTCTTCGTTTTGGGTCCTTAGACCTGAAGTTGCGTTCCGCTTCCGCTTCCGCAGCCACTGGGCTTGGGCTCAGACGGATCCCATGATTCCATGCACGTCACGCGGGGTCTCGAGTGAGGTAGGCAAAGCCCAGGTGTTTTTTGGCGAAAGAGAGGCACGAAGGAACGCGGTTTTTTCACAGATGGGTCCTTGTGGCCTCACACAAAGCACAAATCACAAATCACGCACAGAGACCAACAAACACAGGCGCAAAGACTCCTCGCACACGTCGGGGCGCGCCTCGATTTTTTTCAGAGCCGTCATGGCGGGAGCCTTGGAGGGAGCCAAGACAGAGTGCCTTACAGGGCCTTACATGAGTAGCCCCCCCAAGTTTGGGCCAAGTCAGGTTTTACGAAGGACTAGTGAGGTTCCCCATATTCCCCCTTGCACGGCGTTAAACATCGCCTTTTCGCCTACTTTGAAGTGAGTCTTCTTTCGGTGGGTTTAAAGGGGAAACATAGGGAGCCCTGCAAGCCTTAGCCTCCTGAAGCCTGACTTAGGCATTGCCAGGGGGACCGTGGGATCATGAGGTTTTGTCTCGGATGCATTATCGTTACCCAACCGCCTGGTTCCAGCATGTTCCAGCGCCGAGTTGTGTTCCCTTTTTCCTCCAAGTTCCACATTGCGGTTCGGAGATTCTAGAGTGTTTTGGCTGGAAGGGGCGACTCGCCAACCAAGAGGTGCAGCAAAAAAAAGTGCGGCGTAGATTCCGGGGAAGTTCCTGGAGGTCTTCTAAAACGCTCGCTTTTGCTTCATGCTCTCACTTTGGGCTCGAGAAGGATCAGCAAGAGCGGCAGAGCCGTGGAGAGCAGCTGAGACTCTTGTGATCGGCCTCCTTTTTGTCCATTTCGCATGTTCGAATTGATGGCTGGTTTTTGTAGCAAGAGAGTTCGGCCATAGCACAGAGCTCCGTAGCACATTGGAGAAAAACAAATCACAGGGGCCCTCAGAGTCACGGAGCTTTTGTACCAGAGGCCAGCAAATGCCCGATTCAAGGAACCATGGCGAGGGTGGCGGGTTTGGGTTTTCCAACAAGGGGGAAAGTTCATGTTACCCTCACTTGGTGGTTTGGATTTGGATATGAAACCCTGGCTCTGGTAGAGGGTAGATGGGAAACCAGCCCTTACGCCAAACCACCACTCCAAACGGTCAATTGGAGGGAAGCTGATTCACCCCCCTTTTTCAAGCCGACAAAAGTGGCCTTTGATTCCCTGCAAAGACTTGGGACATAGGAAACCAAGGAAACCACCCTTTTCTCGTGGCTTTCTATTGGGAAACCAAAAGGAACTCCCTTGACTTTCAATTGTAGGCCGCCTCTACTTTCACCATCTTAGTCAGGGGGTCAAACGTCAAGCCCTCCAACTTTGTCTTACCTCAGGCGCCGGTGGGTGGCGTGCGGAGCACAACGGCTTGGGGCTCGGGGCGCCATGTGTCTCCATGCAGAAGGGGATAAATCAGATGGGTCAAAATGAAAGCACCAGGGGACGGCGTTTTGTTTTTGCCAATGTGTCCATTTGCCGCGGTTCCACTTTGGGTACCAAGTTTTCGACCCACACTCATACGGTGGCACCTTCCTTTGGAAGAAACAACTCATCGCCAGGGACCATAGGGGGCTTTTGCCCACAGGGGATCATGCGTGACGCGTTGCTTTGACATCGGGATTTTTGCAATGAGCCCCACCCAGCGACCATTTCAGGCCCCTCGCGCTGGGGCCCCAATGAAAAAGGTTCTCAACACATTTCATTATAACATGGTTCTTGTTGGGAAACATTTGAAACATCTTTGCTTATTGTGGTTTAGTGGTTGAAAACCAACCACTTAACTGCTAAAAAAATCGAATTGTTGCTCCCCTTCCAACGTCAACCAAGATAAGTACTGCCCCTTCTCAGAAGGTTCCGGAGCCTCTCTTGGGCGGGGGTGTGTGTGTGTGTTGGTTTCCTCCTGATTGGAGCGGGTTACCCACACATTCATTCATCCGGCCAATGATACCGTTTTGTTACGGCACCGCAGAACAACCATCACACCCATAAACGCACTGTTACAACTCGCACAACCCCTGTACAAAACTCCATCGAAACCAACAGGCAACGAAACATCTACGGCGGGTTCCTCCCACTCCAAAAACCAACAAACCGCCTCCGCCCCTCCTCCTCCACCCTTCTCCCCTTCCCCTTCCCCCCTCTGGGTGAAGCCTCCCCTCGGCCTTTGGCTGCCTTTTGGGTGAGGCGCGCAGCTGCGCGGTGCAGATCTTCGGCTCGGAGGAGGAGCTGGTGGTGCCGGTGACGGTGAGCACCCGTGCCCGGAACCCCAAGGAGTTGGCGTAGCGACGCGCTGGATGCAAGATGATGGGGATAGGCCAGAATGGGTATCGGTCAATAGAAGAGTCCCCTCCACAAATTGGTTTTTCCTGGCGGTTTGTTTGAAAACACAGGTACCCTCAAACAAAGGACGCTCCCAAACGGGTTGGAGCTAAATTGGACGTCTACTGAACCAATATGTAAGCGAAGGTGTGCCATGGTCAGGTTGATGAGGTGGTTTAGTCCAGCATGATTCTTGGTAAAGGTGACCGTATATTGTAGACCTGCACATCCATGCAATGGGGCTTCGTGTAAGAGTTAGCATACCCCTGGCTATTTTTACCATGCAAATCTGCAACTACCCTAATGGTTGCCGTTAGTAAGTTGAGTCAAGGACATACTCCCCAGAATGCCATGAAACCTCTCAAAACAACTCTGTCTCTGCCCACTCTGTGCGGCACCGGGCATTGCAAACCAACGGCATGTGAGCCGCAATCAAAGCCCGGGTAGATGAAGGTTAGTAAGGGACGATCCCCACCATATAGCTGCGGCCGCCTTCTTAGTTCTTTACATGGTTCTGGGTGCACCATTTTTGTATTGGGTTTTGATTATGACTCATTTGAGCCTCAACAGCCCATGTTGGCCTTGAACATGTGGGAGCATGTCACGTGCCAGGTTGGGGGCGGTTCTCTTCCATTTGCTTAAGAATATTCTTATGTTCCCCTGTTAGTTTTAAAGGGAATCTATCACTACTGGACATATTTTTATTTTTGCCAGGGGGCTTAAGCAAATGGCAGTTCTTGAAAGGAATGAAATGGCCGGCCGAGACCCTGGTCGTGAAAGAGCTCATCTCGCAAAAGCCGAAGCCCCAGCTACTCTTGTCAGTATGGCCCATGAGCCTGGTTTGCATGTGTGCAAGAGACATGGGTATGAGTTTCAATTGGGCACCCTTTGGTGGATATCAGAGGAGGGTGTTCCCTTTTAAAATTTAAAATGCCATAGCCTCATTTGCGAATGAAGCTGAACTTGCTGGCATTCGAGGGTTTTGGGGTTTCCCTACGCAGAAGCACGGCCTCATTCGCGAATGAAGCTCATTTTGATGTTTTTTTTTTTTTTTTTGGGGGGGGGGGGGCGATTTCTTCGCACCAGGACGGGTGTGCATGTGGATGATCTCAAGATCATGGCGAAGGGTGGACCCTTCATGCGGGAGCTGAGAAACACGGACGAGGCCTTCGTTTTTGATCGATCGATCGATTGGGATGGAAGCATAGGTGTCCTTTTTGGTTGATGTGGTTGCAAAATAGAGGGCGATTCCTGGTTTGCCTGGTGGTTCAATCAACTTACCAGGGAAACCCATTTGTTTTCCCAAGAAGGACACCTGGAATATTTTGAATTCTGGGGGTGCCAAGCAAAGCAAGGCCCAAACCTGTGGGGCAACTCGCCTTTTTTTATTTTGCAAGTCCCTTCCCATGACAACTGGTGCCATGAGATGACCACTGCAGCCATGGGATGACCACTGGAGCCATGGGATGGAAACACTGCGCTCAAGACGGGCCAGCGTTTGGGAGATCCATGCGAAGGCTCAGATGGAGATGTTGAAGTGAATCTGGGTTGACTTGCCATGTGATAAATAAATAAATAATATATATCTATATGTGTATATATATATACATATATATATATATATATATGCTAAGACCCCCTCCCAATACCAAGGTTTGGGTGTGTGTGTGTGTGTGGGTGCGTGCGTGCGGGTGTGTGTGTGTGTGTGTTGAAAGTTACCCTCCCCAGAAACATGGAACTTGGGAACCTGAAAGGGGCCCGGTCCGATTGACCAAACCAGGACACCCAAAGGTCAGGTTCCACGTGGCTTGATGGGCTTGATGGGAGGATACCTTTTTTTGGGGGGTGGTTTCAATCGCGAACCCCTTTGCTTTGCGGGTTGGGCATGGTTGGAAGGGTTGGGAAAGCGGAAAGACGCCAGGTGCGGAGTCAATGCTGGGTGAAAGGCAGGAGATGGCTGTTGGCTGGCAGGTGACAGGTGTCCCCTAAGTCTGTCCCTTGCGCTTCTGGTAGGTTTTTAAAGGAACGCCTGTAGCAAAACCACAGTCATGGGGAACGCGCCAGTCGTATAGGTCTGTTTGTGTTTGGAATTGGTACCCTTTGGTGGTCTGAAAGGGAAACCAATCACAAAGCCGAAGTTTTGTGTTCTATTTGTTCGTCGCGAAAAGCAAGACACCACCTGTTATCCAATTATCCTCGGATTAGATCAGAAACTCATTTGTCCGCGAATCGACCGGATTTGGCTGGATTTGCTTTTCCCGCAACAGCTGAAAGCTATGGATTTGGTCTCTGCCCAGATAGGCTCGATCGCGGTGGTTTGGGGCAGCTTTCAGGGAGGGTTCCGGAGTATAGACCATCCAACCGGTGGTTCCTTGAAGGGGATCCCCAAACGGTTCATTCCAATTATCATTCCTATTGCAGCAAGTTTAAGTCAGATTCCAAAAGCTGAACTCCTGTTGCTCATCTGGTGTGTTTCTCTTGCGGGACACACACACACACACTGGTGCATTTTGCTTGGATGTTAGGACTTTATAACTTTTTGCCAACTAATGTGTTTTCCGTATTAACCCACTAAAAGTTAGTCACTTTTAGCAGGGGAGCAGATTTAGCAACCGAGCAGACACACCCTCTCCAACATAGAAAACCCATGCACCGAAGGGCTTGGGCATCCATCGGCTTTGTAGGGCCGGGAATCGGCTTAAACAAATGTTTGGAGAAGGGTGTCTGCAAATAGAGTTGACCATGCTGAGTGGATTGGTGGATGAATCATCTGGCTTTATACGCCCTCGAATAATCACATGGCTTTATATGCACCTTACCCAGGGGCTTTGATTGACCATTAGCTATGGGCTTTGATGAAACATGAATTAACGATTTACTTGGCACTCGTCACAGAGAAGGTCCACACAACTCGCCTCTGAATTCTTCGCCCGCCTGTTCGCCTTGTGGTCCTTCTCGCTTGCTCGCTTGCCCGCTCTGGCGCCTCTTTTTTCACTTTCGGGGCGAGGACGGACAAGGAAGGGGCTAACATGGCCCTGCCGCTTTTGGTTAGGTCCCAAAAGGTCTTGAAGGCATCCAAGGCCGCGGCCTTCTTGTCCAGTGTCCAGGCCCTTTCCCTTTGATCTCGGCCTTCCCCGGATCGAGGCGTCGAGAGCTTCAAAAGGAAGAGGCAGCCGCTGGGGGCTTGGAGGTTTACGGCTCCGGCTTGAAGCATGCCCAAAAAGCCCCAAGAAAGATGGCCATTCTGAGGTCCAGCAACCACCAGTCTGGCCTATAAACATATATATATATATAGTAAATAGTATAATAACATATATATATATATAGATATGTGTGGAGCCCTCAACAAGAACCAAAGTCAATTGGGTTTGGTCACTGCTCAGGTGTTCAGTGGCATGTTTTCTTTGGGGTTTCCTAGAGCCCGTCCCCTTTTTCAAGCCACCGGGCGCGATGTACTCGTGGCTAGTTGAAGCGGGAGGCAGCTCAAGCGTCCGGAGTCTTTTCGAAAGCCGGTGCCAGTGCTTTCCCCAGCAGGTGTTTTTTCTTTCAAAATCGTGGTCCGTTGCCTAAAGTGGGTGTGTCTTTTGTTCGGGGACCCCCCGAACTGATGGTTGTCCTTGTGGTTTCCTCATACAAACAACAAACAGCGGGTTACCTCAAAAAAGACACCCAAGTGCCTGGCAACCAAAAACACAGCGGGCTACCTAAAAAAAGGGCACCCAAGTGCCCGGTAACCAACAAAGAGCGGGTTACCTTAAAAAACACACCCAAGTGCCTGGCTCCACTTTTGGCTTCCCTTCAAATACCAACTGGCGCGAACTCTTTGAGAGAACCCCGACCGAGGTACGCCCACCCCCATGCCATCATCGGAGCCGGCCACAACGGGCTACGGCAGGCGCGAGCGGTTCGCGGTTCCCGGACGACCACGACTCTTGCCAAGAGGTGGCCGGTTTAGCCATCCGGTTCCTTTAAAAAAATAAATAAAATAAAATAAAATAAAATAAATAAACTTTTTAGTTGGCTTAGTGGTTGGGTTCCATCGGATCTGACAGCCGAGTTGCGCTTGGGGTATTCCGGGTATCTTTCATAGGGAGACTCTTACCAGACCCACCGATGGATTGATGGTGAGACCTTTGCGCCCAGACGATTTTCTGCTTTCAGGGGGCCGGGAGAGTTCCATCGGCCTGATGCATAGCCAGTTGCAACAGCCCTGATGGACAAAAGACATGTCCCTGGTGGTGTTTCTCAAAATTACGTCTCCAGGTAGGTGGTTTCCCTTTAAAAGCCATCCAAAAGAGGTCCCCTATTTTGAGAAGCCTCCCTGTCATTCATCCAGGTGTTATCCATCTTAACTGGTGCAGGATCTTGTCCACCCGCGTGCCATTGTCATGCGTAACACCACCCCCCCATCTCTGTACCGGGTTTTGACTATGACTCAAGTGGTGTTCTATCCTACGGGCTCTTGCAGGAAGCACTAGCCTGACGCCGGACGGGAGGGAGCCACAGAGGCTAAATCAGCTCAACTCTACGCGGTTAATTTTATGGCTCAAAAGAAGGTCACAGAACTTTTCTTGAGGGTGCCCTGTTTGGGGTTGGTTGAAAAAGACCGAACCCGACTGAAAGAAGGGGGCAAACTTCGGCGGTTTGAGACAAATTGGGCCCCAAATGAGATGCGGGCCCCAAATTTGGGGCCCATGAAGCAACCAAGGGGGTTCATCTTAGCAGTTTCAGGCGCTGGTCTTTGCAGAGAACAAGGACACCAACTATGTGCTTTTCGACCGCCATGACCGGACCGGAGGCCCAGCGAAGTTACCTCAAGAAGCTTGCCAGCGGCTTTAGGTAAATGGGTCTGTCACCTTTTTGAGGCTTCTTGTTTGTGGCTTCAAAGGGAAACCAAGAGGAAAGCCCGCTATTTTGGGGGGTGTTTGACGAAAGACGTGCCGAAATAGCAGTTTTTTGAGAAGTCACGAGGCCCTTGCTTCCGGTCGCTGCACTCTTTGAGCACCACGCGCAAGCGTTGGCCGCTTTTGGTGGTTGGCCATCTCCAGCAACGTGCGAGAGCCTTGGGCCATAGTTTGCCTGAGCCTTGTTTAACAAATTTGGATCGCCAATCCATCATTGATGCACGCATTCAATCCGCCCACCAGTATGATCCGTCCTCACGGCTCTTGTTATTTTTTCGATTCTCATGCGGTTTGACCAAAGTGATGAACCCCCACTAAAACCAGACCCCCCCCCCCCAAATTCATATATCTCTATATATATATAGGGCTTAATTTGTCCTGGGTTAACGTCAAGGCCACCAAAGAGTTCTCATGCAAGACTGTGGGCATCAGACTTCATGTAGGCCGTTTACCTGGCCGGGTCTTAAAACATGTTGTATATGGGTTTGTCTTTTTCTTTTTGTCGGGACCTTTCCCCCCCGAAACAAATGGTAGTTGTCCTTTTGTTTTTTTAATTGAGGGCGAACCAAAAAGGGGTACCCACAACAAAGACACACACCCATATGACTGGTGGGTGCCATGTGGACAGGGTGCACCAGACGCTTTGTCCGAGGGTGGGCGGCACTTCCTGGTTGGACCATGCCAACAAGTGGTCCAAGGACCGCTCCAATGCGCGGGTCGCGCGGGTCGGGCGTGTAAGCGCGAGGACGCTTGTAGCTGGTGCGTTCAGAGTTGGTTCCTTGAAACTGGGCTGGTGGCCTTGAATGGCACCAATGCATCCTTTTGGTCCTTTGAACCGACCTAGATGGGCCGAGATTTTAGAACACATGGGCAAAAACCATGGCGGCTCGATTTCTGTGGGCCCGTGAGAGGCAGACCCAAATGACTGATCAGACAAAAGTATGAGTAGACTACTGTTAGTTCATCTTGAATTCCAGAGGTCAAGATCGCCCGTTTTTTCTCCTTTGTTTGTTTTCTCATGTCATGTCTTCTCAGGAAGCAACGCATTTTGCCCGCGGTTCGATTTGCTTCCCTTTGAGGCGGTCCAAGGCGAACCACTCCAAAGCACCTGGCTAACCACCGACTCACCATGGTTGTTGTTGGGAAACATTTTACATTTTTGCTTATTGTGGTTTAGTGGTTGAAATCCAACCACTTAACTGCCAAAATTTGAAAATGCTTGCTCCCCTTTCAACGTCAGTCACCGGGCAGGTCCAGACGGAGCTGGGCACCTATCACTTGAACTACTCGGAGCAGTGCGAGTGCCCCAAGGTGTGGGTCGAGGGTCTTCGCTTCGGGTCGAGACACGCTGGGAGTTTGGTCCGTGGTTCTTTTCCTGAGTTCCTGCACCTCGGTGATTTTTTTCGGGTTTGGCAAACTTGGGCGCCATTGTGAAATGATCGCGCCTGGATGGGGCGAGGTCCCAGGCTTTTAAATTATACACTACTTTTGCCACATAGAACACTATAATAAATTAGTATGGTTGACACGCATGATCCATATTTTCTACTAACATCCCTAGTTGGGAGTTTATAGTGCAAGTGCTCCTTCATCACACAAGCCACTGAACCATGGCCCCCGCATGGCTACAGTTTTTCATGAGCCTTTGGGCACTACTTATGTGGCACATGTGATGTTTCTTAGTTCATAATAGACGAATTGGACTTTTGAAGTTTCTCAATCATGTATTCTGTATCAGATGAATTGGAGTTTTACGATATTGCAAAGCTGCCGGGCGACCCCTCCAAAGCCCATTCTCTGGCCCAGGTTAGCAGGGCTCCTTAAAAGATCTCCATTTTGCCCATTTGAAACATGTTGCTTTTTCCACCAAAAGAAAGGGAAACCAGCAAATAAACAAGGCAATGTTCAGGTGTATAATGTTCTCTGGCCCAGGTTAGGGGGGCTCATTGTCCGACTCAACTTTGCTCGGCTCGCTGGGCGTTTGCAGGGCATCTCGCCCTGGCCAAGCAGGCCGGGCTCTCAGCTGGCGTTTTGTTTGCGGTTCGGGCGGCCTATATAAGTGGCAGGAGTGGAGCTTCGGCCGAAGTGATCAATGGCCAGCTTGGAGGAGTCTTTTGGCAGGCAATGCCCCGAACTTGATGTGCACTGCTCATGTTGGATAGACATTTGCCAGCTTCTTTTCGTTTACTTTTGTTTGCCAAGACACATGGGTGTGACTTGTTTTTGTGAGGGTACGCCGTTTTGGGTATGTTTCAAAGGGAAACAAACAGCAGACGGCATGTTTGGGGGGTACCCTAAAAGCAATGCCACATGGAGCATGAGCTTGTTCAGGCGGATTGGGGCCTTCACATGTCAAAGGCGTGAGGGCTCATGAGCTGACGCTTTTTCCTGAGGGATGAGCTGCTGGCTCACTTTGACCAGGCGGGTGAGCCCGCTTTTTTTCCGATGGACGCATGCTCGCCAAGCCTTGGAGGGCGGGAATTCAGAGATTGCAAAAACAGCCCAAGTTGCGGCTTTTTGCCAGGTACTTTGCCCAAACATCAGTCACGGGGAAAAACAACAACAGGCGATCTAGGCAAGATTCAATTGTTTAGCTGCCAGTTGGGTAAAAAAAAATGAAGCCGCTTGTCTCCTGGCGTCGGAGGGTTTTCTGCTGGCAGGTCTGCGATGAGTGGGGCCTGCGGCCTCATTTCAAGATGAGCACCGATGTGCAGAGGCGCCTTGGCCCAGCGACCCCCCAAAACCCACCTTCGGGGATCCCAAAGCGATGTGGAAGTCGAAACATCTCGGGCCGTTTTTGGAGGCAAAAAAGTGACCCCGGGCTCCCCCGGGTTTTGGTGTGTCCTTTTTGGGAGTCCATGGGGTTGTTTGAAACCCGGGGAAACGTGGACACTCAGTTCAGCGTCCCTCCCATTTCGAGTGTCGAGGTACGAAGTGCGAAGCGGTGAGGGCGGCCAGAGCTACAGGCTATCTCTAAGGACCTCGGAGAACGGCAAGAACGAGGACTCGGACCCCCCCGCTGGTTGCGCGTTTCGGGGGTGCCCTGCCTGGATTTCCGGCCTCTTTTTAAAGGTGTTCACCTTATTCAGAACGCAGGGTTGCGAAATGCATGAGTTGACCTTGTGTGCAAATCCAAGCTATCGAAGGGATGCCTCCAAGTCCCGCGTTGGAGATGTGGGTCAACGCCGGCCTGGGGTCCGATATGGCTATGCTGTTTCGAGCACCCCTCAAAGAATGATCCGCCAAAGGAATTGAGATTTGCACAACAAGACTGAAAGGGAAACCACACATGTCGCACCTTCCTGTATTTGTTTTCACGAGCTGAGTTTGTTGGAGTATTCTTTCCGTTTCTGGGATTGTGCTGATGCCCGCAATGCCATTCTGAGACTGGGCCAAAATGCAGGTGACTTCGGGGGCTGTTGAGGGCGGGGACCTCTGGCAGGACTGGGAGACCACAGCCGGAGTCCCACTTTGGGCTGACGTGGGTGCTTTTGCGCTGGGCGGGAATGCAAAACTTGGTGGCTCCCCGCCATCCCCTTAGCCTTTTAGTTGTTCAGTGTTTAGTGGTAGTTTCCATTTAACCCACTAAAAGTTCAACTTTTGGCAGGGGATCTGAAAACGGGCAGCCCGGAAAAGGCGTTAGCAAACCAGCGCTTCGATTGCCAGAAGCTTTCAAGTTTGGACCTTGTTTTTGAGCGAGAGGTTCTTCATAGCGGTCAGAGGTTGTTCATAGCGCCCAAGACCCCTATTCTACTGGCATTGTAGTAGGCTCCACTGCCTGGTTTCCTGCCTACATGTGGGTGTCTTTTTTTGAGGGTACCATGGGTACCTTGTTTGGGGTTGGGTTCCAGGGAACCCACGGAGAAACGCCAGCTTTTTGGGGGTCCTATTTGTAAGACAGGCCCCATGTGTTTCACTTGCCCCTGAGGGACCTGGAAAAGGGAGAAAAGGAGATGTGATCATGTGATCACCTTTTGGCACCTCAGCCAACAACGGGAACCCGAAAAGGGAAAACAAAAACCACATCCGCCGCTGGCCATACCCGCGGCGAGTGGCAAGTGACGCTGCTCGGGGCTCTGCGTGGGAGCCCCGAGGTGGCCAGCCTGGTGATGTACCCCGGGAACCTCACCATTCCTCGGCGAGAGGACCTGGAGAAAGGTTCTCTCGCAAAAATGGGGCAGCCAGTTCTGGAGCTGGGCTGGAATTTGTCTTTTGTTCCAGTATTATCATTATAATGATTATTGTGATATATTGTGATCATGATTATTGTTATTGTTGCTGCTTCTTTTTTTTTGTGGGTGTCCGGGGGGGGGGCGCTTCTTCTTGTTGACAGGAAGTTACAAGGAATCCAGGCAATGCGGCAAGGCCCTCTGCAAATTTGAACGAGTGATGGGTACGACTCAAAATATGTTGACCCTGAGAATAGATGGTACAACTTTTGGCTTCCCACAAAATGACAACACTGGTTTCTCATCTTCTTCGCGTCTTAGGGTCAGTTCCGCTTTTGGACCCTAGAGATGGCTTCGTAGCCCCATCTCCAGGTCAAAAGTGAATGACAGAGTGTGAGATGTTGAGAAAACACCTCTTCGCGGAAAACCACCCAAAAAGGATGCGGCAATTGCCACCTGGGAAAGGTTACCCATGGTCATTTTGGGCCATTCAGGGAATATTGATCAAGCCCCATGCATAGGTATAGGTCCTCGTGGCGCAAGCAAAGCACAGGGTTATGTACTGGACGCAGTTCGAAGGATCGCCTCTGGCTTCAGTGCCTCGTTTGGAACGGGCGATGCGGGTGCCAAGTTCGAATCTTTCGGAGCTGACGTCAAGCTCTGCATCTAAACTGCTGAATTTATGTGGTAACTAAGCAAAACGAGCTCACCAGCATGGTCCCTTGGTCATTTTTCGGGGATCCCCTTTTGTCAGGTCTCGGACTTGAAACGTTTTGTTGATCCCAAGCCGCCCCAAACGCGACCGCGATCTCGACGACCGCCAGGAGTACAAAGGCGAGGATGTCTTTGGGGCTTCGGCCTGAGAGACCGACGCCTGCGGGTGGGTGGCTGGCTGGTAAGTGGAAGCCAAAAACGCAGGAGGGACTGACCCCGGCCAACTGCAAGCCATCTGGCAAGCCGGTTTTTTGATGTCTTTGAAACGGGGTTCCGTTGCACCGTTGCACCCATAGATTTTGTTGTCTTGTGATGGTTTTCTTGATTGCTATTGGGCAACGGGTCTTTAGACTTTCACACTTTTGGGGTTGAAACGGGGAGGATGCTTAGTTGAAACCCACGGAAAGTTCAGCTTGTTGCAGGGCCACTGCCAATTCAAAGGAGCCCCTCGTGTGAACAAGCGTTCTGGTTGTCTCGAGGCATTCCTGGATTCAACGCGAGGCATGAACAGTTGAACAGACCACATATCCATTCTACTTTCAAGAAGAGGTTGCTTTGTAAGATGTCGCAAGAAGAAGGTCTCTTAGTCGGTGCCCATTTTGTTGCAAAGAGTCAACAGTGTCAGCCAACCCAACTTACCCTGGACCAACGATGGGCCGATTTCTCGGCTGGCGTTTGAGGGGGTGGTCTCCTATGGCATGTTCGACGAGACCGACTACGGGGCCTTGACGGGCAAAAACGCGCGGGGCTCAAGGTGGGAACCGTGGCCGGTTTTTCCATGCCGAAGGGCACACGCGCCATAGTTCTAGGGGGTGATTTTCCTTTTCCATTCTTTTCCACCATCGTTCTTCTCAAACACCGATCGCTGTTTCCCCCCGGGTTTTTGATGGGAAACCCGAAAAGAAGGATCCCTGGAAAGAATGGAAATGGAAGGTACCCCTAGAATAGGGCTGTCTGCCCTGGGCTTTGTTGTGGAGGGCCACCCTCTTTTGGCTTCTTCAGGATGTGCACCAAGAGAGTACGGGAACCTAAGATCACTAAAGTGAATCACCAAGCCCTAGGGGTTGATTTTGATCGGCAGGTGTCTCATGTTTCAGAGGGACTCCAGATCATTTCATGGTGTGTCTCTTTTCGGGGACCCCCTCAATTGTGGATTTCCTGCAGGTTTCCCCTAAAAACACAAAGCATGGGTGCCCTAAAAATATATATAAAAAATACCAAAAAAAACAGACCATGTTTTTAGGAGAGACACATCGATTTGCGGAGTTTCGGGCGGGCCCAGATGGGATATGAAATGCACAGGCTTCCTCTGATCGGAGCCTGTTGGATAGAATCCGTTTAGGGCCCCCAAATACGCAGTTTGCATTGTAGTTTCATAAGGGATCCTCTTCAGGATCCATTCCCCAAAGTCCCGGTTTCCCCGTTTTTTTTGATCAGGTCGTTTCATCTTCCCGCATTTCCGGTTCGGATTGCTTCCTCGTCCGGGTGCCTTGACCGGCGAGCGATTTGGTCTTTCGCTCGGGGCTCCGAGGTGGCGATCGTGGGCTTCGGCGCCTTTGCCGTGGAGAACATCCGCACCTGCCGGGGGCACGGGATCGGAAAGTCCCCCAGCTTGCCCGACCTCTCACCCCTAGGGAGGGACCCCCTAATAAAATAGGGGGGATCCCCTAGTAAAATAGACACAGGAAAAAAAAGGGTACCCTTATTCTAGCCTCTCTATTGGAGGACCTAGATATGTTTTACTTTGAATGGTTTAATACAGTATAGTATTGTTGTTTTACCATTGCATTGCATTAACACCACCTGATAATGATACAACTACATATTTCGTTACTGCATTGCATTTTGTACAATCATTATGCCACAAAATAAACATATTTATGTATTATTATTCTATTTGGTTTAATATTGTCAATCGTACTATAATTAAAATAAGTCTTTTTTTAACAAAACAATTTCATCTTTAGCTTTTCAATGCGATCATAATTAACCCCCACTCTATTCTATTGTGAAATGATTCAATTTCAATTGTTTCATTTCCTAATATTGTAAAATGTTGTAAAACAACATTTCCATACATGCTTGTATACACTCACTTTGCATCTTGTATTTATGTGCTGGGGTGGGGTGGGGCGGGGCGGGGCGGGGTGAGGTGGGGTGGGGTTGGGTGTTGGAGGTGGGCGCCATGTAGGGGTTGCCCAACGATATGGCCTTGTCCTCCCCTCCCTAATACAGCTGGGCAGGGGGCGCAAGAAGGAAAAGGGAGTGCTTACTTGGCCAATTTGCATGCTGTGGAAGCACGCGCCCAAATACAGTGGCCCCAGGTTGTCAACCCTAGACAACAATTGTTGTAACTTGTGACCACACTGACTGTTAGTGTTGATTGTGGGGTGGGTTGCGGTGTTCTTAGATCTTTACATGGTATTGGGTTTTGGTTCCTTCCATTTGCTTATTTTCCCTTGTTGGGTTTAAAAGGAATTTATCACTACAAGAAGTATTTGTTTAATTATTTTTTCCAGGGGTCTTAACCAAATGGAAGGCTCTGATCATGACTCACAACACTTTGTGCCCTTTTCCCGGCACGCGCTTGAGGCTGTGAGCACCGGTCTGGCAAGATCTACCTGGTCTGCCGCAGGCCGCTCGCTCGAAAAGGGCGTCAGCCCATGTCTGCTTTGGTGCATTTTGCCAAGGGATATTAGGACTTTAACTTTTTGCCAGCTCATGGGTTTTCCATTAAACCACTGAAAGTTAAACTTTCAGCAGGGGAGCAGAAAGCAACCAATGTCTGCCTAGTCCGCACCACACGGCCGTCCCCACAGCCAGCGAGCCGCGCGCCCCCGTTCTGCACACGGCCACGGCCGTCCCCCAGCATGCTGCACGACACTAGTCTGCACCTTGGTCAATAGACACGCGGGGGTTCCCTTTAAAACCACAAAAGGGAATCATGAGATTAGGAGCTTTGACCGTGTGACATGTGAGACATCGAGACCTGGGGTTGCTTAGACCGAATGCACGGTATTTATGAGGGGGAAGAACAGGGAGGGGCGGTAACCCTGGCGGCAGGTGAAGGTTAGAAAGTGGCAGGCCCATTTAATGCTTGACATGAGCCACAATCAAAACCCGGGTAGATGAAGGTTAATAAGAGACAATCCCAATCATCAATATCTTCAGCCGCCTTCTTGATTCTTTACATAGTTCTGGGTAGACCATTTTCATACCGGGTTTTGATTGTGGCTCACAGGGGTTTTCTGGGGTCTACTCCAAAACTGTCAGAATTTGGGGTTTTATGGAGTCAGAAGGAATTGCTGTTGGAGTCGCCGACACTCCGACATGCGAGCCAAGTTTTGGATAATAGACCTTTGCACTGCCAGGGTTTGATTGTGACTCATGTAGGCACCCAAAGAACCGAAAACCAGGTGTGTGAGGCGAGTGCATGTGGGAATGTGTACAACACATGTATTTCGAGCATTTTCGAGCTTGTATAGCTAACAACTTGCCATGACTCCATAGCGGGTTGTGCATGTTCCCGTTGTTCGGGGGTTGCAACCATGAGTCTTGGAAGGGAACGAACGGATTTTCATTTTGACGCCGCCAGGAAAAACTTGTGCATGCCGCGGATGGTTTCGCAGGACGCCCCAGACCTGTTGTCGTGGCAACTTGCCCGAAGCGGCTGTGGCCCAGAAAACCGGGTACAGTAACCCCAAAAGGGGTTGCCCCCCGGTGTTCTGGACACATGGACCAACACCTGCGGTTTGCCCCTCCTGTTTTAATGTTGAGCCACACCCAGCTGGCGCACTGGTTTGGATTTTGAAAGCAAAGGGCAACTCACTTGCAGTGTTCCTGGACTTTCTACTTTCGGGAAGACCATATTCTAGCGGCAAACCACAGTTTGGGGACTGTTTTGGCGAATCGGCTCCAAAAGTGAGGCAAGCGAGAGGAATCGAGCCATCTTTGGGATTCCCCTCGTGCCCTGCACCGTGGCAACAGTTTGAGGCCCAGGGCTTACGTTTTGGCAGAAGGCACATCCTTCGGGCTGTCTCACTTGCTTGTGTTTTGATGTGAGCCACGTCCTCAAACCCCGGATAACTGAAGGTTAAGGGACCAGCCAGAATGAGGTGCGGCGGAATTCCGGCTTTGCAGTTCTTAACATTGGTTTGGGTAGACCATTTTGGGTCCGCTTGCCCAAGGTTTGTTCCCCTCAAAGCGGGGTGTTTCCTTGGTAGCACTTGTCTAGACCATTTTAGGATTTGCCGGGTTTGATTGTGACTGTGACTTTGACCTTCGACTTTTCGGGAAGACGGTTCCCCAGTCTTGCCAGTCAAGACGTGGCTTGTCTCCAACCACCCCAAAATCCCCAAATGGCAACTGCTTCCTTGTGGTTTGTGTTCAAAGCCCACATATAGGGCTCCCCTCTTCCAATTGTCAGTTGCTCTTGTCGGTTTTTTTTGTTTTTAAGGTTGGAAAAATTGGATTTCGGTGTTCTTCTTGGTCTTGTTCCGTTGATACCACGAACAAGGGCTACCCTCAAAACGAAAAAACGACACCCAAATATGCTCTGATGCGGGGATTATCTTTCCTGTTGTGTTCTTTGGCCCTCATTCAGGTTGACGCAATGTTGACCCCATATGAATTTCAACCCCCGTCTATTAGACGGAGGGGTGGGCCCCCCTCAAAAAGCGGTCTGATTCCCACCACAATTTACCAGGGAGAAGCAGCAACCCCCGGACAAACTGGTTGGTTGAACAATTCATATGGGGTCAACATCACCCGGGACTGATGTCGGTTTCCCTCTGGTTTCCCTAGAAGGTTCCCCGCTTGACACGAGCGTCTAGGTGGTGGATCAATGGCTCCGTCTTTCCGGTGGCGGCGGGCGATGTCCTGCGAGAGATGGAGGTGCCGGAAACTTTCTCAAGCTGCATGGGCCCGGGGGGTTCTGGCTTCCAGTTGCTGTAAATGAATATGTGTTGTGGTTCCTTTCGCCTTTTTTTTTTTAACAGGGAGCCGATGTCACTGGAATATTACAGGTGTTTCCTAGGGGCGAAAAAGCAAGGGAGGCTGGGCAACATGTCTCCAAACGGAAAACCAAACGGACTCCTTGAAATGGATTTCGGGTTTCCTGTTGGTTTCCTTTTAGCGAAGCCCAAACAGGATACCCGAAAAAAAGCAAGACACCCATGGTCGTGTTTTTGCATGCGGGGCCCAACACTCCGATGTTTACGTTAATCTTTATGTAGGTTCATTGTTTCTCAGACCCTGGTGTTTTTCTTCCTTTTGTTCGCCTCCAACCATGGCCCGAGCGAATTGTCCTTTTAGTTGTCACCGCTTTTGACACGCGCCCATATCTCCGGAAGAAGAAGCCAGCAAAAACAGCCAAGGCTGTGGTCACTTCTTCTCATCCACTGCATGCTGGAAGTTATGTTATTCTTTGGTGGGAAAAGCACAGCAACTGGCCGTGGCAAGGATCCAAGAGGGGGGAGGTTTAATAATCTAAGTGAGGCGCACGGACGCTCGGGCCGGCTGGCTGGCCCTCTTGTGGTTTGGGAGATGCGGTCGAAGTTTGGTGCCAAGGCCTGGGGTACCCGCCTGGGCTCATTGCAAGACCTCAAGAAGCGCTGTTGTTACGTCTTCATTGGGTGAAGATTCTTCGATGCTCGGAGATACTTTTGCTCAGGTTTGCTTGCTCCGTTGGAAGAAGAGAGGGGTTGACCTCAATGGCCTGCAAAAAAAGGGGAGGGCTACATGAGTCTGGTGCTTCTGGGTAGAGCGACCCTTCACAGCAACGACCCCTACAGGCGCTTTCGCGCCTGTCAGGACGCGTACAAGATGGTGGGCGATGACCCGTCGCTAGCTTAGACGACCGGTGCGTTCTAGGTGACCCGCTGAGTGGGCAGGGTGATTCACACATTGCCCTAAAGTGGTGCAAGCGATCGGATCCGTTTATGACTAGCTGTTCAGTGGCACCCTTTTCCCCCTTTTTTTGGGAGCTGCCCCACTAAAAATGGTCTTCCCCAAAAAGGGTTCCCTTTTTTTCCAGGGTCACTGAACAACTGGGATTAGAAACCATGTATAAATGGACCTCGTTGCCATTGACATGTAAGCAGAGCCAAGTTTCGATGCGACTCTGCGGGTTGCTTTAATGATTGAAGGACCATCACATGATACTAGAGCCCCGCTGCTAGACTAGTGCATTTGCGTGCAACATTTGTCCGAAAGTGAGAGAAGCAGACAGCGAGAGAAGGACGCCTCGCCTGCTTGACCCCCTGAAGCTACAAAACGCTCCTAGCAGCACAAGAAGAGTTTGAACATTCCGCGTGCTATCCAGAGTCAGGATTTGTACTCATGTTTGCAGGGCTTGCTTGGATTAGTTTTGCAAGCCTCAGATCTGGTCGCCATTTTCATTTGTCGGATTTGGTCGGACAGACATATGGAATTGGGGCATACTGGCAGACTGGATCCGGCATTTTCGCCTGAAAATGGGGAACCCCGAACATGAGATTGGTCTTCCTCTCACGTCCCTTTCAATCCAAGGATCCAAGGGACTCAAGTCGAGTTGTGAACTGTTGGGAAGGCCGCATGGCAAAGCCTCGAGTGATCCCTGTCAAGCCGACCAAAAGGGGCTCGCCCGAAAAAAAGGTGCCCGGTGCACCCACAAATCGAGCCACACCCATCCGAGGTGGAGCTACTATGCCGTGCGCGCCAATGAGTCGCGAAGCAACGTCACCATCTTCCAGAAGGCACTGCAATGACTGCTTGAAGGGGCAGGGTGCTCAGCAGGGAATGGGAAGTTTTGAATGCCCCCTATAAACCATCCCACCGGTGGTTTCCTTTAAGGGAATCCCAGGTTCCTTCCCTCATTCCCTACTGAGCACCAGCAAGTTGAAGGGGCAGGGTGCAATTGCTGATGGAGGAAATCCCGTTTCGCGCCAGTTGGCATGAATCAAACTCAACTGCTGGCAGCCACCTAGTGCTAGCCAGTTGGAAACTCTGGTTAGAACCCACTGAGGAGGAGATTCATGTCCACCAACTAGTTTGAAGGTGTTCCAAATCTCGGAAAAAAAAAAAACACATAGCCATGGGTATGTCCTTCTTAAGGAACCCCAAACTGCCAGGCGGTCCTTTTGGTGCCCCTTCCAAGCAACCTGAAGGGTGCCCTCGAACAAGACGAGGCACCCACAGGTTTGGTCACAAAGCCCATTAGAGAATAAGGACCATTCCTAGAAGCCCAACTCACCCCAACCGAAACCCACCCGAAACCCGGACTCCATGAGGCCTGTTTTTTCCAGCCGCCGTTTGTACTTCGGCGTACTTAAGGGGTGCCGCAATAGAGTGCACACTCATTTCAGAATGATATTCAGGGAAAGAAGCTTTAGTGATCGTCACGGCATGGGGTTTGCTTGGTCTTGCCCGTTCAGCCAACTTGCCCCACAACGGTTGCCGGTTTCACACCATGGGATAAAATATTGGCACTTGTATCAGACAAATTGATCATCTCCTTAAACACGTGTTCAGTTGCTCTTCAAGATGCCAAAATGTTCTCAAAAGGCTGCCAAGGACAAGTCGCAGCAAGGTACACATCGGTGTCCTTTTTAGGTTAGGTTGGTAAGGAATAGATGGGTTCCACTGGTTTAGGGTTTTATTCCTTTTGCCCTCTCACCAATTCACATGCAACCTGACGTTCGGGGCAAACCAGGACCCCGAACGTCAGGTTCCAGGTTAATTGCTGGGAGGGTTCCAGGGCCATCTATTTTTTCCCGAAGGTTCACCTACTGTGGATGGACAAAATCCTGCACCACTTAGGAACCCCTGGAATGTTGATTCCCCCTGTAAATACCAACAAACAATGGTTTCAAGCATGGTTTCAAAGTGGTCGAGCGGATTTCGCAACCATCCACAGTATGACGGGTCAACTGCAGGTTCGCTTGCCCAGCTTTCGATTCGGCCGGATCGATCCGGATCGATTCGATTCGATTCGATTCGGTGTCCTTTTTCGTGAGAGGCGAGGTTCGGCATCGGAGACATCTACTTCTTATCGAGGCGGTGGGAAGTGTTGATGGGTTGCCCATTTGAGCCACAATCAAAACCCGGGTAGATGAAGGGGCAGTCCCAGCCGGAAGTAGTTGCGGAATTCCGCCTTTCTACTTCTTGAAGCATGGTTCTGGGGCTCCACCATTTTTGTTCCGTACCGGGCTTTGAGCATGTGACTCATTTTGGGAAGCCACGCGGAACCCAAGAAGTTGGGAGTTGGGCGCTGTGTTGAGACATTTTTGGGAGTCCTCAGACACCCACGGTCAATCGAAAAGGTGGCATGCATGAATCGTTTCTGGCATGCATAAGATGCGCGCAGATGACCCAGCTGACTTTTCGGGGATCCAGATCCCTCCCCGAAACGAGCCTAGTCTCCTGCAAATGATGGCTTTCCTCTTCAAATGGTGGCTTTCTGAGTTCCATGGGAGCCCACAGAAGGTCCAAAGACGCGCCTGCGAGCCCATTTGGGCTGTCCCTCTTTTCCAGGGCTTAAGAGCTACCCCCCCCCCTTCCTCCTGTGGTTGTCAGAGGTCCCACAGAGAGGGGAGCCCCCAAAACTGGTGCCCAAAAGAAACCTCTTAGCCCCCATCAATCGCTCTTCGGATTGGGGGGCCCCTTGTTGGGGGGCTCTTGACAACCATAGGACCTTTTTCTTGTCCAGGCCTAATGTAGATCAATTGTCGATCGGAGGTACTACGGGAAGAGTGAGGTAGTCATCGGTACGGTGAAGAAACTCTCGGAGTCGACCATGCACCTGGAGGATGGCAGAAAGTTGCAGGATGTTCAGGCGCCAATTTTGTGTGGTGGGTGGACAAAGCAGGAGGTGTTGAGCTTGGGAATTTTGTGGTAAGATTGCAAATTTCCAGGCTTTAGGCTGCATTGTGTTGAATTTTGCGGCTATTCCGTGATACCAAAGCACACTTCTCGAAAGTGACCTGGTCACAATGAGGGTCTCAAGTTTCCCACCACCATGGTTCAGGCGTTGGGGCGGGAATCCAAGGAGGTCATTGCGAGACTCGTGTGAAGACGCCTCCGGGCGCCGGGGCGAGGAGGTTGCAACCCGATCGAAGGGCGCCAGCCTCTCAGGCCCCTTTCAAGGTGTCGGGATGGGAGGTACTCGCCGAGCTCACCTGGGTCAGGGTGCGTGGTACTCTCCCTCCCACTAACGTGGCGCCTGACAAAGCCCTGGTCCCTTTAGGAGAAAGTTGATCCAAGTACCTTCCCACAGGTGCTACGTTGGTGGGAGGAAGGGTAATTCCCCTTTCTTTCTCAGGGCTCCTTAAAAGATACATTTTGCAATCGTTTGAAACATGTTGAATTTTCCAGCAAAATACAGGGAAATCACCAAATAAACAAGGCAATGTTCAGGCGTTTTTCATGTAAGGATCTCGTTCTTTCTGGGTTTAGGAAGCGAGAAGGACGCCCTTGCCACTGGGGTCGAACAAAAATTCCATGTTCACGAGCCAAATTGACCTTGTCACAAGGGAACCCCGAAACCATGCTGTTTCCTTCTGGTTGTACCTTTCAACCAGCCCAAAAAGTGGGTTTTCCAGAAGCACCACAGACACCTAAAGTGGAGTGTGTTGTTTAGTTGGAGCCCATCAAAATGTGGGTGCTTCTCCTTTTATCTTCCTCTAACCGTCACACGTCCTGAGTTCCTAGACATTTTTTTCTTTTTGGGAAGACCCATTCCAGTGGCACAGCCCAGGAGGTGAGATCTGTTTCCACTTTTTTGGGCGAGTCAACTCAAGTGGGAGCAATTCAACAGGGCTCCTGAAAAAATATCCATTTTGCAACCGTTTGAAACATGTGGCTTTGTCCAGCAAAATACAAAGACACCACCATTTACCAGTTGCAATGTTCAGGTGTTTGTAAGGATCCCTGTTCAACAGGGTTTCCACCGAGCGAAAGAACGGCGTCGAAGACCGAAGACCTCCGGAGGCCATCCTGAAGCTCTTCGGCTTCGTGCCGGACTGGGCGGTGGACAAGTTCCTGCAGCTGAAGCACCTGACGGGCATCTGGGCGCCTCGTTTGGTTGGTCGGTTGTCGGGATTCGTCGGCTTTCGTCGCTGTCTGCGGTGTCTTCGTGTGCCCCTTTTGGCGGGTTGCCGTTACTTGGTTCGGATTGGTGGGAACTGGAATTGGCTTTCAGCCCATAGCTTTGTAGAGGGTATATAAGTGGGAAATCACCCCCCCAAGCAGACCACGAATTCAAACAATCAGTTGCAGGGGTTCTGAGCCATTTCCCTTTGTGGAGCCTCCTAAAGTGGCGATCGCTTCAAGGAAGCCACCAGTAAATTGATCAGCTTTTGAGTGGGGGAAATCCAGTGACCTCTGATCTTTTCCGTCGACTCAAGTCATGAAGCGCTCGCAAAGATATGGGTGTGTCGCTGTTCCATTTGGGGGGCAACCGCAAAATCGGTGGGTGTTCCTGGTGGTTTCCCTTTCAAGCCAACAAAACGGGTACCATGTTGGTGCTAGCAAAGACATGGGCGTGGCATTTCGGAGTCGGACCCCCTCAAACGGCGGGGGAATTCAACCAACCACCCAGGATCAGGTGTGATCAAGGACCAAGTCGGTTTTTATATTTTTCCGTCGGGTGGGAAATAATTCCTTGGACCGTCTCCAAATGGGGTGCCTGGGATGGAAAGCCTTTTTTGGCTTCCCCTTTGGTTTGGGTTGCCATTTTTTGTAGGTACCCTTTGTTTTTCACCTGCATTCAAAGGGAAGCCAGAAGGAACAGCCCATTATTATTTTTTGGGCGGGGCAGCCCCTGACACATATCGCATACTCATATGCCTTTTGATCCTGTTGGTCCCTTTTGAAGTGAGCTTGGATGGGGGTGATGTAAAAGGGAGATACAGGGAGCCCTGTGTGGAGAGCAAGCCGAGTGGTTTGTGAGAAATTCGAAAGACGGACACTGCAGGCCCAGATGGTGGATTCACGTGTGGTAAGATGAGTTCCTTTAATTGGTTCAGGATGGTCATCACCCTCTTAGGTAAAGGTTGCTAAGGGAGACATGACCATGATCCACATAAGGAAATTCTGACCACGTGTCCAACTCCGGCGGGGTGCACAGGAAGTCTATGTTTGTTTCTTCCAAACCAAATCTTCAAGAACTTGTTTTGAAAATGCCGTTGGCCCCAAGTTTCCCGTTTGTTGCAAGGTTTTGTTTCTTCCTTTTTTGCTCATTTGCGACATGCTTTCTCACGCCTCCACACGGGCCTTGGGATAAAAGTCCGCACGGTTCAGTCTGTCCCTCAGCTCGGCTTTGGGATATGGCTGTGGGTCAAAACCAATGGGATCCCATTTTGGGGTAGGTGAATTCACCACCCATTTTAGAACCTATTTTAGTGGTTGGATTGGTTGATGTTCACTGGGGGCTAAATCCGATTTGGATGTTGAAAAGCCCATGGCCATATGCATTGGCTCTCACGAGAGCCCGATTTCAGTCGTGCAAATGAGCTGAACCTCTTGGAGCCGTTGGAGCCTTCGGGCCTTAAGGAGCCGAGAGTTCCTAGGGGATGACTGGCAAGGAAGACATGAAGCCGCAAGGCAGTAAACTAGTAAACTATGATACATTTCAAAAATTGGTATCTGGAACAATCACCATGATACATTTCATAAACCAGTAAACTAGGTTTGTGTTCAGCGCCCCTTGACCTCACGCCGCACTTTCCTCCCCATTTTGCTATGCGGCACTCCCCCCCATTTGTACAGAACACCAGCAGAGTACATAAAGCCAGCTTCCATCCAATTGGTGGTTTGGAGGTGTTCGGGGCTTGGTTTCCACTTCACCCTTATATCTTGACTGCTATTGGGTTGGATCTTTAGACTTCAACTTTTTGGGAAATAAGGGGTTTTCCACTAAACTCACAAGAAGTTAAAAACTTTTTGCAGGTGGGTCAACTATTCTGCCGCACGCAACGGGGCTCTCGTCGGCCGGCCAGGTGAACGACGACTACCGCCTCGGCACCATGTCGGAGTTCCCCACCGTGAACGCCCAACGCTTCGGGGGCACCTCCTTGTCCCCGGGGGCGGTGTCCTGGTGCAACATGTTCTACTACTTCTGGCGCCTCGCCAGAAGCTTCGCATCGCTCTTCTTCCATTTGCTGAAATGAATATGTTTTGTTTTTTCCTGTTGGCTTTAAAGGGAATCTATCACTACTGGAAGTATTTTTATTTTCCAGGGGGCTTAAGCAAATGGCAGTCTCTCTTTGCATTGGCAAAAAGGCGGGGAGAAGGACGAAAGTTGATGGGTTTCATTTGTTCGGATGGGCTTGCTCCACTTCGCACCTCTTGTAGCATCGACATTTAGGAGGGAGAAGGACGCTTTTTCAACGAACTCGGGGGTACGGGAGTGATGTCCCCCCAAAAAAGAGAAGCAAGTAGGGAACAAGGCAAGCCCTGGAAAATCCCATGCTTTGTAGTTGAATTACATGCAATATTCAGGGCGTCCGCCAAATGTCTCAAGAGTTGGTATTGCTCTACTTCTGTGCTTTTGGCTTGCTGCTTCTGGCCTCTCGCTTTGCATCAACAGACCCATGGTTTTCGTTTCACCGATATGTTTTGTTTTTTGTTTGTTTGGTGGGTTCCGGAACCCGCCCGCGGTGAACTCGGGTATATGTCTTTTTGGTGGTTGGACCCCCGAACATGAGTTCGGTGTCCCTTGGTTGTTTTCCCTTGAAAACCAAGAACAAGAAGGGTACCAACTCAAACAAGAGACACACCACCACCCCAAGACTTGAAGAAGGGGTCCCCTTCTCCAACTGGCTTGGAGGGGTTTCCTTTGCATCGGAGGGTTTATCGGCTGAGGGTCGGGTTCCCAGGACAAACCAAAAGCACGAAGGTTGGTATGGGCTGCCAGGGCTTTGCACCGGATGGCAGGGGGAGGGACTGGTGTTGGACACCCTTCCCCCCCCCCCCCTCCTGCCCACAAGGGGGCGCTTGTGTGTGTGTGTGTGTTGTCCATGGTTTTTTTTGCTTTGAGGGGCTATCCTAAAGACTTTGAGAAGATGCTGGCGAGCGGCATGCTGGTGAAGCATTTCCCCAACATGCAGAAGGATGAGCCAGGCACGTCCTGGATTCGATCGACGCCAGGGATGGAGATGGAAACGGTTGGAACAGCTACCCTCCCACCCACCAGAAGCTTCCTGTTGGGAAAAAGGGCTTTCAGAGATCTGTCAGGTTCCAATGGTTGAGAGTTAAGGCCCGGCGATGGTTGAACACCCCACATATGTTTGGGGGTCTCAACACCTGGCTGTTTGAGGGCCCTAAATGATTCGGGAGCTTCTGGGAAAGAAAAAAAGCTCCCCTGGGCCACATGCGAGCGAAGGAAACGGGCGCAGTCTTCCCGTCCGTCCCCTTCCTTTATGCCCAAGCACACCAGCCGAGCGGGTTGGGGGACCAGAACTGGGTCAAACCTTTGGTACCTCACATAGAAACGCCCTATCATCGAACACATCTTGGTCTGTCCTTCTTCTTTTTTTTGAGCTGGCGCCTCTCTTTTTTGCGTGGTGGAAACCAACAGGCAGTCTGAACATCCGCTTGAAACCAATGGTTGGTTGACGTTCACTGGGGCTACGATTTGGATTTTGACCCATGGCCACTTGGGAAACCCATTTGAATCCCAGTCTTGGGGTTAAGGTTTGGCATCAACCGGTGCTTCCCCGAGGCTACGTGATGGACGCCCAGCACGGGTCGCAGGCAGGTTCCAAACCTTTGTGGCGGCATGCCGTTAAGAAAGCAGGCGCTGTGTGTGTGTGTGTGTCTTTGGGTGTGTGTTTTTGGTGTTTTTGTCTATGTGTGTATCAACACTTATCATCTTTCTTCCGTTTTTTGGGGGGAGGGGAGGAGGGGCAGGGTAATTCTGCAGCATCCAGCCTGGTTGGCAATGGATTCAAGCTGGTTTGATCCGAGCCTCGGTTGAGCATCTCCTGGATCTCGAAACTACCCACAAACTACAGGATGTCAGGGAAAAGTCGGGACAACAAAAACCGAAAGTGGCGAGTGGTTGTATACCCATGAATCCCCGAAGCTTTGGGGGGTCGGACATCATTTTTGATTGGTCGGCTTAATTTTTGGCGGCGAAAAACTTACCCGTCCCTGCCGGTAGGTGCTGATTACCATCGGCGGGCTCTGCCCGCAGCTGGCGGAAACCATGTCAAGGTATGACGACCGCTTTAAGCGTTCCAAGCAGCGCCTCGTTTGCACGTGGCTGTGTGTGCACGCGCGTGTGCATGTGTCTATGTGTTTGCTTGCTTGGCTACTGTTTGCTTGTCTGCTACCTGTTGTTTGTTGTTTCATTTGCTTGCTGGCTGGCTGGCTTGCTGGCTGGCTTGCTGGCTTGCTGGCTTGCTTGCTTTGCTTGCTTTGCTTGCTTGCTTTGCTTGCTTGCTTGCTTGCTTGCTTGCTTGCTTGCTTGCTTGCTTGCTTGCTTGCTTGCTTGCTTGCTTGCTTGCTTGCTTGCTTGCTTGCTTGCTTGCTTGCTTGCTTGCTTGCTTGCTTGCTTGCTTGCTTGCTTGCTTGCTTGCTTGCTTGCTTGCTTGCTTGCTTGCTTGCTTGCTTGCTTGCTTGCTTGCTTGCTTGCTTGCTTGCTTGCTTGCTTGCTTGCTTGCTTGCTTGCTTGCTTGCTTGCTTGCTTGCTTGCTTGCTTGCTTGCTTGCTTGCTTGCTTGCTTGCTTGCTTGCTTGCTTGCTTGCTTGCTTGCTTGCTTGCTTGCTTGCTTGCTTGCTTGCTTGCTTGCTTGCTTGCTTGCTTGCTTGCTTGCTTGCTTGCTTGCTTGCTTGCTTGCTTGCTTGCTTTGCTTGCTTGCTTGCTTGCTTGCTTGCTTGCTTGCTTGCTTGCTTGCTTGCTTGCTTGCTTGCTTGCTTGCTTGCTTGCTTGCTTGCTTGCTTGCTTGCTTGCTTGCTTGCTTGCTTGCTCTTCAGTTGGTTGGTTTGTTTGTTTGTTTCTGGAGCACAAAGAAGCGGGGGACCTGAGCATAGCCTGGGTTCTCAGTATTCCACCCCTCTTGGCGCTCCGTGCGCGTGCGCGTTTGGGGCCCTTTTCAGCTGGGTTTCAAGGGGCAAAAGGACCGCTATTTTGATCCGTTTTGGCTCTTGACACGCCCTTCTTCGAAGGGCTTCCAGGTCTCGACGTAAGGAGAACCAGGCTTCGGTTCTTGTCTCCCACTCGGACGTCGTTTGTTTGGGGGTTTTTCATTGGGTTGGTTTTGCTAAGAAACCAAAAGGAAAACCCTGAGTAGCTGAGGCCCCTATGCAATAATTCCTGACCATCTAGACTCGGTTCATTCGCTTGGGCAAGCTCATGGCTGCCTCTCGTTCCGAGCCGTGAGCTGAGGTGGGGGACGCACACCCTGACGCAAATCCAGGCGATTGCGGAGGAGGATTGGTTTCGATATTGCAAGATGTTCAAGGATGCCGGCGACGACAGGCGGGCTTCGGGCTTGTCAGCTTTGCAACCCCATCCATCAATCGGGGTTGTTGAGCTTGCCGCTGCATCCGCGGCCAATGTCTGCGTGAAAGGGTTTACCACTTAGCGGGTTGGTAGTGAACCAGTCAATTGGCTGTGGGTCAAAACCAATGGTACCATTTTGGGGCAGGGGCACCACCCATTTTAGTCTATTTGAGTGGGGATTGGGATGTTCACTGGGGGTACGGGATTTTGACCCATGGCCAACTGGGTTCCCCCCTTGTTTGTTCCTTTTCTGTCGCTAGGCCCTTTCCAGCATATCCCTACTCGAAGCAACGAGTGCATGCTATGGCAGCTTGGCAAACCGGGCATGCCAGCGGCCGGTGTTTTTTCCTCGTCCAGAGCAGGCAGATTTAAATTTGGCGTGCTAAGAGGGATCCTGGACTTTGGGGGATCCCCTCCAGGTCTGTTAAACAGTGTCTAGAAATGGGGGGGTCCTTTTTCTTTTTTTTGGGAACCCGTGTTTTGTTTTGGCTGTTTTAAGAGGGACCCCCGTTTTGGCTGGTTTTATAAGAACCCACAAAGGAAACCACAAGTTTTGAGGGTCCCCATTTTGAGTACTTTTCAAGCTTGTCACATACTTTGTCCAAGTTCATGCCTAAACAAGGCTGGAACCCGCCCGATCTGAGGTGGACCGACAAGACCGGGAAGAGCACGAGAGGCTTGCGAAGAAAGGCAGCCTGGCTGAACTCTGCTCAGAGTTGGAGGCCCTGGATGTTGCAAATGTGTGTCTGCGTTTTCTGTCTGTCTCAGTGTCAGTCTCTGTCTCTATCTCTGTCGCTGTCTCTGTCTGTTTGTGTGAGTGTGTGTCTGTGGTCTGTCTGCTGGTCTGTCTCTCGTTTTTTTCTCTTTTTCTTTTTGTGTGTGTGTTTTGAGTCTCGGTAGCCTTTTCGTATTCGTTGACGTAAAGGGGAACCAAGGGTGCATGTGTATAGTATATATCTGCCGTAAGGCTCCTGATGGATATTGGGGCTCCGAAACAACTTGTTTTGAGACCCCGAAAGCTAAGTGGGGGTGTGGTATGGGGACCGGGTCCCAGGTTCTGCATACTCAGGTCCAGCCTTGGCAATATACATATGGGGTGGGAGGGTGCGATCTTCGCAATACCCAAGCAGCGGCATCATTTTTGGGGGATTCCCGTCTTGGAGCCCTGGAGACTGTTGGGCGCCTGACGAGGATGGGAATCGGATCTATCCATGGCGCCCGCACAAGTGTCCCAAAGGGCCCAAAATGCTTGGCGCTTCCCTCTGGCCCTAAGACTTCCAGTTGCTTAAGAATATTGTTTTTTTTTTTTTTTTTCCCCTAGCGGTTTTAAAGGGAATCTATCACTACTGGACATATTATTTTCTCTTTCCAGTGGGCTTAAGCAAATGGAAGACCACCAAACCGAGAGAGGGGCACGCATGGCTCCATCACGGCTCTGAGGCTTGCTCCAGGCATAGGCCCAGTGGCTGAGTTAACGCATCGGGTGGTCCGTCTTCGGCCCCTCGCCACGGAAAAAAGCCGCCCGAACGGTTCACCTCGTCTCGGGCCCAGTAGTGCCCTTTCTCACCCACTTTTTTGGTTGGGAGGGTTCCCCTACGAAAATAGACTACAGAAAAAGGGTACCACTATTCTAACCTCTCTACTGGAGGACCTAGTTGAGCCGAACTGCGCCATGCTTAACCCAGACAGGGACAGCCCCAGGCAGAAGAATATCCGCCCTTTGATGTGCACAGGGGGGTTAATCAGTATTCCATGCAGGGCCCAGGTTTGGAGAATGGGTAACTTTGCCCAGTTAGTGGTGAAAGTCGTATCTTTATTGGTAGTTTCCCTAATTGTCATCCCATTTAAAGGACCTTTTGATCAACGCTCAGGTGGAAGAAATGGTTGACACCAAGTGGTTTCGCAACCAGTTTTCGGAAAAAAAAGGGCTGGGTGTCCAATTCGCTTTGGATTTTCTCTGCATCCACCCGGTGATTTGCAGTTGGTTCGCTTCGAGGAATCAACTACCCTTCCCAACCGCTGTGCGCCCTTGGAGCCGAGTAGACTTTGGCACGAGAACTGACATGAATCTGGACATATTTCCACATGGGTTTGTTTCTCAATTTGGGGGGCCCCCTCAAAATAGATTTCGGTTTTGCTTTCGGCTTCCCTTTAAAACCAACCCCAAAAGAAAGAACCCTCAGAAAAGACTCCCCCCACATCTTGCGATCTCAAAACTTGCTGGTTCCCAGCCGTCACCTTAGACTTTTAGGCTTTGAGTTGGCTTAGTGGTGGGGTTTCCATTTCACCCACCAGTTAACAAACGCTTAGCAGGATTTGAAAACGGACAGCCCGTTTTACGGGGAGCAATTTGAGCGACCTGAGTCGCCGGCTCCGGCGGAGTTTGGCGACGTCGGGAACGTCGGCGACCGCGTTTTGTTATGTTGCTTTGCCAATGGAACGGGCAAGGCTGGTGGGAAGCTGGGTGCCAACAAACAATTCGCCCAGCCCCAAACAAAACCAACAAAAGAACGAGAGGTGCTTCGAACAGAAACAAACATAGCAAAACCGGAGCCCGCTGTAGCACCGGGAAACTCGCATGGAGCTCGGCGCGCGTTGATCCGAATGCCTTGCCGTTCCGATTGGCTCCAGCGGCTGCTGAAAGACCCCTTTCACCCGCAGTTCTTCTTGTGTTGGGGCTTCCTACGTGGATCCATCTGCCTGTATGGTTCTTGTTTTCAAGGCAACCGCCCATTTTTTATTTTTTTTCAGGAAAAGTTTGGTGGTGACCTTCTCTAGTGGCAACTGGGATCCACTGGGCGATATTGTTTCCCCTAAAAGTTGTTTCAAGCATTATCTGTTGAGCGAGCCAATTCAGTGAGAGTTTCCTTCGTTTTTTGGGGAAAAGATTGGAAGCCCGGATAAACCATGACTTGGGTGCCAGGGATTGTCAGCGATGGTCAACTGTCCCACGTTGATTCGGAATCCCAGTTGAGCTGAACGGTTGGGCGCTCAAGCGCGCATGATAAATGTTAAAGGGAAACAAAAGGGGACAGACCTTTGCAACGTTTCCAGGTTCGTGTAGAGAAAACTACCGTAGGTCCAAAATGGTCTAGGTTCTACCAGCAGACTGTTTCGCTTTTTTCCTTCTTTTCCCCCCTACTCATGTAGCACCAGCTTCGTACTGGTTGGAAAAGGAGCGGACGCACGCGCGCAGCACCCCACCCACCCTCATGAGTCAATTTCGGAGCGTGGGTTCCGCTCATCCTTGCTGACCGGAGCATGATGGTGCGTCGGCCAAAGCGCAGGTGGGAGTCTCCAGCGGAGGTACACCGCTGTCCTTTCGTGTCATAAAGCCCTGGTTCTGGGGGAACTCGCTCCTGAGTTCCTGGACTTTAGTCACTTTATCGGAAGACCATTCTAGTTCTACACAAAGTTTAGACTCTAGGTCCCTTTTGCCCCCTTTTTTGGGCAGGGTTCCCCTACTACAATAGACTACGGCAAAAAAAGGGATACCCTTATTCTAACCTCTCTACTGGAGAACCTAGACTTGATTTGGGCCAGTCCATGGCCCAAAGAATCTTTCACCTGGGCTTGGTTGGGATGCTGAAAGAAACCCATGCACATTGGCCGCAAGGATTGTTGACGGCACACATATTTGAGTGTTGCTCCAAAGGATTGATCGAACCCCTTTGGGTATTTGAGGGGAAGCCAACAGGGAAGTGGACTCCGATTTTGCGAAGCCACAGATTTCCTTCACAAGCTGACTACGAGAAGCCAAACCTCTCTGTAGGTCCCGCGATCTGGGATCTGGCAGCACTTTTTGTTCAACCAGCCTTTGTCAAAGGGACCCCCCTAAATAGGGTTGTTTCTTGAACTAATTGGTTAAAGTTGGGTCTAAACCAGGGAATGAATGTTCAACTTCCAAACTGACTTCTTCCTCTGGTTTCTTCCAAGGTCGCTTGCACCAACGAACACTATGTCGCGTCCGATTTCGGCACCTGCTCGGGTCGCTCGCGTTTCGGGAGGCGAGATGGATGCCGGGAGCCCCGGGGCGGGAAGGCCTGAAGGTGTTCCATGTGGTGCTTAACGCGGCATTCCGTGCGTGAGGTAAGTAGACTCAGTCAGTAAGCCTGGGCATAACCTTAGGAAAAGCCTTGGGAAACGTAGAACCATGGCTTTCTTTCTTTTTTTAACCTTAGGAAACGTAGAACCAGAGCTTTTGTGGGTTTATATCTAACCTTAGGAAGGCTATAACCATGGCTTTTGTGGGATAATCCATATCCAGCCCTGCTAACCACTTAAAAATGACCCCGTATGAATCAACTTCAGTTTATTCATAAGGGGGGGTGTTTGATTCCCCACATTTCTGCAGGGACACCATTTATAACTGGGGTTGATTAATATGAGGTCAACATTTAATTTGTGATAATTCATGTTCTCTTTTTGTGACGCCAGCCAAATTGGGAGCTCAAATTTCCATCTGACCTCCGAACCCGCAGCGTGCCGATGCCAACCCAAACCCATGGGGACCGTCCAGATCCCTGTGCCGAAATGGGCTTCAGTGTCCCTTTGGTGGCAAAACAATACCAGACCCAACGCGGTGTGTGTGTGTGTGGTTCCTTCAAGAAACGTGCAACATAACATATCCTGGTTCAATTTGGAGTTCGGGACATGGGGATGAGCCACAACATTTCAACCAACTTGGAGGACGAAGTGTAATTTTTCTATCGCCCACTAGAGTACCAGTATTTTTTTTGAGACCACGTGGGCGTCTGAGCGAGTCAGTCGCGGTGGATGTTTGCTTGCTTCTAGAAGCAACATGGAGATGGTGCCAACTCAGATAACCCCGAAGCATGGGTTTGGATTGGTGGTTTGGGGATTTGAACCTCTGGCTGTAGAGGGTAAATACCCCGAAAGGCCAACAAACCACCACCAAATCCAAATCGCCAAGTAGAGGAACCCATTCATGGTCTCTCGCGGTTTCCATGTCAAAGTGGTGGCTTGGCCACCTCCGAAAGGGGCGCTGGTGTAGATCTCCTTCCGGCGAAGAGACCTCCTTCTGTTAACTCAGATCAACATGGAACCGAAGACATTTGGGAGGAACTCAGCTGTTCAGTGGCACCCCTTTTCCCCTTTTTTTGGGCGCAAAATGGTCTTCCCCAAAATGGAATGCAGCCGCACACAGTGCATAGGCGCTGCTGCGAGATCACTGTGATGAGGCACGGAGAGAAGAGCAAGAGAGGGGGAGAGAGAGACCCTTCCCTGCGTTTGTTTTTCTTCTTCTTTTTCCTTCTCTTTTGTGTTCTTTTTTTCCCGGTTGCTGTTGGCCGTGTGCTTCTTCGTCACGAAACGTGGCGTGTCGTTCTGCCGGGGTTTGCGCACACCAGCTCCTTGCACACGTCGAGTGCATGGGGAAGGTTCTCACATCATGTTGGATGGGTGGAAGCCACCAGAATGGGTTGCCTAAATGGATGTGCTAATTTTTTACGGCACGCCCCCTACAAAAAGTCGTCGACAAAAAGATAAACGCGAAAAAATCGATGTATGTGGCGGTGTTTGCGTGGTTTGTTGGTTTGATGGTGGGAAAAAGCGGTACCGACTCAAAAAACCATTCATCCGTGTGTCTCTTTGGTTTTTTCCCCACCCTCTTTTGGGGCCACTTCGATGAGTTTGCTTTTGGGGCCAGGCTCAAGGGGGAAATGTTATGACCTAGGGTTTACTTGGGTATACCATTCATTTGTGCCATTCGTTTTTACCTTGGGGACCCTATTTTGAGCCATTTTTATTCTGGTTTCCAGGGGAGCCAAAAGGACACCGCCCATTTTGGGGGTTCCAGACTCCTATATTTGAGCCAACCCCATGTGCCCAGCCCATGACTAGCGACAAAGGGGGTTTGGTGCCATAGGTCCGCGGTTCAGCGGGCTTCCCTTGGGGGTCCTGAAGTGGGTGCCCGATATGATAGGATTTTTCGGTTTGGGGTCGGGACCCAAACAAAATTTGGCCCAACCCCCATATATCTGATTGATTTTTTGGTTTGGGGTCGGCACCCGCTCAAAATTTGTGGTAACCCACGCGAGCCTCGGCCCCGGATTTTTTTCCGGTTTTTCCCCCCTGCCGGCTTTGCCGACTGGACGAGCTAGGAGACTTGGCTCAGAGCTTGGAACGAGATCTTTTGGCCATGGCCACAAGCGCACCCCTGCTGCCCAAGGAGGGCAAGAAAGGCGCGCACTCGAAGGCCGGGAGAGGCTGTTGGGTTTGGTTTGGGGGGTTCTGGGGGGGGTGGGGTTGGGGTGGGGCAGTGGGTGTTCTCTTCTTGCAGTTGGTACCCTTTTTTGTGTGTGGGGAACCAAAGGTGACCCATTTTGGCTGCACGAGTTTGAGCCAACACCAGTTTGGTTTGAAAAAGGTGACAAGCATGCGAAACAGAACACGGGCAACAGGTGCAACAGGCGCAAGGCAGCAAGCAGCGGCTGATGGCGCTGCTATGCGCAGCCTCCCTGATGCCCAACTACCATGACTGCCACAACTTCCACAAGCTGCCACAGCCATAGGAGCCACCGCAACAGCTGCCTCACAATCGCCGCAACTGCCGCGCCTGCCGCATTGCCACATTTGCCACAACTACCACACCCAGAATCTCCGCAACACCCGATCCGCAACAGCCAAGTCTGTGGGACCTGTTTGAATGCCGACAAAGACAACACGTACACCATGTGCGCCACAATCCAAACCCGGGTAGATGAAGGTTAGTAAGGGGCAGTCCCCTGCCGTTGCGGCCGCCTTCGTAATTCTTTACGTGGTTCTGGGTAGACCATAATAATACCGGGTTTTGATTGCGACTCATGTCCATTTGCTCAAAATCTTGCGTATTTCCCCCAAGTGCCAAAGGGGGTCGGCGACTGGAAGTGATCTGTTCATCTTCGAAAACACGGGAAGTGGATGATTCTAGATGGGAGTAGCCTCCACAAATGCGTTTGTTTCCTTCATTTCCTCTCAACATGGTTGTTGTTGGGAAACATGTTACATCTTTGCCTATGGTGGTTTAGTGGTTGAAATCCCCACTTAACTGCTGAAGCTTTGTTTTTTTGTTCCCCTTCCAACGTCAACCAAGTCAACCAGCCGTGAGGGTACCCTCAAACCACGCCCAGATGGCTATGGGTCAAAAGCCCGGTTATCCCCAATGAACATCCCAATCCCAACTAAAATGGACTAAACAGTGGTGCACCCCCGGCCCAAAATGGTACCATTGGTTTTGACCTGCAGCCAGACTGAGGCCAGTATCTTCTATGGAGCCGACGAGTACCTCGAGGAGCTCAAGAAGAAGTACGCCCATGATCACGCCACCCGGCCAGACTTTTAACATTTGTTCTTCTCCAGATGAATTTTTCGGACCCCCCCTAAAATCATTGCCCTTCTTTCGGCTTCCCTTCAAAGACCAACCCAAAGGGGATCCGACAACCATTCTTGAGAACCCCCAAGCCTATTTCCCCCTTGCCCTGGCAGATTTCCTTCATTTTCCCAGGCCAGAACAGATGTCAAAATGGGGATTTGGACCCACACAACTTGTCGGTTTCCCTTTGATTTGCCTACAAGCCAGCCTTTCTCGAGCCCAAAAACCACCTCCCCAGCAGAGACCGCCCGAGAGACGACAGACGTCTCGAGGAAATCGCGGCCCTGAAGAACCTGCTGCCCGGGGACAATGACCCCAACGCAGCTGGGCAGGCGGAGAGTAAGGACAAGATGATGAAGTTGGAGAAGAACGCCGAGAACAGGACCTCCCGAAACAAAATAAGTAACCAAAGCAAAGCAGAAACGACCCTGAAGTAGCTCGCCATGTTATTTTTTGTTGTTGTTTGTTTGTTTGTTTTGTTTTCCCTTTTTTCAGTTGTTGGTCCTTTGTTAGCCCGTTTTTTGCTATCAGGCTTGCCTATTCTTCTCAGATCCTTACACCCACATATTTTTTTTGCGGTTCTCAGCTAATCCATTTCCACACGGCCAGGTTAAAACCCATGGTACCATTTTGGGGTAGGTGCACCACCCATTTTAGTCTATTGTCGTGGGGATTGGGATGTTCACTGGGCTTTTGACCCATGGCCACATAGTCACGTGCAATTACGAAGAATACATGCATAAGATGAAGAGATTCAGAGCTGGTTGCCCGGAACCTCGCGACCGGGACAAACATGTGTCACTACGACCAAACCTGGGGATTAGTTTTTTTTTTGTTTTTTTCCGGTTGAAATATGTGTGTGTCATTTTGTTTGAGGATACTCGTACCACTTTCTGTGAGGTTTTAAAGAGGAGCCAAAAAGAAAAGCACCAGTTTGGGGGGGGTGGGGTCCCCTAAAAAGGACACACCCAAATGAAACAGAATCTGACAATCTATTTCTTGGGCACCCCAGAGTTGGGCTGAAAGAGGGTTTCGACACTTAGGGAGTTTGCTTGAGAACAGCAGGCGGGATATCGCGAGGCGGTTATTTTGCAGGAGCTTGAAGACCAACCGGCTCTTCCCCACGGCCAACAAGCCGGACCCAATGCCGCAAAACTTAGCCTTCCTCTTCACCAAGATCACCCCGGAGCAGATGATGTGCCTCCGCGACGGCTTTTCTTTTTTTTCTGGCTCGACACTTGCTTGTACCATGGGGCTCCTGAAGGTGAGCCTCTTTTGGTAGTGCGTGTTGTATGACTTGCTTTGCCTCCTTTTGAGCCGGAACGACACAAGTCACTTTTTGTGACTTCCGGGAAACACGCCCAAATCTCAGCTCTTTTTTTTTCAAAGCTTGCTTGATCACTGTGGTTCTTCCATTTGCTTACGTTGTTATTATTATTGTTATTTTCCCCCGTTGGATTTAAAGGGAATCTATCACTACTGGACATATTTATATTTTTTCCAGGGGGCTTAAGCAAATGGCAGAGTTGAAGCGGTTGAACAATGCGCGACATTGACCAGCTTGCAACTCTCTTGGCACATGCAACCCGTCGCATTCCCCTTTTGAGCCGCGCGACGTTTTGTTGTACCACTTAAACAGGTTGCCTGTTGCAGGGGTCGTTCTATTTCGCGCTTGTGCCGATATAAAAGATGAGGCTGCTCTTGGCAGGAAGATGGTTGAGGAGGAAATAGGTATGTCTTCTTTGGGGGGACCACCAAAATGGTAAGTTTTCTCTTGGCTGCGCTTGAAAACCACCAAACAGGCGGTACCCTCAAGATCTGATAGAAGCCACAAACCCGAGTGCAGATTAATTGCCCAAAGGTACTGTTGTGTGTGTGTGTCCCTGCCTATCCATTTCCTTGCTTGTTGATAGGTATTCTTCTATCCATCCATCTGCCTGCCTTTTCATCCATGCATCTATTTGTGCATCTATTTATCTACTTGTCTGTTTGTCTGTCTGTCTGTCTGTCCGTCTGTCAATCTGCGCATCTGCACACCTACCCAATTCTAAAGTAGTATTGGGCATGTTGCTTTTTCTTGTTTTGCTTTGGGGGAATACTAGTTTAGAATTGGGCCAATTCTAAAGTAGTATTGGGCATGTTGCTTTTTCTTATTTTGGGATCAGTGGGAATGAGATTAGCTTTATTTAGGGTCTGGACATCATTTAGCGCATGAGGCTTCATGGGGGGTAGTCTTGCTGGCAGGGTCAAGTTGAGATTGTTGAAGGTTTCTAGATAAAGAATTTGATGAAGGGAATCACTCAATAATTTTGGGATCTGATGGAATTGGAATCATTTTTGATGAGCCGGCTTGAATGGAAAGCTTGCCCCTGAATAAAGATAAGGGATCAGAGCAATTTTGGGATCAGTGGGAATGAGCTTAGCTTTATTTAGGGTCTGGACATTATTTAGTGCATGAGGCTTCATGGGGGGTAGTCTTGCTGGCAGGGTCAAGTTGAGATTGTTGAAGGTTTCTAGATAAAGAATTTGATGAAGGGAATCACTCAATAATTTTGGGATCTGATGGAATTGGAATCATTTTTGATGAGCCGGCTTGAATGGAAAGCTTGCCCCTGAATAAAGATAAGGGATCAGAGCAATTTTGGGATCAGTGGGAATGAGCTTAGCTTTATTTAGGGTCTGGACATTATTTAGTGCATGAGGCTTCATGGGGGGTAGTCTTGCTGGCAGGGTCAAGTTGTGATTGTTGAAGGCTTCTAGATAAAGAATTTGATGAAGGGAACCACTCAAGAATTTTGGGTCCATGCATTTGATTCTGAGTCCAAATTTCGTCTCATTGTTCCATGTTTTTAGTTTTTTTTGGCGCCTTTATTTTTTTTTGGGGGGGGGGAAGTTTAGCTTTATTCAGGGGTAGTTTATTATTTGGTTTGGGAAAATTTTAGCTTTATTCAGGGGTAGTTTACTAATCGTAGGTGGACATTAGGGTGGTTGTTCTAAATTCCTTTGTCTCAGAACGGCTATTCTTCGCGAAAACAAAAATTAATTTTGGGAATCTTTCCTGGGTTCATCGCCGTGCACTTTAACTGCCAAAGTCAGGAAGTCACGACTTTTTCTCCATGAGTGCAGTTCTGCGTACGCACTTCTGCAGCTCCGCCTGGAAAGCCGTAAAAACAACAAGGGTGGTACACGAAAGATAGACAGATAGGCAGGTAGGGACATAGATGGGTTGAAAGAGAAGGTGAGATGGATGGAACGATTGCCACATAGATAGATAGAAAGATAGATAGAAAGATAGATAGATAGATAGGTAGTGAAGGGAAGGAAGGGAAGGAACACAGATGTATACATAGATGCCTTCTTTGACAGATAGAAAGACAGATAGATAGATGGATAGATATAGAGGTAGATAGACAGAAGCAAGATAGAAGCCAGTAGAAAAACCGCACAGGCCAAGTTTTTGTTTAGCCTCGAACCCGCAAAGGAATGCACCGCGGCCGGCGGAAGTAGCAAAAACCTCGGGTTGTAACCTCGATCACACCGATCCGCGCAGAGGGTTGCGCCGCGACTGGAGAAAGTAGCAACAACCTCTAGGTTGGGCAAGCCCGCTGACAACACACCCCACCCTGTTGCTCCCATTCCGAGCACAACCTCGCGGTTGAAGATACTCTCGTCGTGCCACGCTGTTGCTCCAATTCCGGACTGCCGTCCTTCACGCGCGGTCATAGGTCCACATTTTTCTGGATTGTCACACCCTAGCCTGCAAGAACAGTGCCAAAAGCTTGGAGGCTGCCGCAAGAAAAGCGTCTTAGGTCTGCTAGCATGATGATACTGCCAGCTATGAGGGTGCTTGAAGGTCAAACCAAACGCAACAAGCAGCCCAGGTAAGAACGGCCAACTGCCTTCTTGCCAGCGTTCAGGCTGATAGCCAATGCACCTGCTGCTCGTTCCACTTTCGAGAAAGGACCCTGCTTTGGTTCAGGAAGCATGCCTTTCCCGTTCACATCATGATCCAAGCCGAGGATGGCCAGCTTCTCATCGAGCTGGTACGATAATCGTGAGGAATCTGCCTGGCCACGGGCCCTCTCTTAACAGCCACTGCGCACTTCCTTTGGCGACAGTCAAATCCGCAAGCCCTACCGGACTCGTCACTTTTCTTTGCTCTGTAGTCTACCTTCCTGCGTTGTCTTGGCGTACAACAAGCGATCGTCCGCGAAGCTCAGAACCTTGGTGACGCCCACTCTTGCACTTTGAGACCAGAAGCGTATCATCAAAGATATCAAAGCACCCATCAAGGGGGACAAAGGGCAGCCCCGCACCAAACCGACCAGATAGGTACGCAGATGGACAGATATATGGATGGGTAGGTAGGTGCAGGCAGGTAGGCCAATTCTAAAGTAGTATTCGAAAACCCAAAAAACAAAGCCCAATACTAATTTTTCCCCCCTTCAAGGGGGGGGGGCTATTTATTATTCAGAGGTGGACATTATCTCTTGTATATATCTATCTGTCTGTTTTCTTGTCGATTTGTTTGATCTATCAACGCTCCTGCGAGTTGTGCCCCCAAAGAGCTGCGCCTGTCACGAAATCCATTGCGCTACCCTACAAAGTATTGCGCCGGTCACGATTCAGCACGTGACCCTCGAAAGTACTTCGCCTGGCGCTCGCGACGCATCTGGCGAACGCATGCTGACCCCAACCCCCCCTGTAACGGGAGCCCTCCTGCTACACATTCGGGAGAGAACAACCCAAGTGCACGAAACCCTGGTTTCCCAGGGTCAGCTCGCCAGGTACATGTGGAATGTGCTCACGGCCATTTTCGTGACGCAGGTCTTGATGGTGCCTGTGCCGAGTGGGGAAGCTGGTGTTTTTTGAGGCTTTGTTTGGGCGGTAGTTGCGAGCTTCGATATGCGCAACCCATTTGGGCCGATTTCTATTCTGAGACCTCTTACGTAAAATTCCCAATTGATGTCGGTGAGGAAGACCAAAAGAAGAATTCGTTAGGCCTTCTCCTTAGCCACATACTTTTGGCGAAGTTGCGGCTGGGTTGTTTGTGGATTCTACCGCAGTTCAGATCGCCCTCACATGGTGAATTGTAAAAGGGAAACACTCCAAACTCAATCCACCTAGAGGGAAGCTGAGCAAAGTTCTTCGGGTATGTGGCTCAAAATAGCCACCCTCAAAAGGGCACGCCTTAAGCATCGCATCGTTTGGGCGTGTTTTTTGAGGATGCCTTGTTCTGTTGGGAAAGCCGAAGTTGCAAATGTATGAAGCCCCGAGACACTCAACAAACACACGCACACAGAAAGGTGTGCCTCTACAGTGCTGCTCTCGCCGCTTTCCCGGAGCACTGGTGGACCTGCACGCTGTGCTTCGGCATTCCCTTCTCCTACATCGCCATCCAGGTGGGTTTTTTGAGCACATAAAGAAGCAGAGGGCACTTTCGACCTGAGCAGGTAGTGATTCTGTGGACCTGCATTTGTAGAAACCCCCGCTTCGGCGAAGAACAAAGCCACTTTGAACGGGGTTTGGTGACAATATTGGCTTAGAACATCCCCGCGAATCCCACTGGGCGTGTCTTTTATTTTTTCTTCTTCGGGGACCCCCAAAGATGCTTTGCTTTTGGTTTTCTTCTTAAATCACCAAAAAGGGGGGTACCCTCAAAAAGACACATACCCACCTTTCATCTCCCGGATGTTTCCAACCAAGAACATCTACATCGACCACGACGTCATGCACGGCGCTACCTTCCCGGTCTACGAGTGGCAGAAGTTCCTCACCCACCCCTTTGCGGACTTCTTCTCGCTGCCGTGGGAGGATTGGATTTGGAGTGGAAGTTTGTGGCTTTTTTTTGTGGCTTCCCCAGCTCGAAAGGGGGTACTTCACTCCCTGAGGTGATGGACTTTAAGCTTTTTGGAAAGACCAGGCGTCTCGGCTCTGGGGTTTGCCCGAGACCCAAGCGTGGCCTGAAAAGCTGAGCCCGCGTCTTTTTCCTTTTTCCTGCGAAGCCATAGTGCGATCTTCTGAAAGCGCTCTCCACAGGCGCGCCAGACGCAAACGCACTCGTGCAAGGATCATACTCATCCTTAACAGCAGGACACCGCCGGAGGTCAACCGACACACTGTCAGCTGGGCACGATCTACGCTGAGAGCACACCACTCTTGGAACAGAAGTGCACACATGCGCTGGCAATGCATGCAATGCTCCGGCACCAATGGTGAGCATGCCGAATACTGCGGAGGATGTGGATCACACTGGTCCAACTGGGCAACGCCCATGACATGGCACCAGCGACGCCAGCCCCGCAAGACCTCGAGGCCACCACCCACGTGGAATGCCAAAGGCAAAGGCAAAACCAAGAAAGGCAAAGGGAAAGGCAAAAGCCGAAGCCCCTCAGCAACCAGCAACAAGCAACGCAGTGAGAAGGAACCAGAGAACCCTGCGTTTCCCAAGCCACCACAAAGCAATGCAAGCCATCGAGCCAGATCCCCAACTGCCACGTATCAATCCCAGCATGGCAACACAGGATGTGACAGTCCTGTGACGACCACCAGCTGGGAGGATGTCACCAGTGCAGCCAAGGAGGATTTCAAGTCGGACCTGCAGCAGAAGCCAGTCAAGCCTGACATGACACCAGTCAAGGAGACAACCCTGCAGACCGACAAAACCAAGCTGCTCGAGGCCATCAAGCAAACATACGGCAAAAGCACTGCAGAAAGCATCACAGCCATCTTAGCACAAGATGAGGATGAGAAACCGGTTCCATCACAAGTGCACAAAGCAGGAAGACAGCTAGCAAAACCACAGCGCAATGCAACCAAGGCAAGAGATGCACTCCACGCCCTTGATGAGTCATGGACCAGAGATGATAAGCTTCCATCACAGGACAGCACAGCTCTATCCGAGCTTCCAGGCCTCCAACTACCGCCAGCACCTACGCCCATGGAAGTTCAAGAGGACCAGGATGATGACCCAATAGAGCCTGTCACACCAGCAGAAGCACCAGACAAGCCAACACAGCTTGAGGACAAGCAGAACAAAAGCAAAAAAGCCAAAGATCGGGGTCCCAAGGAGCCCCCGAAGAAGAAACCAAAAGCCGACGAAAAGATCAAGCAGTCCCCACTCCAGTTCAAGCAGAATGCCGAGCCCCACAAGCGTGAGCGCAGCAGATCTGCCAGCCACAACCGCTACGCATCGCTGCAGAAGAATGGAGATGAGGAAGAAGATGAGGATGAGAAGCAGGGATATTGTGCCTTATGAGTGATGCCATCCAGGAAGCATCACTCAGGAATACCCGTAGACCTGGAAATTGTCCAGTTGACAGCACCCGTGAGAAGCACAAAGAAAATGCCGCTGTAACTGTGAGATTTAACACCACTCCTGAAACCCCGTTTTTTCATCCCAAAGCACCCCTGTATAAAAGGAGACAAGAGGTACCAAGCAATGCCAAATTGCAGTCGTGTCTCAAAAGCCGCAGCCGTGTGCCGAACCCAAGCTCCAGTGACAGCATGAGGACCATCCACCTATGGAGAGCCGATGCTCAATCTACTCGCCCTCAACGTGTCCTTGTGCCTAATGCTTGCGAAGATGTACTGTTTCAGTCCATTCTGGAGCATGTCACCAACACGGAGGATGTCAGGTACGTGAAGATTGCCCCAGAACCGACAACTTTGGGATGGGGAGTTGAGAAACCGAGACCATTGATGCCTACCTGGCCTGGTCTCCTCACCACTTCCAGTGGATGAGACACCGCATGCTTGTTCCGGCACTGTTGCAGAATCATCACAAGCACTCACCTGGAGCCCCGCATCAGATCACCCACTGGCCCATTGCCCTTCCAGCACAGTGTACCCGTGACCATGTGCTCCAGCAAGCCCTTGCAGGGGAATATCCAGATCCCCACATGCAGGTCCACATAAAGACTGGAGGATGCCTGTGGCCAGAGAATGACACCCGAGTGCGAGATCTACACTCTGGCATCCTTGTCGAAGCAACATGGGGACACATTCCAGCACCAGTCCATTTCACACCGAGTGCAGGAAGCAGGCCGGCCGACCATGTTGATCACACACCCACCGAGAACATCTTGAATAGGATCAATGTAGACACTGTACTACAACTCACCACTCAAGTTCTTGCTCCATGGCCCAATCACATAATTTCCCTTGACACAGAAAATATTCCGTGGCATCACTCCACCATAGAGGAGTTCACATACCTCAGAACGTGTCTGGACCAGGAACCCATTGGTGTCACGTTCTACACTGATGGTACATTCAGAGATCCAGTTGAGGACGAAATCTGGGGCAAAGGATCTTGGGCTGTTGTAATGTTGTGGAACATGCCGGATCAAAGTCGAGTGTGGGGAGGACACATTGCTGGCCACACCAATCAACCCGATAGTGCATTTCCAGTTGAACTTGAAGGTTTAATGTGTGCATGTCTGTGGGCAAATTGTGGCTCACTTCAGTCCTGAAATTGAAATCACATTTCGATATGACTCCAATGAAGCTGGAAGAATGTGTCAAGGTAGATCACGTACCACCAGCAAGCATGCGCTTGGCAGTACTGCTCGTAGTCTGTTCCAACTGCTTGAAAATTGGAGAATGCCAGAATACATCCATGTTAAAGCGCATTCAGGTGAACCCTTCAACGAAGCAGTTGATGTCCTTGCTGGTCAAGCCTGTGCAGGCCTGATCCAAGTGAGTAGCAGACACATCACGCAGATCCTTTGCCAGTTGCGTGCGGATTCGATCAGTTGCCAATGGATGTGGCTGGTGCACAAAGCTGCATGGAATGATCCATCACTTCCACGCCTAGACACCACCACACGTGAACTGATAATCCCCCCGATGCCTGAAATTCCCGTTCAAGGAATTGCCGATCAGTTTGCCAAAATGCGTGCTAATCCAGATGCTCCTGAAAGGCCAAAAGAATTTGGAATAAATGTAAGCATCAAATACTGTACGGCCAACGTACTTACACTACTGCCAGGGTACTTTCAAAAGGAGGCCAAAAAGGCACATCCCAATCGTGAGCCCCTTGCCAATCCCAGAGAAATATTTCTCATGCAACAGTTTGCTGAACAATGTGTCAACATATCTGGACTTCAGGAAACTAGAGCGAGGCATGAGTGCTCTGGAATGTACAAAGGATGGTTCCGACTAAGTAGCGCAGCCAAAGAAGGCAGAGGTGGAGTTGCCCTCTGGGTAAACCTTGAGATCCCCTTTGGCCATGACCGCTTAGGCAATCCCCATTTCTTTGAGAGTGACCACTTCAAAGTAATTCAGGCTGAGCCAGAGCTCCTTGTAGTAAGAGCCAAAAATGCCCACTACAAGAGCATCATTGTTGTGGCGCATGCACCTGTTCAGCAGCAGGATCAGGAGCCATACCGCATGTATTGGGATAGAATCGTCCAATGCACCAACAACTATGATGCGTCATGGGACATAGTGTTGCTTGCCGATGCCAATGCCACACTTGGAGACCATGTGATGCCCGAGCAGCATGGAGTGATAGGATCACATCAAGGCCAACCCACATCCCCCAGTGGTGTTGCTTTTTCAGAAGTAGTACAACGTTTCGGCCTGTGCTTACCTTCAACCTTTGAGGGACTCCATCAAGGTACACCCTACACGTTCACAAGTCCGAAGCTGACCCAGCACAGGATTGACTATGTTGCTGTTCCTAGGTCGTACTTGCATTACGCTCAGATGCAATCCAGTGTTGAAATGCAGATTGACTTACAGATTAACAGACCTGATCACCAGGCTGTTACATTGCAGTGTCAATACACCAGTGTCCCCCATAGGTGTGAAGACAAGCCAAGGCAAGCACTGCCATACAGGAGGCCAATCCCGGCCTGCTCTGATGACGTGCAAGTGTGGCGCAAAGCCCTCCGCGCTGTTCCGGCTAGTGTCCCTTGTGCCGAGAGCTGCTTCACACAGAATGTGCACCAACATGCCTTTACCATAGAGCAAGGCATGAAGGAGCAAGCCACCCACTCGCTGCCCAAGCAGAAGAGTAAAGTAAGACCGTATCTAAGTCAGATCGCAATTGAACTCTTGCATGAAAAGCGACGCATCCAAAGGTGCACCAACCGCTCATTTCTTCAGGAACGTTATCTGTACATTATGTGCTGCTTTCAGGCATGGAAAGATGTAACCACGCCCTCGCCTACATCCTATGCAATTAAGCAGATACACCATAAGATTGCCATTCAGATGAAGCAGCTCAAGCAAGTGCGCCAGGCATTGCACCAAGCAATGCAGACCTGCCGAGCTGAATGCATTGCTGCCAATGCTCGCGATGCCGAAAGCCACGGTGGCATGAACGACCTATGGAAGGAGATGCGACCCTTGCTTCCTAAGTCCAAACAGATGAAGAACCGCAAAGCCATGCCAATTGCTGCAGTGTCAGATCAGGCCCTTGAGTACTTTGCTGAAATTGAAAATGGGAAAGTTGTTCGAACTAGTCCAGCAATGCCAGACCTTGCAAGACTTGCTCACAACAAGTGGCCCCATTGCACTTGATGACTTGTATACCAAAGTACACCTTGAAACCGCAATGGCTCGTGTCAAATCAGGTAAAGCCCCAGGCGAGGACCTGCTTGTATCTGAACTTTTCTCGATTGCCAATGTTGAGGCAGCCCACTTATGGTTTCCCCTGATGTTGAAGGCCAGCATATATGCCCATCAGCCTCTCACTTTTCGGGGTGGTACCCTAGTGTCGCTTTGGAAGTCCAAAGGACCCAAGGACCAGATCACCAGCTATCGCAGTGTTTTGCTGTCCACTACTGCATCAAAATGCCACCAAGCTATCCAGAGACATCAGCTTATGCAGCAAGTTGGCCACCGAATGCCAGTGGCCCAGCTTGGCGGAAAGCAGGGCAGCCAGCCATGCTTTGCATCTCATGCAGTACGCACCTTTCTGCAGATTGGTAACATAAAGCATAAATGTTGTGCAGTGTTGTTCCTCGATGTCAAATCTGCCTTTTACAAAGTCATACGAGAAGCTGCTGTAGGATCTCATCGCACAAGTGATCAGTTTGCCTCGCTGCTTGAGACCCTCAACCCGTCCGTGCATGAACAGTATGCCAGCTTGCATAGCAGTGAGCATCCCGAAGTCCTGAATGGCATATCCAAAGTACTACTGCAGCAGCTCAAGGATGGCCAAAATGCCACATGGATGCGAGATATGCTCACTGGCCAGATTGCCAGTAGTTGCCAGGGGTCTCGTCCAGGAACACCCCTGGCTGATGCGCTTTTCAATGTGGCTGTGGCTGCAGTTGTGAATGACATACAAGCCGATTTTGAGATGTGGGATCTATGTACAGACATTCACCTCCCGTCTCAAGTCGCCCCTCAAGCATTTCCCACCCTCACCTGGGTAGATGATGTGGTTGCTTGCATTGAAGCCTCCTCTGAAGATGAAGTGCTTGACAAACTAGCCAAAGCTGTCAACATAACTGAGGCTGCATTTCAAAGTGTAGGTCTTTCTATCAGCATGGATAAAGGTAAGACTGAAGCCTTGATTCAGTTCACAGGCCCCAAAGCGAAGACAGCCCGCAGAAGACTCCTTGTTGAAAATTCATCGGTGCTGCCAGTTGCCAAAACTGATGGGAGCAGTGTCAACTTGTCAGTTGTGCCTTCATATTGTCATTTAGGAGGGTTGGTCGCGCCGGATGCCACATTGAGGGAGGAAACACGGAGACGTGTAGCACTAGCTGCCCAGGCCTTGCACCAATTGAAGATTGGAGTTTTCAGAAACAAAGGCATTTCGGTCACTGCAAAAGTCACCTTTGTTGAAGCCACGGTCTTCAGGAAACTCCTTTATGGCGCACAGGCATGGGGAGTGCTTGACGGTGGCTCTGCAAAGGCCGTCGGTGGCTTTTACATGAAAGCTCTCAGGGCTGCTACAGGTTTGTGTGTCACACAGTATGGACAAAAACACTCAAACCTGTATGTTCTCGCCAAAGCCAGATGTCCTTCTCTTGAGTGGCAGATGCGTAAAATGAGATTGCGGTATCTTGTTCACCTTCAAAATGGTGCCCCTGCCTTGTTGAGTCAGCTTCTGTTGAACGAGTACAAAGTCAATGAGTCGCGTGCCTGGTTGACCCTTGTCCAACACGACATCGAAGCTGTTAGAGAAGTCTTGCCTGATGCATTTAATGGCTTGTCAACCACCTATACTTGGGTCCAGTTGTTTGCCTATGTGGCTAAAAGCAGCAATGTGTGGAAGAGGGACGCAATCAAGGCTTGTCAAGCTGCTGTCACACAGTTGACCTTGCTGGCTGACCTGAAACACTGGCGAGAAAACTTTGATGGTGCCATCGGGCAGATAGGTTTGCAGGTTGAGCGTAGGCAACCCGACACGCCGACATGCCCACTTGGTCACAGATGTGACCTGTGCGGCAATGAGTACTCCACCCGACAGGGGCTCTCGGCACATCAGTGGCATGCCCATCAAATTTCTTCAGAGACACGTGCATACACATATGCCTCCCACTGTGTGGTGTGTCTCGTTGAATTTCACACCTCCCATCGGGTCAATGTTCATCTCCGGGAGAACCCTCGATGCATGCAATTCTGCCTCCAGAATCTAGAGCCGCTCACAGGACCCCCGGTTCACATAAAGCTTGATAGCAGATTCAAAGGACACAAGAGGATCCCTTGCATTCTCCTGGCAGGTCCGAGACTCCCTAACAAGCTTGAGTGGAGGCAGAGTAATGCCAAAGACTATACCCCAGAAGAGATCGATCTCTTCTGGCGGGCGGCACCAGCCCTGCGAGCCCGCCGGGACACGCGCAAGCCCAACATGCCGGGCAGGAACCTGCGCAAGGCAGGACACACGCCCAATACCTCTGTTCACCAAATGGATGTGATGACTGCACAAGATGACAGCGCTAGCACCAGGTTCACTGCCCAGGCGCCAGTGGTACATCCACTTGCCATGAATTTCCAAGGGGTTCGTACATACTTTGTGCTTCACCTCTTCTCTGGCAGAGACCGTGAGGGCAGCGTGCGCCGCCATCTTGAAGAAATGAGTGTAGGGCAGCCATTTCGCATCTTTGTCATTTGCCTTGATGTAGTCCATAATGCAAAGTTATGCAACCTTGCTTCTGATGAGTTGGTTGCAAAAATCCTTGTACTCATCCGTAGTGGCCACATTCTAGGTGCACAGGCAGGACCACCATGTGAAACATGGTCACGTGCCAGGGAGGTGAAGCTAGCAGATAAGCCCTGCGCCACGCCCACTCAGGAGTGCCCATCAGCCATGGGGACTCCCCTCCCTACGTTCCAAGGAATACAAGCAACTACAGATTAGCAACAAACTCCTGCAAACTGCACTGCTTGTTGTTGCACACCTGTACGCAAGTTGTGGGGTGACCATCACAGAGCATCCCGGTGAACCCCCGGAAGCACGTCTTCCTTCCATATGGAGGCTTGCTCAGGTGAAATGGCTGTGCACCCTTCCTGGAGTCGAAAAGGGGCGAATACATCAGCGTCAGTGGGGCCAGACAGCTGAAAAGCCGACTGACCTGTTGGTGACCCACCTGCCAGGTTGGGAGCGAATCCTCGCATCAACAAAGTTGCCCCGAAGTCAGTGGCCGGCAAAGGAAAGATCCATTGGCCATAACAGGGAAGCTTTTTGCACCTCACGGTTGAAGGAATACCCTCCTCTCTTGTGCAAAGCATTTGCCAGGATCAGTGCTCAGCTCAGGGAAGCCACGCAAACTGATGTTGCTGAGATTCCCTCCCAAAGCATGCTCACTGAGTATGCCAACATGCCGCTGGCACAAGAAATTGGGCCGGACTATGCGGCTGGGGTAGGCACATGAAAGCATGTGCTTAATTAATGCAAATGGAATGGAATGGAAGGGAAAGACCATTCGGGTATGGGTCAAAATGAACCACTGGGGGACCGCAGGTTTAAGAGCTGATTTTAAAGTTCAGACTTGTTTTGGCCAACCAGGATCTGAGGCCGCACACCCATGTTGGCATCCAAATGAGCGACCCCAAAACTCGTTGGAGGTCGGCTTTGACGGCTCAAGTGAGAAGGTTCCAGGAGCCCGCTGACCATAGGGTTCTGGTGGAAGAGTGTTGGAGGTTTCATGGGGTGTGCGAATTCCCCAACCCAGGGTTCCGTCTCCCCCCCCCAACATGTAGTTTCCATTCACGCAGCAACATGAGACGCAACTCTGGGTATCTGGGTCCACCCGGGCGGGGGGGGGGGGGTAGTGAAAAAACAGCAACCAAGAAAACAAGCAACCAATGAACCGATGAACCAATCAGTCAGTCAGTCAGTCAGTCAGTCAGTCAGTCAGTCAGACACTCAGACACTCAGACACTCAGACACTCAGACACTCAGACACTCAGACACTCAGTCAATCTGCCGGCCAGCCAGCCAGCCAGCCAGCCAGCCAGCCAGCCAGCCAGCCAGCCAGCCAGCCAGCCAGCCAGCCAACCAACCCAGGTTTTCCTCAAAGGTAAGACCGACCCGCCGTTTCTTACGATGGTTAAAACCAGACCCACTTTCAAACTTGGGCTTCCGATTTTGGCTTAAATTGAGCTGGGTATCAACCCATAGGGGTTTTCTGGTTCTTAAGCCATCCCTTGTGGTTTCCTTTAAGGCGATCCCTGGGTTCATTCCCAAACCCCGGACTCGGTCGTTCCTTACCCAGAACCACGCAAGTCTCGCATGTCGAGGGGTGTTTCGGAGAGGAGTTCGTGCTGGAGCACAACCGGCACCACGCCAGCACGGTGGATCTGCTGATCCAGGGCGAGTTCGGCTGGGACCCTGAAGAGTTCCACTACGCGCTGCAGCAGTGGGCAGGATCCACCACATAGGAATGTGTTTGTTACCCCCAAAAAGATCAAAAAGGGGGATGGTTTAAAGGGACACCAACAAGGAAACCTTTGCCGTTTTGGGGGGTTGCCCACCCTCGGCGTTGGGTTTTTAAGGGATACAGGATTTGGAGCTGGTGGAACAAATTGATATTAACAGACACTTTCATGTATGCTGTATGTTGCAAATACTAGTCCCCAAAAAGGCCTTGGAATGGAACACGCAGGTTTGGGGTTGGGGAAGGGTCCCTGTCTTTGTTTGGGTCTGGGTCGACACCTCCGCTGAGCCATCAGAACCCGCGCAATTGGAGGGTTTCTAAGGCACACTCCTAGCCACAAATGGGTGCGGAATTCCGCCTTGGGAATTCTTGAAGCATGGTGGGTAGACCATTTTTGATACCGAGTTTTGCTTGTGTCTCACATGGGTTTTCTGGGGTCTACTCCAAGACTATGTCAGAATTTGGGAGTAATTTGGGGTAATACCGTAATACCCAGTTTTGATTGTGACTCACTTTGTTTCTTTTTGGTACACATTCCCACAAAGGCTACGCGGACATTCCTTAGGGCTTTCCTGAAGGTGACTCCCTGGTTGCTTGCCGACTTTTGGACCCTGCGGAGCGAATCCTAAGCGAATTGATGTGGGGGGTTGATCAATATTCCATTTAGGACCCATGACCCTAGGCATATTTTTCCCCATGTGGGACATATCATCTTTTTAGCGGGTGTTCCAACCAATGGTCCCATGTAGAGAACCTTTTAATGAACCCTAATGTTCAAGCACAGGTTCTTTAAGGCAAGCTTTGCGCCGGAGTATTTTCTCAGCCTCATGCATGTTGCGGTTTCTTTCAAGGAAACCACAGTGAAGCTGACTCAAACTTCAGTTCCTGCGTCAGGACCCATGGGACCCAACTGGCACCTTGGCTGAGTCTTCGTTTGGACCTGTTGGCATCTATAAATTGCGCTGACTGGGTTCTGCAGGGGCGCTTGGAGAGGCTCTTGCGACCTTGAGGCGTTCACTGAGATGAATGTTCCTAAGATGAGACAATGCTGGCCCATGCACATGTGTGTGCTGATCTATTTGCGGGCGCTTGAAACTGCTTGAACACAGTTTGGGAGGATGTTGCTGAAATGACATTGGACTATGGGCAGGTGTTGATTGCATTGTTGAAAGAAAACAAGCTGTCGCCAAGCAAGGCAGTCGCTTCGAAGGTAGAGGGTTTCGCTGGGCCCCGCTGTTTCCACATTTTTCCGTGGTTTCCCTCGCTGGGCAACTGGATGCGAAGGTACAACCAGGGGAAAAGGAGAGTCTCATGAGTTCCAGTTGGGATATCAACCCAAAGGGTACCAACCCCAACAAAAATGCAAAAAAAGGCGCACGGCCGTAGAAGGCATTTTTCTCACTTCAAAAAAGGGGAACTCCCAAAAAGGGGCTTTAAGCTCAAACCGTAGAAAGGGTAGGGTAGATGAAGGTTAGGGGATAATCCAAGCCGTAAATAGGTGTAGCTGCCTGGTGCATTCTTGAAGCATGGTTCTGGGATCGACCATTTGTGTACCTGGTTTTGATTCCGACTCATTTGCGGCAACAAGGTACAAGTACCTCCTCAAAAAGGCTCACGGACGCAGCAGGCATTTTTCTCACTTCCAAGCAAGGGGACTCCAAAAAGGGGTTAACTCCGAGCAAGGCGGTTGAAACCGTATAAAGGGCACTCCACAAATGAGAGACGCCCCGGTACAAGTACCTTCGAGGTACAAGTACCTCCTCACAGTGCCCTGGATCCCCATCATCCACTTCTTTGGGCTGAACGACACGGGCTCCCTCTTCGCCTTGGAGTGGTGGATGCACTTCCCTGACGAGGGCACCGGCGGCAAGTGCAACAAGGACTCAGTCTTCTTGGGGGCTTGGCATGGGGGGCTTGGCATGGGGGGCCTTGGTGTGAACGCATATCCACGACTTTGAGGCAAGATGTCGGACCCGTTCGCCTGGGGAAAACCGCTTGCTTTCTTAAACCTATACGCGTCAGCGGCCCAAAGTGGTCGTCCCAAGCTTGACACGCAGACGTTGAATTGCATGGTGGTCGGTCTTCTCGCAGACTCCCTTTAGCACATCTGGTCTTGATAGACTGGCGGCCAGGAGTACATCATCATAAACCACCTCCCCACACCCCTCCTCTCCCGAGCCCATTCCCAAAGCATCCGCTCCGCAGCTTCTAGCCTCCACCTCGCTGGGCCCAGCCGGCCCAAACCTCCCAACTTCACCCAACGCCGCCGAACCCAGCTGAACGCCCAGCTGACTCCGCCCAGGGGGGGATAAGTTCAAGAAGCCTGACTAGGTCCCCAGTCGTTCCCTTTTTAGCCCCTTCATTGGTTGGGAGGGTTCCCCTACTGAAATAGACTACAGAAAAACGTTGGTGCCCTTATTCTAACCTCTCTACTGGAGGACCTAGCTGAAGAGCCGCGCCCCTTCTTTCCGGTTTGGGACCTTGGGATTACGAGTCATGTGGCCCGACCTCTTGCAACAACTCGCCAAACCGCCAACCTGAATCCTCCAACCAGTTCCCCCAAACCACCCAAAGTGACTCAATGCCCCCCAACCCAAACCCGAACCACTGACTCTCAACTCCTCGGTTGGAGGTTTAGAGGTCCACGTCAGGGGCAGGGCGGGCACGGAGTTGCACTGGCTGTTGCCTCTTGGTGATTGGTGGTTAGGTCTGGGGTGGTTGCCCACCCTGCAAGAACCAGGGAGTCCAATCCCAGTTCCAAACCTCCAATCCACCAATCCACCAATCCAAACCAAGAGACAAGCGGCAAGCACTTCCCTAACCCACCCAAACTCCCCACCATCCCTAAACCTCCACACCTCCACACCTCCACACCTCCACGCCTCCACACCTCCACCCCTTCAGCCAATCCAACCAATCCAACCAATCCAACCAATCCAACCAATCCAAACCACTCCCAATCCCACTTCGCAAGGAGTTCTGGAGCAAGTGGGTGCCCCGGCGGGTGAAGCACAACGCCTTCGTGGCGAGCCTGTGGGCCTGCGTTTGGCTCCTGGGCACCTTCCCCCTGGGCCGCCCCCTGAGCGAGGGCTGGAGGCAGGAGTTCCCGCTCGATTTTCTGGAGGTCGACTCGAGAGGAGGTCCGAGCAGGACGTGGGTCCAAGGGTTTTTGGTTCACGCGGGCTAGGTTGAAGAGCACCGTGTCATTTGATGCGCTCTGAGCATCCAACTCCTGGTAACTCAGGTTGTTGTTGGATGTATGTGTCCTAGTTTGAACGCTCTGCCCTTTTTGGGTCGGTTTAAAGGAACGCCCACCACGGCTTTATTTTTTGCAGTTGGTACAACTTGTTGGGTTGGTAAGTTTTTTGTTTTATTGTTTTTTGGGGGGGAGCAAATCCCTATTTTGTCACACACCCAAGTGCGGTGTGTCCAAACAGGGTATTCCATGCTCCCAAAACGAGAGCTTTGTCATTGGTTTCTCTTGCAGGAACCCTCGCATGGGTAAAGCTGGAACCACCAGAACCATGTTTAAGCGTGCGAAACCTATAAACTGTTCAGCCCAAACGTGCTCGAAAGACTGGTCGGTGGATGAGGTTCGGTCAATTTGGGGTGAGTGGCATACAACCTGTTCCAAAAGTGAACTGTCAATCAATTTGAAGGAGTCCCTGAAAATTCTTCTGAACTACCAAAACGTGCTTCACAACAGACACGAGCTCACGACCTATCAGTAAGGGGAAGCTGACAGGGGGATTGCACATGGCGCTCTGACCACTTCCATGTTCAGAATTTGACCGTGTTTCAAGAGGTGTTGAGGTTCAATCTTGCTTGAATCATATGACAATGCTGATGCTGCTGATGATGATGATGATTATGATTATGATGATTATGATGATTATGATGATTATGATGATGAAGAGGAGGAGGAGGATGAGCAAGAGACTGACTGTGGGTCAAAAATAGGATTCCCGTGAAACCCAGGTAAATGCAAGCATGGGCCAAACAAAATGTGGTCCCCCGGTTTATTTTTAACCCACATCCATTATAGTTTTATGAATGCAAGCTGGTTCTAGGGGTTGTTTCCCCGTTGTGTTCAAACATCCTTCTTAAACAGCCGTGATTTCGGGCGGGGGCATTTGGGGTGGGTGATTTTTGCAATTCGGATCCCTGAACATGGGTGGATGTTACTCTTCATTTTTGTAGCCATGGCTGGAAGACGTGTTCCTTTACTTGGTTGTGGTTATCTCGACCCAGGATTTAGACAACAGGCTTCATGAATGGAGTTCCAACGTGACCCACAGCTAGGTTGACAATAAAGCCATAAAGCCGCGCGTCGGAAGGCGGAAAGCGCAAGTTCGAACCTCAGCCCCTTGAATGTGGACATCGGTTTGAAAAAGAACAAACACCCACACACACACATACACATACACAGACACACACACACAGACACACGCACAGAGACACACACACACACACACACGCACACACACACACACACACACACACACACACACACACACCGGCACACCGACACAAAGACACACAGACACACACACACACACAGACACACCGACACACAGACACAGCCACACACACACACACGTACACCAGTCCCAGCTGAGTCGTAGAGGATCCGCATCTGTACAAAGCCGAAAGCTGGCTTTTGGCTTTTGGATGCATCCCACCGGAACCCAGGTTTCAAACCCGGATCGTTTCAACCGAAAACCCGACTCGTCACCCCTTGGCTTCGATGCACTCGACCCTCGATCTGCCGGGAGGTTCATGTTCACCGTGTCCTTCTTCGCGCGGGTGGGGTACTCGGCGGCCTGGATGCTCCTTGGAGAAGTTGTCCACTTAACTGCTATTGGGTTGGATCTTTAGACTTTAACTTTTTGATTTAAATCAAGGGGTTTTCTACTAAACCTCCAAAAAGTTAAACTTTTTTGCAGGGGTCAACAGCAACAAAGTCCTGATCATAACTTGTGTTATTATTTTTTCGGGGAAGGTGGGGTGTGTTTCCCCACCATGCAAGTGTTCAACACCTTTGTACCTGCGAATGTTCCTTCTTGTATTTGTTTTCAGCAGGGCGTGTGTTTTGCCTCCAATGATGAAAGCTACCTGCAAATGTTCATATTGTTTTTCGGCAGGGGGCAATAGCCTCCCTCCAACCATGGAAGCTGCCTGCAAATGCAGGGGGTTAAGAAACGCCTTCTCCAATCAAAGCGGACAGAACGAGACTCGTTTCCTTTTGGGGACCTCCCCGTCCACTTCCCTGATTGTTGGAGAGTTGGATGATGCCCCAAAATTGTCTTGTTGATCCCCCCTAGGGTCCCTAAGCAAGTGTTGTCTTGCTTAAAATCACATACATAATTCAGCTGTTTGTTTGCCCTTGCTGGATGCTTATTTTGTTTTGATGCTTTGCCCAGAGAGAAGCAAATCGTCAAGGTTCATCACCAACTTCACCCACTCCCTGCCCTGGAACGAGTTCCTGGCCAACGACCCGGGCCGCACCTGGCCCGTGCTGCACAACCTCATGGCCCTGGTGGCTCGCCTGAAAAAGAAAAAAGCCACGACGGCCCCCAACCGAGGGAGGGATGGGTAACAGGTACCAAACATCATCTTTGCAAATAAGTGTTTTTTCTTCATGAGTTTTTTGTTGATGCCTGAAAGAAGTGTTTGTTTGTTTGTTTGTTTGTTTGTTTGTTTGTTTGTTTGTTTGTTTGTTTGGTTGTTTGGTTGTTTGTTTGGTTGTTTGTTTGTTTGTTTGTTTGTTTGTTTGTTTGTTTGTTTGTTTTTCAATAAGTTGTTTGTTGATGCCTCACCCAGCCAAGTCAGGGCGTGCCAATTGTTTGGATGGGCCACATGTGTTGGTTGTTGTTTTTCCCGGGGAACCACCGGGAAAACGTTGAAATGTTTTTTTGTTCTTTGTCTGGGCGGTCCTCAAATTTGCGACATCAGGTTGGATGGGATAAACGAAGGCCGCAAACAAACAGACAACTCCGGGTTGGGCGAAGCCCTGTTTACGTGGTATCTTAGTCGTCTTACAACCCCTTTTTGGGTGGCTCGTCATTTTTTCCAATTATATACTGGATTTTGGCGGTTTTAAGAGGACACCAAAAGGAAAGGTGGTTGTCAGGTTCGGTTCAGCGCCATGTCCAGTTCCTTGCAGGGATGTTCATCAAGGTCATGAGAGAGGCTTGCTCATGGCAGAGATGGCGTGTGTGAAGCTGTTCACTTCCCATCGTATGAGAGCACCCAAAGGGCCAGGTTGTTGGATGGATGGCGCTCTTGAAACAAGGAACCACTCAAAAGGAGGAAGAAACAACCATGGACTGGGGGTTGACAAATGCATGCAAACTCCTGACTTGGAGGCGGGCTAGGCGTCTAGTGGTGTCAGTCGGCCGTTTGGCAGTCCAGAAAATATCTTCTTGCGCTGGACATTCCGAGCCGGCTCTCTCCACCAAGCTTTTTTTTATCCAAAAAAAACTGCCCTTTCGGGTGGGTTTTGGGGGGACCAGCGGGAAAGCCACAACCTTGGATGGTCGTACCCAATCTCGCAACTTAGTCCCTTGATCTGTTTTTGGGTGCCGGGGTTGGGCAAACATTTGCCTTCGGCCTGCCTTCCTTGGGGAAGGCCGCGTTGACCACTGGCTCACTTGGCCCTGGAAGTTATGCCACCAGGACGGGCACCTCTTGGGAGGGAAGTACCACAACCATTTTTCCCACAGCCTCCCTAAGCACAGCAACTCGAAGTAGTTCTTTCCCCCTCAGCTCTTTAGGGTTTCGGGCGGCAAGCGCAACTCCCCCCTTCTTTTCTGTTCTCTCTTTTCAATTCTGCCACATCTCCTCCATCTTTCTCCCCCCCCCGCAGCCCGCGGCCCGCGGCCAGCCCGGCGTTTCGGCTCAGCGCTCAGGTCCTGGGGGGGAAGCACCGCTGGAACGAGATGCTCTTCCACGACGTGCACCACGCCTTCCCCAACGCCGTGGGCACGCTGAGCCAGCGGGGCCGCTTCCACGGCTGGGAGAAGGTCCACGACGCCGCCGCGGAGGCGCGCGGAGCGCGCGGAGAGAGCGGGGGACGGGCGGGGGGAAGACGTGGAAACCAGGGGAGTCACCTTTTGGTTTCATACCAAAACACATGTTTAGTGGAGGCCCCCAATTCAGAAGGTAAGGGCAAAGGTGTGGGGACGTCCCCAATTCCAGTTTATAGTCTCCACGGGGGGAGTCCACGATTGTTTAACCGACCTCCTTTTGGGGTTCCCTTTGAACGAGGGATGGTTGCTCCATGTTGCGCGTCCGAGGCCAATGGTAATAGAAAGAACTTAAAGAGATCCTCTGGTGAAGTGCCTTGTTTTGGTTGGGAGATAGTTGCCCCCTGCGATCCAGCTGTTTTCCCCCCCAAAAGGGGCTTGAGGGTTAAGCCGCGGCGTTACATGTCCGTTTTTGCTTGGAGAAACTGCGAGGGAGGGATCAGGTCTACGCATCACCTGTTGGGTTCTGTTTCCATGATTTCCGCTTTCGCGGTGTTTTGGCCTCATGGTCAACTTTTCGCCACTCGCCAGGCTGCAATGGCTCCCCGAAAATAGCTCTGCGATTGTGGTGGGACGCGCAATGATCTTTTGTGTTGGGCGGATTTTTGCGGATTTCGGTGTGGGTCTGTCGCTTTTGTTTGGGAAGGGGGAGAGGGGGGGGAGGCTCCGCCCGCGATCTCGTTGCGACTGGAGGTCTTGCACCGGGGTCTATGGAAGGCCAATGGAGACGAAGAGACCCAAATGCAGAAGCTCGGCAGGGCAGCCAAATTTGGGGATTTGGGAGCCAGCCCTGGGCAAACCCATATGGGTTTAAACAACACAGGCTTGCAATAGGTGCGCTTCTTTTTTTGTTGGTTTGACGATGGTTCGATCTTTCTTTGCCCGTTTTGCCAAGCCAGCAGGCCTTTTGAGCTGCATGTTTGACTTCTGGTTTATGGGGAAAAAAACCCAAAAAAGAGAGAGAGAGAGAGAGAGAGAGAGAGAGAGAGAAAGCGGATTGCAGCATTTTTTCATGCGAAAATCACCTCCCCAGCAAAACGGTTGGGCTCCAGAAAGCCGGGTCGCCTGTTTGTGACTGAAGTTTTGCTTTCGCAGCGGTGCTCAGGCCAGCCCCCCGTTTGGTCAAGCCTCTATCACGGAAGTGGGCAGGAAGGCTTCGGACGAGCATCCCCCCAAAAGCGCCCCGCTTGTCCATGTCCACGAGGGAAAAGGGGACTTTTGCTAGGTCCCCCCTTGTTTGGTTGGGAGGGTTCCCCTACTAAAATAGACTACAGGAAAAAGGGTAATTACCCTTATTCTAACCTCTGTACTGGAGGACCTAGTTTGGTTTCCCGCTCTTTTGTCCAAAGTTTACTTGCTGGCACTTCTCAGCAGGGAATGAGAATTGGAAGGACCCCCAAAGAACACGGGGTCATTCACCACTAAGCACCAGCAAGGTTTGTATGCTTCTCGTTGGCTGCTGGCTTTACCTTGTGCCCAACTAGGAGACCCTTGTAGGGTAGTGGGAGGAAGCTTTGGCAAAGGAGTGAAAGGAGCCAACTACTTGGGCGAGGCTGGTTTGTCGCAAGTTTGGTTTGCCGGTTTTGGTCTTAGCACCAAAAGCAGCGGTCTCAACCGACAGGCGAACACAATTGGTCAACAGTTTCCTTTGGCTTCCCTTCTTCGGGTGCCACTCTTCCAACCTCGTGCTCGGTCTGAGCAACCCTGAAAAGCTGAACTCTTTTTTTTTCCGAATCCTGTGGGGGTTTCCTCCTGTTTTCCGTGGCAAGGAAGACACAGAAGAAGCGCTCCATGATGATGAAGCAGGGCAAGTGAGGGCTGGATCCGCTCGAGAAACGGCCGGGCAGCAGGGACCCGAAGTGTGAAGGGACACCAGAACCTCGATTTACAGGCACACCCTCGTTTTGATTGGTTAGCCTGGTGCAGCTTCCCCTTCTCTGCGAAGGTGAGGAGGTGCTTGCGGCCATGCGATTTTAATTGATTCGAGCACTGTACAGCATGGGCTGGTGGCGAGGGCGCCCTATCTGTTAAAGAATTGCATCCTCACAGCATCCAAGCCAATGTGTGGTGCAAAGGGAACCCACCAAGCGCAAACTTGAGACAGCCAAATCGCTTGTGACGGGGTTGATCTCTTCGGTGCCCGTGTTCAATGGATCGATCAAACGACAAGCACTTTGCGAAGGGCGCCCTGGGCAGTGACCGGCGTAAATGAGAAACCGGGAGGAGGCTAAAACGTGGAAGACCCAAGGTGGGCGGGAGACATTTTGCCGGGCTTGAAGGAGGGTGTGTTTTTTTTTTGTTTGGCAACTGAGAACAACTTCTCAGTTGATTGGTGGGTTTGACTCGCTGGTTCTTGTGGGTAAATGGGAAGCCCCTCCTTAACCGCCAAAGCCATCGAAACCAGGTGGCTGAGAGTCCATTGACAGCTAGCAACCTATGTTGATCATGGCGCACGCGCACACTGTGGCTGGAGTCAGGAGGTGCATGTGGGGACCTCTGTCCTTCCAGGTTTGGTAAAGAAACAGGGCGGTGTCCGTTGGTGCTACTGGGAGCCTAAGATCGATCCACAACCAACACCCGGTTGAGTCGTGTTCGAGGCTTGCAGCGGATCCGGATTACTGGAGGGAGTTGCAAGGTTGGACCCCCGGAAGCTTGCCGTGAGGGTCTCCACTGTGAGGCTGCGTCCGAAGTCGTGGGACCGTCAACCCTTGGTGTATGGAGCCAGAAGTAGTCGAAATCATCGAATGGGAAGTGTTTGGAACCCCGAATATCCAACTAAACCTGGATAGAATCAGAACCCAAGCCCAAGCCCTTAAGGCCCAAGCGCCAACACCCCACCGGTTGGCTGGTTCATTTCGGGAGATGGCGGCAATTCCCTTGGGAATAAAAGGGATATGTGCCAAAATCGGAATTGGACCCCTATCGATGGAGTAAAGCAACTTGTTCCCCTTTAAACCCTCAAAGCTTGTTTTTGTTTGCTTCTTTTTTTTGCCCCCCCCCCCCCAAACAAATATAATAATAAATGACATAAACATACATACACACAAAACCCGAACAAACAAAACATCTCACCTTTCTCAGCGAGCCAAACTGCTTCCAAGGAGCGATGCGTCTCGAATCGTCGCACGTCGCCACGTCCAGGACTCGGTGATCTCCGCGTGCTCCTGGAGCTCTGCGGGCACCTTGCGCTCCGCCCGGGACTCGGATGACTCGGAGAAATCGGAGAAATCGGGTGAGACGGTGGGGGTTTTCCGCGCTCGGGGTCCTTGGTTTCCTGTTAATGTGCCTTTTCTCTTTCTTTCTTTTTTTTTGGGGGGGGTAGGACTTGGACCGGGTTTTTGGAAGACGGATGGAGTTGAGTGTTCAACTTTGGGTTTTGATGGAAGCGGTTTGCTCGACTTTTGGTTTGTCTTTCTTTTTTCAAATCAAGGAATGGGTTGGTGGCACCCCGCTAAGTGACTGTTGGTCCCATTTCTCAAGATAGGGTCCCCTAAAGACGGTGGTTTCCTTTTGGTTTCCCTTGAACAAACTGGACAGAGTGCATGGAACCCAAACCGGCGCAGGTAAATCCATGCTAACCACCATAGGGAAACCAGCAATCCCAGCCATCAAACATGGCGATCCGTCTTTGATGTGTGTTTTACTCAGCTTTGGACCTTTTGCAAGCCAGATTTCTGGCTTTTCCCTAAGCCGCAAAGGTGTAAGGTCCCTTCACTTCGCTTCTTTGGCACAAGAAGCCAGGACACAAATCACCATGTTTGGGGCCAATGCTTGGGGCCAATCTTGAGAATCCGTACTCTAACTTCGCAAGAGGAAACTCACTTTAGATTGGCCCAAGGCGATGCTTTGGAACCAAGCGGATGGGGAATTCTTCAGGGTTTCTTTTTGCTTCCAAGTCGTTTGGACCAAAAGTGGCACCTTGGCTGGAACCCACAGATAAAGTTGCAGCTCGGGATACCTAATGTGAGATCCCGTTTCGGCCCATTCCCAGGGTTGGTTCCAAGCGAAAACGCCTCGAAAGAGGGGCAGCTGACGGATGGCCAGGAATTTTGGGGGGCAGTTTCAGGCACGGAACTTGACTCGGGCGACTCACTCCGTGAGTTGCTGAACTGTGGGTCACTCTTTTGGAATGCAATTTAGTGCACATTTAGGGCAAATATGGACAGTTGAGTGGTACTTGTCGTCACCTTTTTTGGAATGCCAAATATACCGAGTCAGACTTTTTGTCTGGCCAAGCCGTTGAGGGAGTCGGCTGAGTACCCTCCAAAAGGGTTGTTGGACATCCCCATCGACATGGCGGCTAGCCCAACCCATGCCGCGGACGGAGCAAATCCGCTTCGCGCCAGCTAGGTGGTTTGGTCCCAGTAGGAATAGGGTGTCATCCATCGCAACTGCTGCGTGTGGCGGGTTTTGGTGATCCGCATATCTTCTTTATGCCCGACCTGTTCAACGGCAAAACCGTGGCCGCAGGGTCGCCAATTCTTGATGCATGCCCAATTTAACATTTCGCAGATTTGTTCGACACCTCCTGCGTGGTTGTGTTCTGGGATCCCAGAAGTGGTTGCCCTTTTGGTTTTCCTCTACACTGCCCCCAAAAATGGTTCCCTCAAATATGCAGGCACATGGGTATGGGTCAAAATTAAACCTCCAAGGGGCCACAGGTTTAGTCCTCGGCTCCATTCACCAGGGTTGCATTTTGGGGTTACCCTATTTTCGACCCACTGCCACATTTCGCAGAGCCCGGGTTACTTGTCCAGCGCGACGCGGCGCGCAAGGCCTCAACGTCAGCGCGGGAGGCGGCGCCATCAGAGGCGAAGCCTGCTTTGAGAAACGGCGGTGCTAAGTAAGCTTCCATTTGGCTTGTCAGAATTTAACCATCATGGGACCACAGGTCTAATCCATGTTTCCATTTACCGGGGTTCCCATTTTGGGTACATAATTTTTGACCCACTGCCATTGGAAAGGTCCATTTGCTTAAGAATATGTTTTTCTTCTGTTGGTTTTACAGGGAATCTATTACTTGTGGGAGTATGTTTTTTTTTTTTGGGCAGGGGACGTTCCGCAACTGGAGTAAATCATGTGAACTGATTCACAAAACACATGGGTTGACTTTTTGAGACATGGGGGGTGTCTGGTGGGAATCCTTCACTCTTTTCTGGATGATCCCGCTACCGTTCCTAAGTCAGACACACATACCGGGTGTTTCTCTTAGGGGTCCCCTTAAAAATGCTTAGCTGTTGGGTGTCCTTTTGCGGGGTTCCCTAAAATAAAAAGGCTGTTTGTCACAACCATGTTGGTTTCCCGGTTGAGTGTTCTTTCGGCTTCCTTGAGGGGGACCTTTTAACTTCCATCATGTTGCCTTGGGTACAAGGCACGCAACCAGTGGGGATGCGGCCATCTCTGGGATCAACCGTCGCTATCATTTTTTCACAGAACCACAGGTAGTCGCCGAACATGGCCAGCTTCTGCCATGACATATTCCCCATGCTCATGTCTGTGCCCCTAGTTTTAAGGGCAAATCTTGGTGTGCAAACGTCGACGCGCGCTAAGGGTTGGTTAGGAAAGAAATTACCTGACAAGTCGAGGATTCCTCGCGGTATTCCATGATGAAGCCTCCTCCGATTCCCTTTCTGGGGATCCCGGATCGTTCCTAGGGTTCCATGTTGATCGGATTCCTGACCCGTTGAGCGAAGTCATCCAATTCTGGAGCCCATTTGTGATCCAAGCGTTTGAACGGGCCACCCAACCTGCAAACCTGTTAATGTAAACTTTGGAGTAATCCCGAGGACCCTAGTCAGGGAAAGAAAACAAACACAAGACAAAGTAGATGCCATATCCCTTCTAAAAGAGAAACCACCCCTGATTAGTACGATACTCTGCAGTATTGCAGATGAATCCGAAGTCATTTCAGGTCACCTGGCTTCCCTTGCCTGTGAGTCGATGAGTCGAGGCGCAGCCCTTGCGCCGGGGTCCTCCGCGTCCACTGGCGAGGGGCTGAATTGCGTAGGCTCCTGGAGGGCTTTAAAGTAACTCAGACCCTCAAACTACCCACAAAAAAGGGGGGTTCACCCGAATCGCAAACGCTCCGCGTTGCCCGCTCGGCCAGTATGCTTTTGGCGGGCTTCGAGGTACTGGTTTTTGCCTTGAAGTGTTGTGTTTGTTTGAGCGTGAGCTGGTTCCCAAGATGCACGGGGGGCTTTCTAGGGGCAGTTTGGCTGGGGCAACTTGACCGATTTCAAGGGAAGCTAGACCGGTTTCTAGGGAATTTGACCGGTGTCTAGTGGGGATTGAACAAGCTTCTACTGGGACATGTTCTAGGGGGAGGTTGGCGCTGGAATTTCGGTTTCTGAACGGCTTCTGGGGGAAGGGACAAATTGCGATCAGAGTTCGGTGGGGATATCCACCACTTAAAAGCTTTGAAAGTCCCAGGCTCCACCAGCGCCCAGATCTGTTGGCTCTCCGGGATTTTGCGAACGCGCGCGGCCACAAGTCTTCCCAGGCCGAGCTGCAGCTTGGGTTTTGAGTTTGTTCATGTTGATGCCACATGTGGGATTATTGTGGGCCGTGCGAATCCAACCGCATGCCGGGGTGGCGGAAAGGGCTCTTGCACGCACCAGATGCAGTCGCCTTCTTGAAGCAGTGCAGCAAACCCCTCGTGTCTGCGCACGAGGAGTTGCAAATCAGCGAGGGGCACCTGGCACCCCGAGTTGCTTCGCAGGGAGGCCCTTCACGAGCCCATCCGAGCCTCAGGTTGAACAGAAAATATTGTCCTCACACAAGCGCAGACTCAGAGGAGCGTGTGAGGCAGTTTGGCT